GAGGGGGGCGGGTGGGAGGGGGGGGCGAAGTACCTGGCCCGCATTGGCACGTGTGTGGGGGGCGGGGGCAGGGGCGTTGAAGGTGTGCGACGGGCCGCTGGCACGTGCTGCTGGGACGGTGCAGCTCGGGTGCTGGTGGTATCAGGGTGGGGATGGGACGGCGTCTGTGCGGAGGGCAGTGTCCATTGCCCAGACGGGGCAAACCTGCAGAGAGACACAGTTGGCAAATGAGATCAGTGGCGCCCCAGCTGTCTGTCGTGTCGTGTTGCGTCTTGGTGCGGACCAGTGATGGGTGAGCACTTGTGCGATTGACGGCCGCATGCGGGGGTCTGCCGCCGTCATGCTCTCTATCAGGTCCCTGACGTCCGCCGAGAGGTCCGTCCTGTAGAATGGTGATGGCTTGGGCGGCGGCTGGTGGAGGTCTCGGGTGGCCGGGTCGTGGCCGAACTCGAGCAGCACTCGCAGCATCTGGCCCAAAGAGAAAACCGTTGACTTGTCGGGGTCGAAGAGGGCACACGGAGTGGCAGCCTGCAGGCACGGCACAGAGGCACAGATCATGTCTGTTAGCTCTCTCTCTAGCTCTCTCTCTCTCTCTCCTTGTGTGAATGTCTGTCTTGCCTCGGGTGACTTGTAGTACAACACTCCGCGTGGCTGCGGGCCGGCATTCAGGAGACCACCCCCCTGACACTACACACGCACACACACACACAGCGTCATGCTGGTTACTTCCCCCCTCCGTCCACCCGTACGCACCACTCGAGCTGCGAAGAACTGTGCCAGTTCGAAGTCGATGAGTTTGGGGTTGTCGTCGGCGTCAAAAACAACGTTGTTGAGATGCTCGTCGCTGAGGCACAGACACAGACACGCAGTAGACACAATGCTCATCAGTGTATGTCTGGCATGCACCCACCCGTGCCATATCCCCTTGGCCAGCAGCTTGGCGTAGGCGTCGATCACCGGCCGCAGCCACGCCCTGGCCTGCTCCTCTGTCAGTGCCGACCGGCCGAGGGTGTCCACATGGCGGGTGGCCAGCCGCTCGAGCATGTTGCCGCCGGGCAACAGCTCGAACTCCATGTGGCTGACCTGGCCCATGTGGTACACCTGCATAACACACATAGATAGGACAACCCCACACACAAGTCAAGCGCCCACCCATCAAAGGTTCCTTCCATGGATGTGCCCACCTACCCTCTTGAGGTCCACGACCCCGTCGATGTCCTTTGCGGCCTCTAGCGCCCGAATCTCTCGCTGTAGACGTGGCATCCAGTCGCTCCCATCGCCCCCCGCCTCCACCAAGTCCCGGTTGGCCCTGGTCCGCACCGCCACCACTTCCCCAGTGGCCTTGTTGCGGGCCAGATTGACGACAGCGATGTCGCCCACACTGACGGCGCGCAGCCGCTCCAGGTGGTCGTCGGGGAAGTGGCCGACGTGGTTGAAGCCCCAGGTCATGTCGAGCTGCTCGACGGCCTCCGGGCGGTCGGATGGGGGCGGCACGCGGGAGCACCAGTGCCGGAATCGGGGCGAGGGGCGGGAGTACAGATGGCGACAGATGCACGCCATCGATGGATGGATGGATGGAGGGGATGAGCGAAGGGGGAGGAGGGGGTGAGGTGGTTGGTGGAGAGGTGGTGGGTGGAGAGGGAGAGAAAGAAGCAGAAAGCTGCGAGGATGCGAAGAGCTGGCGCACGGGGGAGGCTGTACGGAGAGCCGTCCGGAGGGCGGATCTGCGCCAAGCTCGCACGGGAGGAGGTGCCGCCTCTCAGTTTGCCTCAGTTCATCATCGAAGCCCGGATCTATCGCATCTCTCGTTTGCCCTCGATGTCGCCCATTCCGCGGCAGAAACGACTCGCGTAACGGGCAAACTGTCTTCTCCTCCTCCCACCTCCGCCTGCCTTATCGCCCTGCTATCGGCTTCCCTGGCCGCGCCGGACGATGGCAGAGATCATCGCCGTCGGCATGGGGCTGTACCAAGGCTACGTCACCGTCAGGCTTCTGTGTTCCACTGCCAACATCGTCAAGGATGTGTCATCAGGGCTCTCGACATAACGGCCGTCTTCTCCCTCTCTGCTTCCCCAGTGCTTCCACCCGTCGTCGGCTTCCACGGCGACAGCCTGTCTTCTCCTCTTCCCGCCTCTGCCTGCCTATCGCCCTGCTATCGGCCTCCACCGCGCCAGACGATGGCAGAGATCATCGCCGTGGGCATGGGGCTGTGGCAGTGCTACGCCTCTGTGAAGCTTCTCTGTTCCACTGCCAACATCGTCAAGGATGTGTCGTCGGGCAATCGTCCGAAAGCAACCGACGTTGTTCGAGTTGCCATGGGGGTTTTTGGCATCAGCATTGAAATCGAGCCGCTTGAGGCGCTGGTGGACGCCGTGGCCGAGCCCGTGGCCGAGCGTGTGGCTGATGCTGCGGCAGCGATCGAAGAGCACGTTCCCGGCCTGCTGCCGCAGATGGTCAGGACGGGCGTCAGAGCTCACGGGCTGGCTGAGCAGGAGGCTTGGCTGGGCCTGGAGGCCGGACACCAAACGCAGCTTCCTGCGCTAGGCTCGGTCGACACCGACTTGGTGCTCACTAAAGTCGCCGATGTGGCGGGAGGTGCGACTCGATTCGTGCTCCAAAATCAAGACGAGATCCCGATGGTGAGGAACGCCTTTGAGAAACTCATCGCAAAGGGCTTCGAGATCGCCGGTGAGGGAGAAAGAAGAAACACGGCAGTCAGTCGACACACATGACATGAACGGCTTGTCCCCCCTCCCTCCCTCCCTCCCTCGCTGTCTGTCTGTCTGGATCGATCAGATTGGGACAAGACGGTGGTTCTCATGGCGGCGGGGTGGGCTGATCGGGCAGCAGCGGCACGGTCTGTCACCACCACTAGGAAGGCAACACCAGAGCTGCCCGGCCTGCAGGCTGCGTGGCTCCTGGCGTCCGACAGGGCCAAGATCCTTTTCGACGCCTTCGGTGTGCCGCCCTTCTACGGAGGCACCACTCCAGGCAGGCTGCGTCGGCACCATCTCGTCGGGGGCATCAGTAAGCTGACGGACGAGCAATTCGATGCGTGGGCGGATGGCAAGGAGTCGATCGACTTTGCCCGGTGTGTGGCGGTGATGCTGGAGATGGTCATCATGTGCTTCGACATGTGCGCCGTGTGCGACCGGCACCTGCTCGACGAAAAGGCCGTCGCCGCCCCCTGCAAGCCGACGGGCAAGAACAAACACTACCGTCAGACGTCGATGGGATGGACTTGTCCGCAGTGTGGTGGCACCCTGGTACTGACCAAAGCCGCCGCGGGGACCATGTGCTTCGGCTGCAGGAGCGTCGTCACCTCTGGCGTGCCCGTCTACCACTGCCGCACTTGCCCCGACACTCTCTTGGTGGGCCTCTGCACCAGATGTGAGGCCGCCAGGGGGTTCGTCCGCACTTGCCCCAAGGGCCACCACCTCATCCAGAAGGTACGTACGTTGGCCGATCGATCGCTCAGTCTGGTGAAACAAAGGTCATGCTGTGGTTGGGAAATACATGTATGTGCTGTCCCCCCCCCTCTCTCAGGACATGAAGTTGGACAGGAAGTGCCAGGGGTGCCCCAACTACATGAGCAACTGCCATCGGTGTTCGGTCTGCGAGTACAACCTCTGCCAGACGTGCATCAGGCCCAACCGGAGCCTTAATAGCAGCTAGACAGACAGGCCCGCTATGGCTTAGTCAGCCAGCCGGGTTTTTTCCCTTAGTCGGGGTTCTCCCCATTAATTGACTGATTCACCGATGGATCCCTGTAGTGCGGGGAGCGTGTTGTGTGTTGTGTTGTGTTGTGTGTTGAGTGTTTGTGTCTTTGTTGCAATTGTGGGCCATTCCGCATGTGTCAGTGAGTCGATTGACGAGCTTTTTTGCCCGTATCTGTGCATACTCGGGGGGTGATCATCAGCGCCTGGGCGGGCTGTGCGTGCCTGCCTGCCTGCCTGCCTCTTGCGTATGGTTGGTGGTATGTCAGCCAGCCATCCGTCGTGGATATTTGGGTGTGTTTGTCTTACCCAGTCGCCCGCCTGTCTGTCTGTCTGTGTGCCCGCAATGAGCGGTGTCCGACCAAATGGATCAGAATAGCTGGATTGAGTGTTCTCTGACTACGGGATGCATTGGGATGCATTCGCACAGCAGCCAGCCAGCCAGACAGCCAGACTGGGGAAGTGTGTTTCTGATGGTGTTCTGCGCACGCAGTGGACGCGGGCAGCGGTGGTGCATTGGACAGATCCACTGCTGTCTCGATTCGATGAATGCACGTCCGCGCGATGTGATTCCATAGGTGTGTATTGCCTGCATACGCACACCATACCATGCCATGCGACTGACTGACTGACTGACTGACTCACTGCGTGAGATGGATGGACGCCTCGCGCTGCACGCATGTGCGCTTGTGTGAGTCCACGTGGACGATGACCTTTCCTGTTGAACTTCCCTGTCTACAAGATGGCCGATGCCACCGATGTGATGGATGCCGAGGCAAGGATAGCGATGAATGCGATAGAATCGCCGCCTAAGAAGCTCAAACCGTCGAGATCTCAACCAGGCTCGGCTCTTTTGCGTCGCAGCGATCATGCGAGCTCAAATGGCAGAGAGAGGGAAAGCGAAAAAGTGCCTTGGTGATGGTATTCGGCTGAGTCATCGAGTAGCGTTGACAGTGCATATCTCGCCCCTCTCGTGTGCCTCGCCCAGCGCCCCTGTCGATGCCGCTTCAGCACTCCAATCCGACGGGCAGCGCCGGTCAGCAGAGTCCCACCAACCAAACCGGACGCGACGACGCCGCCAACGACAGCAGCGATGCCGGCGTCTTCGCCAGGCCGTCGCCAGATGGACACGACGTCGTGGCGGCGACACCGACCAGCAGCGGACAGCACGAGAGCACTATGGAAGCCGCGGATGAGGCCGCGCAGCCGGCGAGTGAGCAGCGTCAGGCCGAGCCGGCGGAGAAGCCCTTCCTTGAGGCTGTTCGGGGCGTCATTTCGGCCATCCTACTGCCGAGTGGGCAAGCCAACCCGACGCAGACGGATCTGTTGTGGCGGTTACTGCTGCTTTCATTGGTGCCGAACGAGGCCAGGCGGCCGCCGATCATGGCGCCGTCACACCTGTCCAGGCAGCGCAACACGCGGTTCGACGACGTGTTCGCCTTCATCATCTCCCACCTGCACCAGCAGCCCCGGCAGACCGTCCGCCTGCTGACGTCACTGCATGCCATCGAGGCCCTCAGACACCCACTGGAGACGTTCCTGCTGGAGGAGCATCCCATCACCCAGCCACCGCCGTCAGAAGCGGCGTCTTCCCAATCGCCCCTCCCCACCTCTGCGGAGAGCAGCACATCAGCGGCAGCATCGGCCAACGCCGCGTCATCTCTGCCGGTGCCGGGCGAGAGCAACAAGGTGGCCAGCTTCACATTCAGCGGCAGCAGCAGCGGACATGCGCCCCCGCGCAAACATGCGGGCGCGTCATCCGGCCCGGCCACCGTCACACGTCTCGAGCACTGCCTCACTGTCGGTGCTTCCGCCGCGGGCATAGCGGCCTTCTGCGGGTTCCTGCAGGTCCTCTTCGACGGCTGGGCGGGGGAGGGGAAGCGGTGGCCTCTGTTGGCGTGCTGCCTGGTGGTCTCGAAGGTGCTGTCAGGTCGGCGGTTCAGCCTGAGTGTGTCGGAGGTGGCTGAGCTGGGTGTGGAGCGGGCCCTGCTGCAGCTGCTGGCCGTGTACCCCTACGTCTGGAGCTACAACCACTCACACGACATCCACACGGGCGCCCCGGCCACCGCGGCATCTCAGGCCTTTGTGGGGGCGTGGCGGGTGTACCTGAATGCCAACCATCGGGTCATCTTCACCCTGCGGCACCTGCTGATACGGTGCATGGACGCGCTGGCCTCACCCCTCCCCCACCCCTCCCGCAGAGACGCCCTCGCCGACGCGACGAGCATCCGGCGACTGGCGCTGAGGATCTGCGTTGATGTCGACCGCCATCTGTTCCCGCCAAACCACAGGTCGCCATTCCCGGCCCCCCAGAATGATGACAGCCGCCCGCCGCTGCCACCGACGCCCCCAACAGAGTCGCTTCTGACCAGCTCGCAGGCCCTCCCGCAGAGCACGCCGTTGAGCGTCATGTGGAGCACTGTCGACCGCCTCATGCACGGCGACCACTCTCACACGGCCGCCACGCCGCCCGCATCGGCCCCATTTCTCGCCACATACCCCCAGGGCCACCCCTCCCCGGCGTTGCTGGCCGTCCTGTCGATGGCATTGGCAAAGGCCGAGCAAGAGAGCGGCAACAGCGATGGACAGGCGGGGTGCGGCAAGGCGGCCGCATACGCGCTGTGTCAGCAGGTGATACTCATGGGGGGCGCGGGGAAGCCCGCTGGCGACGAGGGCCGCGCCCACACCGAGGGGCTTTTCGTCAAGCTGACGGGGCTGTGGGTGGTGCTGGCACGCTGCTACACCAGCTCCCTCTTCAATCGTGACCTGGAGCCGCTGGCCGCCGACTGCCCCTGGCCCGTGACGCCATCGCTTCGCCTGTTCCTCTCGTCATTCATGCGGCTGTGTCTCGAGGCGGACCTGTCGGCTCTCTCAGTGGCTGGTGTGCTGTCTCTGCTGGCGACCAGCTGTGCGCCGCCGGGGTATGTGTATCGGGCGAGAGGGGAGGTGCTGGCGTATCGTGGCTGGCATGCTGATGCGGAGGAGGATCGGCCAGCTGACAGGATCGGTATGGGCGGCGGTGTGTGTGGTCTGGAGAGGGACGTGGATGCGGGCCGGCTGCGGGAGCTGATGGACGACTTGGTCGCCATGCTGAGGGACAAGATGCCACTCAGGTGCGTCAAGACACGTCGGAAATTCTCTCATTCCCACCATGTATGTCTCTTGTGTCTGTGTGGTGTCTTTGTGTCATGATGCAGTCTCGCTGTGCGCAAGGGCCTGCAGCATGTGCTCACCCCCGAGACGTCCCCCTTCGCCGCCGCCCTCTCGCGCAACCCACACCTGGCGTGCCTTCTCTCACCCACCACCAGCAACACCACTCAGGCACCCGACACCACCAACGGCGCCAGCACAGACAGCGACACACACATGGCGGCGTGTGACGAGGATGGGGGCGGTGCCGAGACCGACGAGGAGTCCATCTCGTGGTACTCGGATGAAGAGACCGACACCGACGACAACGAGGCCATGGCGCCCGCCACGCCCCCCCCTGCACCCGTCGCCCCCACTCTCCCTCGCAAGCGGCGGAAGATGCACAACGGCACCCCTCTCCGCTGCTACAAGTCCAACAACTCGTCGCCACACATTCACAAGACCGCCACCAGCAGCAGAGCCGCCAATCCTGGTGCTGATGCCGATGGGGGTGGGGGTGGGGGCGCGCCGCCGCTCCCCGTGGTCAACCTGCCTGGCCGAGCGGGAGGGAGCAAGTTCATCGGCCTCCAGAATGTCGGCAACACGTGCTACCTCGCGAGCTTCCTGCAGGCCCTCTTTCTCACGGAGCCCTTCACAGCGCGGCTCTTCAAGGACATCAACCAGCGAGGCAGAGGCAGGGGCGGCGGTGTGGCTGGTGTGGGTCTGGGTGTGGGTGTGGGTGAGGCCGGGCGGCACATGGACATGGGCCTAGAGTCGCTGCTGGGCTACCTGTTCGGTGGGCTCCATCTGAGCACCCGGCTTTACCTCAACCCCAGGATGATCGCGGAGCGGACGCCGTTTGGCGTAGGGCTGCAACAGGTGGGCGAGGCAACACACGCCACCGCACACGACACAAAGTCGTATGCATCTTGTGCATCTCGGCACCGTTTTCCTGTCTGTCTGTCTGTCTGTCTCAGGATGTGACGGAGCTGGCTAGGTGGATGTGGGACGCACTTGGCGGTGCGGGCAACCACCTCATCTCGACGCAATCGAGCCCCAGCTCAACGGCCATCACACAGCCCCCTGTACCCCACCCACCCCCTCGCCCTCTGTCACCCTCACGCACACCAGCCGGCGGGTCCTCGGCGTCGTCATCGCACTCCCAGGCACCACCACCAGCACCAACAGCAGAGGCAGGAGCCTCGTCGTCACATGCACGGAAGAAGTGTGCCGTCGATTCTTGCTTCAGCGGCCGTCTGCTGTGCATCACCAAGTGCAGCCGGCCCACGTGTGGGCACGTCCACGTGCGCACAGAGACCTTCTACGACATCGGTCTGCCGGTCGACCCGCACCCACCGCACCCACCGCCATCCTTCTCCTTCCCCCCGGCCCCCTCACCCAGCAGCAACGGCGGTCCAGGGCCTGGCCAAGGACAGCCACCAGGAGGGCAGTACGACAAGACAGGCGGGGGGGGCGACGGCGGCGTGAGCGGTTCGGGCGGCGGGATGAAGCCGGTTTTGCCTCAAGGTGCTACGGGGGGCTTCACAGGCCCAGCACCCGCCGGATCAGGCATCGGTGTGGACGTGGGTATGGGTGTGGGGGTGGGGGTGGGTGTGGGTATGGAGGACATCGAGGCGGTCGGTGCGCCCCGGCACGGCAAGAGCCGGGGCTCACAGGCGTCGTTCTTCCCTGGATCGCAGCAGCCGAGGCACATACCCTTCTTTGGACTGAAGGGTACGGGAGGAGGCAGGGAGGGGATGATGCATGCGGGTGGATTTGACCTTCTCCGTGTGTGTGTGTGTGTGTGGTCTCATGTATTCCAGGTGGCGAGAACCCCGCCGGCCACAGCCGCGGGGTGCCCCCTGCGGGCCACCCCTCCCTCGTCCCACCTCCCTCTGAGTACAGCATCGTTGTCCACCCGCCCTCCACGGCAAACGCGGCCACAGACACGTCATCTCTCCCCGCCAACAACAATGCGGCCCCAGGAGCGGCGTCATCGAGCAGCGGCAGCAGTGGGGGCGATCGGCAGGCGAGCATGCTGGTGAGCGACCTGCTCGACCGGTTTCTGTCGTGTGAGCTGTTGAGCGACTACAAGTGCGACGGCTGTGGCGAGAAGGGCGTGTGCAACCGTCAGTACTTCGTCATCGAGAAGCCCAAGCACCTCATCCTGATTCTGAACCGGTTCGAGTTCGACCGCCGCACCAGTTTGCAGCACAAGAAGAGCACCCGCGTGACGGTCGAGCGGAAGCTCAACCTGCCCCTGCACACGCAGGCCCAGCCACCAATGCCCTCCCCATCCACCACCGCACCACCACCCACTCTCGCCCTGCAGCATCACCAGATCATCCACGCGCCAAACATCAAGGGCGCCATTCCCTCAGGCCCTCCCGTCCTCCCGCCCGCCCCCTCCGCATGCCAGTCGCAGATGAGCGCCACGGCCGGCCTGGCGAGCGAGGGCAGCGCGCCATACGCCCTCTACAGCGTGGTGGTGCACCAGGGGGCCACGCCGTACTCCGGCCACTACTTCAACATCGGCAGCACTACCAGGGCGGTGCTGCGGGGCGAGGAGAGCGACTCACGGCGGGCGGACGCCATTATGAGCGGCGTTGGCAGCAGCGGGGCCGACGCACTGCAGCAGCAGAAGGGGGACGGCAAGGATGCCGCTGGGGAGGACTGGTACGAGTTCAACGACAGCGTGGTGAGCAAATTCGACGTCGACAAGCTCAACGAGCGCGTCAACGGGTACGCCACGGCCTACATGCTCTTCTACACCCTGGTGGAGCAGCCCACGCCCCCCACCCTGCCGCTGCTCATCCCACGACCCATCTACCACCACGTGCTGTGGGACAACCTCATGGCCGCCATGGGTGACCCGCCATTGCTGCCCGAAGGCTTCGTCGCCTCACACACACAGGCGGCAGGCGGCCAGGCAGGAGGGGACAAGAGCGGCAAGGGCGGGGGCGGTGGGGGACGCAGTACGACTGTCGACCGCCCTGTGTCGATTATAGACACGTCGGGGCCATCGCAGATCTTCTGATGGCCGGCAGGGGAGGTGGCGAAACAGAGCGATAGAGGCAGGCAGGCAGGCAGGAAGGCATGTGTGCCCTTTTAAGTGATCGAGGTGGAGAGATGGACCAAGTAGACGGATGGATGGATGGATAAGTGATGCGTCCAGTCAAAGGTGGCGAGCTGCGTGCTGCCTTGGTATGGGTATGCACGTGTGTAAGTGCGTGTGAGTCTTCTTTTGTGTGAGGCCTTGCACACTGATCCGTGGTGGTGTTTGTTACTAGTTCAACCAACTTGTCGTCAGTCACAGTGGATGCTGAAGAACCAATCCGGGAGATGTCGAGAGGTGATCTCACAAACAGGTCTCATCAGCCATGAACGCAAAGCGGTCTCATCCATCCAGATATCGCCATGTAGGTATGAATCAATGTCCCTAGTCGCCCTCCCGTCCCAGGCATGCCATCCATTCCACCACTCACCCACGTGTGTCTGCCGAATCGTCAGGGGCTCCCGATTTGGAGCTCATGGACCAGTCGACAAACACACTCACATCCACGGCACGGCACCATGGCTATGTGTCTACTATCATCCGTACGTATGGATGAGTCGCAGCAGAAAGGAAAAGCCTGACTAACAAGTGAAGAGACAGCCCACGTCTGTGTGCCGCTATGGCTCCGCGCCCCGGCACCCACACGCACACATGCAAAGCAACACACGTGCACCCACCCATCTCCTGCGGCCATGTCAGCCGTGCCTGGCTGGCTGCCTGGCTGGCTGGCTGCCTGGCTAACGCCCGCATGGCAGAAATCAAAACACGACACGAAAGAAAGCGACACTTGCGCCCACAAAAAAAGGCCATGCCGAAAAGTGGGTCAGACATTCATGCAACATCATACGAAGTAATTACACTTTTCATTCACGCATATGAGAGAAATCAATCAGACCCTGCCATCTCCCGGCCCACTCCTCATCGCACGTCATCCAATCAGGCCATGTCATTGACAGGACCATCGATCTCGTCAACCTTAATGCACTTCGATCCGTCATTATCATTGTGGTAACCCTTGACTCGGAAGCTACAGCGGAAGAGTAGGTTGTCACAGCGGACCTACACAGGCGCATGGCACACGAAGAGGTAGGTGTGTGTGTGTGTGTTTGTGTTTATGTTTGTGTTTGTGCGTGCGTGTGCGCGCCTAATGGCCGGTTGTCCATGCGTACCCTGACTTTGTACTTGGCATCCGCCGCCCCACTGTTGGTGACTTTGATCCATGTGTTGGTCCTGTAGGCCGGAACAATGGTCCAGTCGCTCGACGTCTTGCACGAGGTGCTGGACACAAATACACACGCACACAGACAGTGGTGCACAGAGACGCTGTGTGCTGAGGCTGGCTTGCTCAACTTACCCATCGGCCTTGCAGATTTCCAGTGTGGCATCGGACAGACGGCTTCGGACGTTCCAGGTCTTCCATTCGCCCTGCTTTACGGTCCACTCATCGTTGCCATTATCATCTTTAATGTCGGTGTAGCTGTCAACCCGTCTTCTTCTGTATCGTTTGTTGTGTATCTCTGCACATCACACACACACACACACACACACAGAGATATATATATATACACTCCAGCTATTCCGCCCGGCTTTTTCTTACTGTCGCATCTTTCCTGTTCCTCCAGCACAACGGTGTTATTTCTGTCTCTCTTGACCGGTCGGGCGATGCCCTCATCCCAACGACCTAAGTGTCACAAACGGGAGAGACTCGATGCACTCAGGTCTTATGTCTCGCTCGTGTCATGGACTTACCGCCCGCCTGGATCTCGTCGGGGCTGTCGTATGTGCTCGTCCACAGGCGGTTGTCGTACATGGAGACCCTGACGCCATTTGAAGCAAATTCCTCGCCCCGCATCAGCGATCCGATCTTGGCCTGTTTTATCAGGTCCTGCGCCTGCTCAATCGGCATCTCAATCATCTCCCCGCCATTGTCAGCTGATCAAGTCGATACCAGGCACACGAGGCAAAGCAAGCCAAGATGAGACCCAGCGCAGCCATCAGCCACCCATGCACCTGACGTACCTGGCTGCAGTTTCCGCAGCTGGCATTGGGCGAGTCCACACGCAAGGAGAAGCAGCAGGCCGACACGAACCATCATCGTTGAAGTGAAGGAGAAGGGAAAGAGAAGCTTCGGTGAGAGGGCTGGTGGATTTGACAAGAGTGCTAAGAGGAGCTTTGCAAGAGTTAACGTGGACCGGTAACGGCCCCGTTACCTCCCGCCGTTGCTGCTGCGTCGTTGCCGCCCTCTCTCTCGATCCCCCGTTGCGCTTCGGAACCTTCCGGATCGCCGCCCGTTAGCGCACGAAAATGGCGAGAGCGACGAGCAGATCTATGACTGAGAAGACACACACAGGCATGCTGCAGCACATCAGCGATATCGGCGGCTTCGGGCAGCGTCGCTATGTTCGCACCTGCCGCCGCATCCAGCAATTGCGATGCTTGATGAATGCCGCAGACTGGCAGGCTGCGGATCTTGAAGGCTGCGACGAACACTCATCTTGAAGGCATCTGCTGCTGCTTTGCGAAAGTGACCCTTCGCTTCCCTGTTTCAGCTCGCAGTGGCGATCGGAACTCATGAACCGCTTTTGCACTGTGTTGTCAGCATCAGCATAGTCAGTCAAGTCAGCTAATTCAATGAATCAATATTGAGAAGATCTCGAAGCGAGTCACACGTTGTATGAGCCAGGGCGCCTTGTTGCCTGTGTACTTGCGTACGATTGTGGAATGTTGAGTGCTCTCATGCCCGTGTATGTGTCCCACAACGCAATGCAACATCGTCACGTCGTCACATCTCACTCACACGTGTTCTCCCCATCCATCCATTCATCCATCGATTCCATCATTCATGTGTGTCTGCCGACCCGACCCTGCCAGGAACTCACGATTTCCACTGCCCGAGCGACAGACACACAGCACCAAACCACGCCACACATGCACCCATAGATCCAGCGAGGTAAGGGAAAAGACCAACAAATATAGAGAAGCGAGACCGCACCGCACGTGTGTGACCTTCCCCTCGCTATGCCACTATGGCTGTGCCCCGCCACCCACACAGCCATACAAACACACACACTCCCACACAACACAACACCTACACACCCAGCCATGCGCACATGTCACTGCATGCCCCTTTCTGTGTGGAGAGAGAACAGCCTCCTTTCCGTACCGTACGGCCTACCTACCGTCCTACGGATGAGTGTCTCACATGACACAGACACCACCCAAACAGAGGCAACGGCTTCGCTTTTCACGAGAGTCACATTGGTTCAAGGACAGCACACGACAGGACAGAAGGCAACCCGCCTCAAAGGAACTCTCACAGACATGTACCCACCAACCCAATCAAGAGGCCTCACAGCCTCTCTCAGATCGACCTGATCAGCTCATCACTGCACGACGACAAGATGACCGACAAAAAAAGTGAATCAGACCAATATATCGAAGGAGCAAGTACGTGTGTGCGCACGAGCTACGCATACGCTGACTGAATGGTATCAGTGGCGCAGCGGCCAGCGCATGGTAGCCCCCCGGCCCCACCCACCACTCCACGCACGCAAACAGCCAATGAATTCACCGTGACACCACATGACACACAGCAGAAATCACGAACGGAAACAACGATTGTGTGCATGTGTCAGGACGCATGTGTCAGGACGCTACAGAGAGGAGTGATGCCGTCTTGTGATCCCATCTTAGAGCATAAAATTCACGGGGCCCGAGGGCCGATTGCAGACAGTTGGATCAAAGTCATAGCCAGTGACGACCTGGAAACACAATACACATGCAAACCCAGCACGGGCGCTCAGTGGGCCTTCGCTGTTTGTCTAGTCGCATGTTCGCTCGCTTACGATTGCAGTGCACGGGATGATGCTGTTGTTGCATGTGATCTACATAAACAGATGGAACGCGTGCAAGGCAGGGTATCCGTAGGGGCAGGGTCTCCTGCACGGCAATGCGGAGACCCGGCGTACGTACCTGGACCCTGTAATTATGGAGGCCGAGCCATGAAAAAGCCCTGACCCAGACACTCGTAAATGCTGTCCCCCCGTCCGCCCCGATGCAGTCGTCAAAGCCGAGTCTGCGATGCACACGGACAAATCGTAGCGAATATGTATGTGTAGACAATGGATCCGTAGTGAGTACTGAATCTCGCAGATTTCCAGACGCATTCGACCGAGGGACGTGAGCTTCCAGTTGTGAGCATCGAATGCACGAGGGTTGACTGAGCTTCTGATGGTCCTTGTCTGCCCCGCGGAGACAGGAAAGATGAACTGAGGCCCGTGGATCTCTGCATTCAATCGACGCCCACAAGACAGACAGACACAAACACACAAGACAGCCGGTAAATGAAACGACAAGCATGCCCTTCCCTCCTTCTCGCCGCTTACTGGGGCATGGGGCTTGCTCAGAAGTAACATTGGTGCCGTTGCTATCTCTCTCGACAGGCTCAGAGATATCCGCATACCAGGCAGCTGCATGTGGCCACACACACACGTGTGCGTCTCTCTCTCTCCCAGCGTGTGTGTGTGTGTGCATCAGTGATCATACGTAGGTTGAGGAGCTTCATCCTAGGGTCATCCTCGTCACCACCGCCGGTCCTGGTGAACACGCGGTCGCCGTGCATGACCACCTCGATGCCCTCCGCGGCGTTCTCCATGAGGACAGTGGAGATGGCATTCAGGCGATTCACCCTGTCGACCTCCTCCGGTGCGACCTCAACCTCCTCGCCATTCTCGCCGATGAACCTGGGAGCCGCTGCATGAAGAAGCCACGTGCACAGGGAGAGACGGCACAGAAGGAGAATGCATATCTGTCAAATCTCAAGCGCGGCCACGCGCATCATGCATCAGTGGAGTGGAGGGGAGTGGCTCACGTTCCGCTTGCAGTCTGCGGATCTGGCAGTTGGCGACGCCCGCGAGGGCAATGAGCAGCAGCAGGCAGAAGACCTTCATGTCGGGACAAAGATACCAAGGGGGGAGGTGTTCCCGTTAGCGCTTCCCGCCAGCGCTTTCCGAGCTCGCTTCCCGGCTGGCCGAGATCTTGTTGAAGGGAGTGACAGACACCCATCTTAGAGCCACTCTCTTTCCCCCTTCTGGTAAGAATCGCACCTTCTTGGACCTTTGGCTTCAAGCTCGCACTGCAGGCTTGGGGTTCTGTAAAACTGCTCCCACGAGGGAATTGGGAAGACAAGCGCGCAAGCGCTATTCGTAGCAGAAATGGGTGATACGGACGTTGCGATGCAGCCGCCACCACCGTCTGAGGCGGCGGCGTCGAACCAGCCTCTTCGCTCTCTCACCGAGCCTGCCGCGAGTAGGCCTGCCGACGCATCGCTTTTCATCCCCGCAGCCGACGCCTACCTGCTTGAGGACGAAGAGAAGAACAAAGCACAGGCCCAACACAACCAGAAGATCAGGGTGGGTCCGCAAAGGAAAGGGCGAGCAATGACAGACAGATGTGACACGCCCAGACAGATGTGACACGGGAAATCACTATGGTTGTTTCTGCTCTCTTCTGATGCATGCAGGACTTGCTTACCGTTCGTCGTCAGTCGTCGCAGCAGCAGCAACCACAACAGGAGGATGACAGGCCGGCCAGCGGTGCGGACGTCATCCTCTTCTCGCCAGAGCGGCCGCCGGCACGAGCTCATAATGCAGTCGACAGACAGACCAGCAGAAAGCGACAGAGGTGCGCATACACCGAGCAACTGACACAGAAGCGCATGTGCTGGCGATTCGTGTGCGTGTGTGCGTGTAGGAGTAGCATGGATGCCGTGCAGCGCGTGGCGTCTGATCCATCTCTTCCCGAAATGTCACCTCTCACAGACGCGATGGAAGCCGACGACGACGTAAGGACAGCGCAAACGCCTTTCTGTGTCCATGACCATCATGCGTGCACATCTGTGCGTGTGTGTGTGCGTGCGCGTGTGTGCGTGCGCTCCCAGGAGAGCGCGTTGCGTCCTCCGTGGTTGATGGGTGCATTCAGCGCTGCGTTGTGTCAGAATGCGGCGCTGCGGCTGCACGAGGAGATAGTTCAGTTCTGCCGCTGGATTGACCCCGCCAAGGAGGAACGCACACTCAGACGAAAGGTAGATCGAATGGCAATTGGTGACAGGGTCCGTGGGCACATCGATGCATGCATCGTTTGGCTGCTGATTCAGTTGCTGAGTCGTGTGCGGGAGGCTGTGCGGTCGATCTGGCCCAATGCGACAGTGGACGCATTTGGATCATGTACGTGTACGCCTGGATGCATACGTCCACCACACCATTGGTCTCTCTCGGTCTGTGCACCGCGCCCCAATGATTTGTAGATCGCACTGGGCTGTACCTGCCCAATGGCGACCTCGACATCGTAGTCGACGGTGAGTCCACACGACAGACAGACAGACACATGTGCGGCCATGTGTGAACAACTGGATGTGTGTGTGTGTGTGTGTGTGTGTCAGGTCCCCCCAGTGGGCAGAACGCGTTGAAGAAGTTGGCGAGTCACCTGCTCAAGATGAAGATAGCGCGTGCGATGGAGGTGATAACCCGCGCCAAGGTGCCGATCGTCAAGTTCATCGACAAGGAGCGGGGCGTCCCCGTCGACATCAGCTTCAACCAGCCCTCCGCCATCACCACCACTGACCTCATCGTGCAGAAGGTGCGTGAAGCAGTGAGTCGGTGCGTGGCTGCATGGGTGAGTGAGTGAGTGTGTGTTGGTCAGTTGAAGGAGTATCCCGTGTTGCGTCCGATGCTGCTGCTGCTCAAGCTGTTCCTGCAACAGGTGGGAGAGACGAGTGATGACACACACCTGTGTGCATGTGTGTATGATGTGTGGTTTCTCCTGGTCTGCGCACAGCGCAATCTCGCTGAGACGTACCGTGGCGGCGTCGGGTCGTACCTGCTCTTCGGGATGGTACACAGAGAGGCGGGGAGACCTGCGTGCACTCATGTGCGGCGTCTTCCTGCCTGCGTCCGTCAGGTGTTGAGTTTTCTGCAGCACCACCCGGCCACCAGCTCCAAGAACAGATACAAGACCACATCGCTCGGTCAGGGAGTTGAGTGCGCATCAATGAGTGCATCGACAGGACGCTCCGAACGTCTTCTGTGTGTCTCTTCATTCCCTTGTTCATTCAGGTCACTACTTGTACGACTTCATGAAGCTCTACGGCAACGACTTGAGATACGACGTCGTCGGCATATCGTGCGCAAACCACCCATCCAGCCACATCGACACATGGACACACAACATGTGCACGCAACTGTGCATGTGTCTCTGCTCTCTCATGTGCAGGGTGGAGGGCCGGGGACGGTACTTCAACAAGCGGCAGCGCGGCTTCTTGTACGCCGATCGACGCGACCTTCTCGCATTCGAGAGCCCACTGGTCAGCTACAGGACTGTATGCACGAATTTCGATTGCACCGATCTACTGTGTGACATACATGGTGTGTAGGATCCCGATACTGATTTGGGCCGCAATGCCTTCCAGATGCCGCGGGTGCGAGTGGCATTCCAGTTCGCATACCAGGTGACGACGCATCGACCCACCCAGCCAGCCGCCCAGCCACATCGATGGTGTTGCAATCCCATCCCTCATGTTGCCCTCCCTCAGATGTTGAGTCGGCTGTTTCAAGGGCTGGACCCCCCGCTGGACCCCTCTGCGTCGCTGCTATGCTCGCTGGGCATCATCTCGCCGAAGGACCCGATCCTACACGCAAGAAGGAGACCGTGGCCGCCACCTGACAACGAGGTCAGTGAGGGAGTGAGTCAGCCAGACAAAGAACCACACAATGCATCTGTGCATGATCTCTCCGTGTGCGTATGTGTGTGTACCTGTACCCACTGTTCAGTCGCTGGGAGTGGGTGTGGGCATCTTTGTGGATCATGCCCAGGAGGCCAAGAAGGAGGAGGACGCCGAGAAGAAGGGCAGGATTCGCGACCCCAATGCGCGCAGAGCAAGTATGAGCCGTAAACGCAACACACACCACACACCACACAAATCACGGGTGCTCCCGCCTGTAGGCACGCCCAGCAACTCCATCATGATCGACACCTCGTCGGCCCTCCCTGCACCAGCTGCTGCAGCGCCCGCAGCGGCGTCATCAGCACGCCCCGCAGCCAGCCACCCACACCGCCACAACCAGCTCCAGCACCAGCGGCAGCAGCGAGTCGAGCCGGAGGTGATCGACCTGGAGGCAGAGGACTACGAACCACCAGCACCACCACCAATGGCACAGCAGCAGCAGCAGCAGAGGGGTCCGGTGCCGATATACCTGGAGGCATTGTCGTCCAGCGATGAGAGTGAGCAGCAGAAGCGGCGGTTCAAGAGGGGCAGGACGGGGTGACTGGCTGGGGGACGGGGCCAAGGGGGAGGGAGAGGAGGGAGAGAAGGGAGAGGAGAGAGAGGTGGGAGTGGTCCAGTACTACGTCGTGTTGTTGGCTTACAGGCTGGTGGATTTGTGGGCGGGAGAGAGGTGCACTACCTGTATGGTATGCCGTGTTTGGGAGGGTGTGGTTTTGCTATCGGGTGAGTCTGCCTGTGAGTCGAGTGGAGTGGACCTTCCTCGGTGTTTTTGATGTGAATGCCACGTCAAATCGAATCGATTTCACATCCCGAATGGTGCATCCACACACACACAGAAGATTGCCTGCGGTCCGTCACGGTCCGTCAAAGTTCGCACAACCATCCGGCACACGGTGTCGCATTCATTTCCCGCCCCTTCAAACCCCCCACACCCACACACAGCTCGCCCACCCACGCCAGTGATCCCGCCTAGCCGGTGTTTCTGGTGTAGATTTGCTGCGCGTGGTGGTGGTCGCCCACCATCTTGATCAAACCCTTGGCCTTCAAGTCACGGATGGCCGCACGGGCGAGGCTACCTGCGTACACATGGGCCCACACCCACACCCACACCATATGCGTCATGCGGCGAGTGTGTGTAGTTTTGGCGGTTGGGAGGTTGGGCTGACTGGCGTACCGTTGACTTTGAGTCGTTCAGCGATGATGGCTGGCGTGATGAGTTTGGCCTTGGGGATCTCCTTCATGAGCTTGTCGAAGGTCTCCTTGTCAAACATGACCGCATTGTTGGCCTTCTCGCGGACCTTGCCCTTCGACCACTTCTGCACTCGCCAACGCACACGCACCACCCAGACACACACACACACACACACCACATCAGCTGTGTGTCCGTCGTTGCGTGTGTGGTGTGTGGTGTGTGGTTGTGAGCGTGCCTTCTTCTTTTGCCTCCCTCCTGCCGCGGCGGCCTTGGCTTTGGCCTCCTTGGACTTCTGCACCTTGGGAGCCATCCTCGCTCACACTGACAGCAACACCACACACAAGCAACAACCACAACCGGTGTGCCACACCTTCTGACGAGGTCTCGGCTGCTACGCTGGCTCGACACAGCTTCCTGACCGTCCCAATGCCCCCTCTGATCACGCTATCGCCCTCCATGATGCCTGGTCTTCCCTCACGTCCCCTGGCTGCACAGATCTGCCTCTCTGCGGTCATGTGTCGGCTTATCTGTCTGAACCGCCTTCTCTGTCGTGTGCTAAGTGCCTGTGCGCTCACCAGGAAGGCCTCTTGGGCTCAGACTGCGAGCTTGCACAGCTTATCAGCGGTTTCAGGGAGCACCCTAGGCGGCTCGTGGGTCACAGAGAGAGTCTCGTCAAACACAATAACCAACCAACCAACCGCCGCCTCATGAATCGGAAGGGCCACAATGAGGCCCCTGAGCTGCTGAGCCAGACCGCCAACGATGCCATTGGCGCAGATCTCCTTTCGTCATCGGGCGAGGCCTTCACAGGGGCAGTGCGGAAGTTCGTCGGTGCGTGCATCAATTGCCGCCTTACTGTCGCGCAGGTCCGAGGTGTGACCGCCCGGCTTCTCGACAAAGATGCTCTGCGTCGCATCCTGGTGCGGCTGACGGACGACAGCGACAAAGAGACCCACCTGGCTGCGGCAGATCTGCTCGGAGTTCTTTTTATAGAGATCGAGGCCGATCTTGCAGCATTGCAGCAATCTCAGCTGGTCGATGTGGCTGCTGTCATTGTGGACGTGGTGACCTGGAGGCAGGCCGCAGAGGGCGGCAGCCGCTGCTATGGGCCTGACGAGAGCCTATACGTCAAACACATCCTCAAAGCTGATGCTGCAGTGGATGTCATGACGCCGGTGCGACTGGGGCTTCTTGCCTCGGTGCTTCGGGCCCTGCGTGCCGCTGCACCCGAGGAGGGCGCTCGTCTCCGAGACTCAGTGCTCGCCAACCATCAGACCACCATCAAGCAGTGTCTGAAGGTCATCCGCACCGATACCGATGGGTCTCCGGCGTTTTCCGCTTCGGCACCGGCGTTTTCCGTCGTGAAATTGCTGCTGCAGCCTGTCAACCCATCGTCATCTTCCCCCGATGCGGACCCCACGCCCATTCCCCTCCACCTCTCCCTCCCTTTATTCACACTGCTGACGGACCAGCTGATGTCCCTGGCGGAAGGGGCGACCTGCATGGATGCACAGAGGTGGTCGTATGTAGCTGTTCTACCTCCTCTGCTTGCCCACGCAGCCTCAGAGAGGCAGAGCAGATGTAAGATGCAAACACACAAGAGCTGATGGAGTAGAAATGAGCACTTAGCCCGTGTCGTGTGTGTGTCCGTTCATCAGCTCTGCGCCAGAAGGACGTGAGGCGGCTGCTCGAACAGCACCTTTGTGCACACGTGGACACGCTCGTGAGACTCATCACCTCGGCGGAAGGAGGGACGTTGGCTGTGGCGGCGGCCACACTGGGTGCAATCACAGTGTGCGCCGCTGCTTTGAGCACTCAATCGCGCCACCCCTTCCCCCTGTTGTCATGCCGGCCGCTGCTTGACAACCCCTCGCTGATCATCAGAGCCGTTGAAGCGGCAAGTGCCCTTCGTGACCGGGACATCGAGCTGCCGCCAACCGCCTACTCCGCAATACTCGGCTGTATGATGATACCGGCAGGATTCGCTATCGGTCAGACAGAATGGCCATTAAGAGGGAGGGAGAGAGAGAGAGAGAGAGAGGGGCGCAGGAGGGACACAAAGTGAGATGTAAAGCTAGGGCTGGGTGTATGCTGTGTTTCCCTTCACAGATTCGGGAGACGTTGGCCCAGGTCGTCGGGTGGTAGAAGCTGTCTGCCAGCTATTGACCGAATCTGTGGGGCCGGTACCTGTCGACTGCATCGTCGACGTCCTCCAGCAGTTGATCAAGTGAGCGGAGGATTGACGGTGGGAGCTGGCCCTACAGGCTGCATGCATGCGTGTCTGTCATGGGCTGTCCTGCAGAGGGGGTCATGAGTTGGTCACTAAGGGCAAGGCCACAAGCAACCCGTTCGTCGATCAGATCGTTCAGGTGAGTGCAAGCATTCACCCGCGGGTCGATAGCAACGTGTCCGTGTCTGTCTGTGTGGTTTACTGCCAGTGTGAGGCCGTCCAGCAGCTGAGAGGCCGCCGTGACCTGTCAGCAGAGGTGAGGGACGAAGCCAATGAGACCACACTACCAAACAAGGTGGGTCGGTGATGCCATCCTCCCGTTTCTATAGGTGTCGTCGTTCATCGATTCGCTACCCAAGGCGGCCAGCGCGTGCAGCAGCTCAGCCGCGGCGGACCGATCGCGCCGCCCGGTCAAGCCCAAGACAGCCACTCAGACTCATCATGCGTCAGGTCCGCCCTCGCCGCCTCACCCATCGACATCGTCTGGCGGCCTCGATGGGCTGGAGGACGGCCTCTTCTCGGACGACATCGACACATTCACTGCGGCAGTCAAAGACGTTGCCGGCTGCCTTGGTAGCGCAACGGGTGCCGAAATCGATGCATTTGTCAGGCGGTTGGCGGTGAGGTTTGGCAAGGACAGGGAGGCCTTCCGCCGCATCCTGACGTGTCTGGTGGACGGCAGCAATGCCAAGTCTACTCTTCAGCTGGTGATTGGCGCCGTACTCGACATCCCCTTCTCGAGAGGCCTCCTGTCCTTCATGCCCTCGTCAAATCGGGTTGCGGCCATCCAGGACATCTTCGAGATCGTCACATGGAAGCAGCTTGAGGAGGGAGGAGGGGAGGGGGGTGACCTGGGCGGGGAGGTCGACAGCAACATCGCGTCTGCTTTCGTCCAGGCATCGTCAGCCGACGAGCCGCTGCCCCGTGCCATCGATGTGGTGACATATGCGAGACTGCGCTTTATTCGATACGCTCTTGAGGCGGCCACCGCCCTTGAAGCTTCAGGAGGGCCGCAGCTCCGCGCGAGCTTCCTTCAGACCCACCAAACGACCCTCCGGCAGGCGATGAGTCTCATTTGTGAGCGCAGACACGCACGTGTCGTTAACGAGGCCTTCGTGATGCTGAAGAACCTGTTCGCGACCAGCCCCGTCGGCCCATCATTTCAACTCGTGCTCGAGTTCTTCTCCATTTTCGTCGAGAGCCTGAAGCAGCTGACTGATGAGCGACCAGTGGGGACGTGCCGCTTCTTACTGCCGCTGGTCCATGCCGCAGAGTATCTACGGGACTCCCCACGAGAAGGTCAGAAAAGTGCACGTTGAAATGCTCTTTGAACGAGGCTGCTGTCCTTTGTCTTGGCAGGTATCGTGACGGAGTGGCCGGCCATCAAGGCGGCTCTCAACACACACGTCTACGCGCACATAGACACGCTGCTGAACCGCATCGCGGCGTCCGATCCTTCCTCTCCCCTGTGCTTGGCGGCGATCTCCACCGTGGGAGCTCTCCTCCTGGCCGCCATCGTCCTCTGCGTCCGAAAGAAGAAAGGTAGGCAATGGAAGGGATGGCGTGGGAGCGTCCGTCATGCACCTGGACTGCGTGTGTGTCTACGGGTGTGGGTGCTATTGGGGAAGGCCAATTATGGGACCTGATCGAACAGAACGGTGTGGCCAAGATCACGGCCGCTGCCCCTCTGCCGATGCAGCCGCTTAGTCGTCTCATTTTGGATGCCGCCATCCGCGACAAGGTGGTGAACGCATTGGGCATGGACTACACGTACAAGGGTATGCCGATCTCCCTCGGACTGTTCACAGCGACCGCTCTGCTGATGCCGGCGATGGCCATGATAGGTCCGTCTGTGAGCTCGTGAAGCTCCTAAAGTCCCTCAACTATGTGTGTGTGAGTGTGTGTATTGGGGTGTGTGTGTGCAGATGGTGGGGAGGCTGGCCTTGTGGTCGAGTCGGGCTTTATGTCCACCCTCATCTCACTCCTGGACAACGCCGAGAGGACGGGCGTGACTATGATGAACCTCTGCATGATTTGTGTCAAGACGCTCAGTCAGAGAGATCGAAAGGTCAGCAAAGGAAGGTCACGGACCTCCCATCTCATTTGGACGAGAGTGCTGCGGTGGTGCGTTTGTTTGTGTGTAGGTGTTGGGGACCGATGGACTGGCAGAGGCCATATGTGGCATGCTGGTCAAAGACGCACAAGGACATCTCAGTGCAGAGGAGTGGGCGGGTATCACTGACAGTGAACGCAAGACGGCTGTCGACATTCTCAAGAGCATCGTCAGGTGAGCCATGTGCTGCAGACAAGGAGGGCCGGCACATCCATTAGTGTGTCTGTTTGTCGCTGTGTGATGCATGTCAGCTATGGCAAGTCGCTGGTCGCCAGAGGCACACCGAATCCCATCGTCGGGCAGATACTGCAGGTACGTTAACCGAGGGTCGTGTGTGCTGTGCCCTCCTGACTGACTGACTGTGTGCCACCATGTCAGTTCGAGTCGGTCAAGGCGGTCCGGAAGCGCAGCAGCGGCACGAAGGCGTCTTCACAAGTGAGCAACGCTCCTGCACAGCACGAGACTCTCCTCTCCACCCATCTCTGTGCCCCAACAGGTCTTGGAATTCTTCACTTCCCTCGCCCAGCAGCACCAGAAGGACACCAAGGCCAAGCCCGAAACCGCCATCTCGGCCGCCCAGTTGGCGGCCCAGGAGGCCAAGGCGAAGCGGATGCAAGAGGCCCTCCTCGCCGAGGAGCGACGTGAGAAGGAGGCCAAAGAGAAAAAGGGCAAGGGCAAAAAGCGAACAAGGGCGGCAAGGGACACCACCAGCAGCAGCAGCAGGAGGCTGCAGCTGGGGATGCGGCGAGCCCCTCCGATGCGGTGATTGAGCCATCGGTGCCCTCCACCGCCGCATCCACCAGGTAGGAAAGCCATCCACACCAAAGACCATGGCTGGCGGGAGTGTTTACCTCATGTGTGTGTGTGCAGTCGGGCTTCTGCTGCGGATGAGGTTGAGGCGAGTCAGCCGGAGCCCTCTTCGTCCATCGCCGACACGTGAGCAATCCACCCACTTGACGAGATGCCCCGGCACATTCGCTTCCTCTGTGTGCGTGTCGATCTCTTTCTTTGCAGGTCTGGTGCGTCTGGTGTGCCATCCGTGTCAGCCGCTGCGGGCAGCGACCGGCCTGGTGATGGTGGCGATGCAGCAAAGTCGGCGGCTGGTGGAAGCGACGGTGACAGTGATGATGAGGACGGCGACGCTATGCTGCTCAACTCGGCATTCGGGCAACACGCACGGCAACAGCTGAGCGAGGGCAAGAAGAAGAATAGCAAAGGCAAACACGCCACCAAGCCCACTCCGAAGCCCACAACTCAGCCGAGCCAGCCGCCCAGCCCCTCACTCCCACCAGCACTCCGGACCACTCAGACGGGGCAAACGGGCCGCCCTGCACCTGCCGCCAATGAGGACCGTTATCGCGGCGGCAATGCCCCCATTCGGATGCCCGCCCCCATTCCCCTCTCAAGCGCCCAGTTCCCCAAGGGCCGCTTCAAGTCGTCACCTGGCAATGGGGGGCTGGCCCCTCCTCTGCCGAAGCGTCCATCGCCACTGCTGTCTGACGATGACAGTCCGTCTGGCGGTGTGTCGCCTCCCTTTCGGCATGTGGGAGGTCGTGGGGCGGGGAGGGGCCTCATAACGATGTTTTCCCCCCACCCGCCCCCTCCTCCCTCCATCCCCCACCGACTCCCGTCGGCCGAGGAGCTGCGCACCAGGCCGTCGCTGCAGCAGCAGAGCGACAAGACGACCGACTGCAGCCGACACGTGGCGAGGGGCCGAGATGAGATGGCCGCACACAATGAGCGCTGTGATCCGATCGCAATGATCGCTTTTTCCCCTACTGTGTGTCCCAGTCTGTCTACTGGTGGTCCTTCGCTGAGTCGCTTCTTCGCCAATGCGCCTGTCGGGCCAGTACCACCGGCTGCTGCTGCCGCTGCTGGTGGTCGTGGCGCTGGTGGGCTGTCGGCAGATCCATTCTATGACAGTGGCGGTGACGACATGTACTGCGTGCCGCCGCCGCCGGCCTTTCCACCGCCGCCCCCACCACAGCCACCGATCGACCCAAAGTAACACGGGCATGTGATGTCTGTCAGCAACGATTTCATTGATTTCTTGTCGCCTGCTTTGGCGTGCAGTGGTTTCCATCCGATTGGTTCCCCTATCCCTGTCAGCTACAATGGCGGCCCACAGCCGTCCGGCGCTCCTTCCGCACATCCATTTGGTTTCCCCAATCTTGTCCCGTATAGCCCAACCCCAGCTGCTGCCGCTGCCGCTACAGCTAGTGATGGTGGTGGTGGGCTGTCGGCTAACCCCTTCTATGGCTATGACAGTGGTGATGATGAAGACATGTATGTGCCGCCCCCGCCGCCCATTTTCGAGTATGAGGAGGCAGGATACCAGCCGCCCTCAACGAGCAGCGCAGCCGACCCCTTCGCTGCGGCTGAGACGGCCTGGGCTATTCAGGGCGGCAATGGCGGCCCGTCCAGGGGGTACACAGAGGCAGGCAGAGACGAGAGGGAACGATAGCACGTATCACTCTGTTCCCTGGCTGCTACGTGCTTGTGTGTAGGTTTGGTGCGGTGATGGGCGCCGCGGCGGCCTCCAACAGCGAGCATCTGGTGGACCAGCTATGCCGCCAACTGGAGCAGACTCAGCAGGAGGCCAAACAAAAGGACCAGGAGGCCAAGCGGAGGGCTCGAGAGGTGCAGGAGGCTAAGGAGAAGGAGGAGGCGCTAGTACGGCAGCTGCAAGAGGCGCAATGGACGTAAGTGCGATTTTCGCATATCGCATATCTCATTCACTTCGTTCAATGGTGTCCTGCTTGACAGGATTGCCAAAATGGCCGCAAAGCAGTCATCGCACCACCACCAGCCCTCCTCGTCCAGCAGCAGCTCATCGGCACCACCCCCACCCACACACCAGCCACAGCAGCCACAGCAGCCACAGCCCCAGGGTGGCGAGTGCAGTCTGTGCATGGACGCGCCCGCGTCGGTCGTCTACATGCCCTGCCGACACCTCCGGGTGTGCCCCAAGTGCTACGATGCCAACAAGGCCAGAGTGCACCGCAATCTCAGCCGCGTGAGGGCCGAGAACGACCGACGCAAGAAGGAGAATGAGGAGCGCAAGAGGCAGAACGAGGGCCGCGAGGAGGACAAACAGCTGCCGATGGTGAAGCTGCTGGAGGAGCCCCACTATGTGTGTGAGCACTGCAATGGCAGGGTGGAGTTCGGTGGCTCGGTGGAGGAAGCCATGCAGTGGGTGGCCAACAACCTTCTCACTGCCTGACACACAGACAGACACGCAGACAGACAGTCGTGGCTTGGGGAGAGAGGGATGGTGTGTGTTCGCTTGTGGGTTGGGGAGGTCAGTCTGTGTGCCCTTAGCGCCGGAGGGAGGGAGGGAGGGAGGGAGAGTTGGGGGTGGGTGTCTCTCAAGTACTAGCGTTATGTAGCGCGAGCAACGTGTGAGCCAAAGATCCCATCGCTCACCACGTCTGTGTGTGTATACCTATCTGTATTTGTGTTGAAACCATCTAGAAGAGGGCCGGGCGGGTGCTTCAGCCCCAGGTTTAAGTCATTGCACGGACGATGGTGGAGTGAGTCGGGAGAAAGGAGGGCTGGCGAGCGTCGGTGAGCGGTGGAGGGCAACAGGCAGGCGCAGATATCCGTTGCCGGCCATGTTTGTCTGTCGCGGGTGCTTAGGTACGTGTGTGCCATTTATATGTGTGGGTCCGTTTTTGTCTGACTCCTCATCCCTCTCATCCCATGGCGCCAGTGTCTTAGGTGTGTTTGTCCCGTCCCGGCCGGTGTCTCTATCTGTATGTGTGTGTCCGCTGCCTTGTTTGCATTCACGTGATGTGTGTGCATCATCATGGATGGAGCGGAATGGACGGCTGGCCATATGGGCGGAAAAGGTCTGAGTCTTTATTCGCGTTTCGACTGAGACGTGCGCGTGCGTATAATGTGTGGCTTCCCTGCATTCATGCAATGCATCCACACACTGCTCGCTGTTCGTGTGCATGTGCATGCATGCCGGCATATTCATGCATGCACATGAACATGCCGGCATGCATGACGCGATTGTGCGCAATGAATTCGATCCCTCTCCCGGCATTGCGCGCTGAGCCTCTCCGCAGTGCGAGCTACGCTTCATCCACGGGAGCACGAGAAGAGCTTTCCAGCCGCCCTTTGCCCTTCCACGTGTGTAGCTCTGCCACATCAATGAGGAAGGGATCTCGCGAACCGCAGCTGAGCGAGAGCGACATCGACCCCATTGCGGCAGATCTACTCTCAGCGGACCCCAGCACCCTCACAGCAAGAGCGCGGAAACTGTGTGGGCGACTCACCAGACAGCAAGGGCAACATCTGGCTGCCCGCCTTCTCGAGGACAAAGATGGGCTGCGTCGCATGCTGGCACGTCTGCTGGACGGCAGCAATCAAGAGACCCAGCTGGCTGCGGCCGACCTGCTGCTCTACCTTATTAGGTGGATCAAACCCGCTCTTGCAGCCCTGCAGCGGTCTCAGCTGGCCGACGTGGCTGCTGTCTTTGTGGACGTGGTGACCTGGAAGGAGGCCGCAGAGGGCGGCAGCCGCTGCTATGGGCCCGACGAGAGCCTGGCCGTCAAAGAAGTCCTCAAAGCTGATGCTGCAGTGGATGTCGTGACCTATGTGCGGCTGCTGTTTCTTGCCTCTGTGCTTGAGGCTCTGCATGCCGCCGCACCCGAGGAGGGCGCTCGTCTGCGGGACTTAGTGCTCGCCGGCCACCAGACCACCATCAAGCAGTGTCTGAAGGTCATCCGCACCGATACACATGGGTCTCTTTCGAGTATGGCGTCTTTCGCCTTGAGTACACTGCTGCTGCCGTTCACCCCGCCGCCATCTCGCCCCGAAGTGGACCTCACGCCCGTTCCCCTCCAGCTGTCCCTGCCACTGTTCAGCCTGCTGGTCGACCACCTGCTGAAGCTGGTGGAAGGAGCGATCATGGACCCACAGGGATGGCGGCGGACGCTGGAGCTGCCTGGTCTTGTTGCCGGTGCAGCCTCACAGAGGCAGAGCACATGTAAGATGCAAACACACAAGAGCTGATGAGCGAGTGACCGGTGTGTGTGTGTGTGTGTCCGTCCGTCAGCTCTGCGCGAGAAGGACGTCGAGCGGCTCGCTGAACTGCACCTCTGTGCCCACGTGGAGCTCACGCTCATGGGCATCATCAGCTCGGGAGAAGGGGGGGCGTTGGCTGTGGCGGCGGCCACACTGGGTGCCATCATGGTGGGCGTCCTCAAACTCAGCGAGCAGTTCGACTCTCTCCCCCCTTTCCCCATGTCGTCATGCCGGACGCTGCTTGACAATCCCTCGCTGATCATGACGGCCATCAAAGCGGCCAGTGCCCCTCGTGACCGAGAGGGCGAGTTGACGCCAGCCGTCTGCTCCTTAATACTCGGCTGTTTGAAGATACCGGCACAATTCGCTATTGGTGAGACAGAGACAGAGAGAGAGAGAGAGAGAGAGGCGCAGGAGGGGACACAAAGTGACATGTAAGCTAGGGCTGGCTGTATGCTGCTCCTCTGCACAGATTCGGGAGACATTGATTCAGGTCATCGAGTGGTAGAAGCTCTCTGCCAGCTATTGACCGAAACCGTGGCTGCATGTGCCCGCCAGCGATTACTCGTCTTCTGTATTGTCAAGCTCCTTGAGGAGATGATTGAGTGAGCGGGAGCACCTTGGAATACTGGGTGTAGTGGCTGCCATACGCTGCATGTATGTGAATCTGTCATATGGGCTGTCCTGCAGAGGGGGTCATCAGTTGGTCACTAAGGGCATGGCGACAAGCAACCCGTTCGTCGACCAGATCGTTCAGGTGAGCACCGAACAAAGGAGATGGGTCATGCGGCCATAGGTCAACCGCAATGTGTCCGTGTCTGTCTGATTGTGTTGCTTATTGCCAGTGCGAGGCGATACAGCAGTTGAGAGACCGCCTTGACCTGTCAGCGGAGGTGAGGGACAAAGCCAGCGAAACCACACGACCAAACAAGGTGGGTCGATGATACCATCCTCCCGTTGGTGTAGGTGTCGTCGTTCATCGATTCGCTCCCCAAGACGGCCAGCGCAGGAACCAGCTCAGCTGGGGCGGACCGATCGCACGGCTCACCCACCCACATGACAACCACTCACACTCATCATGGGTCAGGGCCTCCCTCGCCGCCTCATCCATCGACATCATCTGGCGGCCTCGATGGGCTGGAGGACGGCCTCTTCTCGGACGACATCGGCACAGTCACTGCGGCAGTCAGAGGCATCGCTGACCATGTGACGACTGCAGTTGCTGATCAATTTGGCAAACGGCTGGTCAGGAGATTCGCCAAGGAGAGGACGGCTTTCCGCCGCTTCCTGATGCGTCTGGTGGATAGCAGCGGAGTGGAGTGCCAGGTGGCGGTCGCTGACCTGCTGGTCAGCCTCCTCTCGCCGGACTTCCTGTCTGAGATGGCCTTGTCTGATCATCTGTCCGCCATCCAGGACATCTTCGAGATTATCACATGGAAGCAGCTTGAGGAAGGAGGGGCGGACGCCAACCTGGGCAGTGACCTCAAGAGCGCCATCGCGTATGCTTTCGTCCAGACATCGTCAGCCGACGAGCCTCCCCCCTCCGCTACGTCTGTGGTGACATTTGCTCGACTGTGTCTCATCAAGTCTGCTCTTGAGGCGGCCACCGACCTCGAGGCGGCAGGAGGGCCGCAGCTTCGCGCGAGCTTCCTTCAGAGCCACCAAACGACGCTCCGGCAGGTGATGGATGTCATTTGTGAGCGCAGACACGCACGTGTCGTTGACGGGGCAGTCATGATGCTGCAGAAGCTGTTCGAGCCCAGCCCCTTCGGCCCATCATTTCAACTCGTTCTCGAGTTCTTCTCCATATGCGTCGAGATCCTCAAGCAGCTGACGAATGAGCGACCAGTGGGGACGTGCCGCTTCTTACTGCCGCTGATGTGTGCCGCAGAGTATCTACGGGACTCCCAACGAGAAGGTCAGAAAAGTGCACATGGACATGCTCTTTGAACGAGGCTGCTGTCCTTTGTCATGTCAGGCATTGTGGAGGAGTGGCCGGCCATCAAGGCGGCTCTCAACACACACGTCTACGCTCACATGGACACATTGGTCGCCCTCATCAAAGCGTCCGATCCTTCCTCTCGCCTGTGCTTCACGGCGATCTCCACCGTGGGAGCTCTCCTTCTGGCCGCCATCGCCGTCTGCATTCGAAAAAAGAAAGGTATGAAACGAACCGGATGGCGCGGGAGCGCCCGTCATGCACCTGGACTAGGTGTGTGTCTACAGGTGTGGGTGCTATTGGGGAAGCCAAATTGATCTTCGTCCAGGACGCGATCGAACAACACGGTGTGGGCAAGATCATGGCCGCTGCCCCTTTGCCGATGCAGTCGCTTCGTCGTTTTTTGCTGGATGCCGCCATCGGCGACAAGGTCCTGAACGCATTGGACATGGACCACACGTACGAGGGTATGCCGATCTCCCTCGGACTGGTCACTGCGACCGCTCTGCTGATCCTGGCGATGGCCATGATAGGTCTGTCATTCAGTCGGTGCACGTCCCACACTCCGACAACCATGTGTGTGTGTGTGTGTGTGTGTGCAGATGGTGGGGAGGCCGGCCTTCTGGTCGAGTCGGGCTTTATGTCTACCCTCATATCGCTCCTGGACAGCGCCGAGAGGATCGGGTCGATGGTGGTCCTCTCCATGGACTGTCTGAAGACGCTCATTCAGAGAGATCGGAAGGTCAGCAAAGGAAGGTCAGCAGAGGAACATCACTGGCACCCCATCTCATTTGGGCGAGAGTGCTGCGGTGGTGCGTTTGTGTAGGTGTTGGGGACTGACGGACTGGCAGAGGCGATATGTGACATGCTGCGCAAAGACGCACAGGGACATCTCAGCGGACACGAGTGGGCGGGTATGACTGAAAGTCACCGCGGCACTGCTGTCAGCATCCTCAAGAGCATCGTCAGGTCAGCCATGAGCTGCAGCCAAGGAAGCCCGACGCATCATTGAGTGTGTCTGTTTGTTGCGGTGTGCTGGATGTCAGCTATGGCAAGTCGCAGGTTCGCAAAGGCGCGCCGAATCCCATCGTCGGGCAGATACTGCAGGTGGCGACACACGAGGCTCGTGTGTGCTGTGACCACCTGACTGTGTGCCTGTCTGTCTGTGTGCCTGTCTGTCTGTCTACCACCACCATTGCAGCTCGAGTCGGTCAAGGCGATGCGGAACCCCACCAGCGGCATCGAGGTCTCACGACAAGTGAGCAACACTCCTGCACAGCACGATACTCTCCTCTCCACCTCTCTGTGCCCCATCAGGTGTATGGATTCTTCAACTCCCTCGCCCAACAGCACGAGAAGGACACCAAGGCCAAGCCCAAGACCGCCATGACGGCCGCCCAGTTGGCGGCCCAGGAGGCCAAGGCGAAGCGGATGCAGGAGGCCCTCCTCGCGGAGGAGCGACGCGAGAAGGAGGCCAAAGAGAAAAAGGGCAAGGGCAAAAAGAACAAGGGCGGCAAGGGACAGCAGCAGCAGCAGCAGCAGGAGGCTGCAGGTGGGGATGCGGCGAGCCCCTCCGATGTGGTGATTGAGCCGTCAGTGCCCTCCACTGCCGCATCCACCAGGTAGGGAAGCCATCCACAGACCATGGCTGGCGGGAGTGTTTACCTCATCTGTGTGTGTGTGTGCAGTCGGGCTTCTGCTGCGGAGGAGGTCGAGGCGAGTCAGCCGGAGCCCTCTTCGTCCATCGCCGACACGTGAGCAATCCACCCACTTGACGAGATGCCCTGACACATTCGCTTCCTCTGTGTGCGTGTCGATCTCTTTCTTTGCAGGTCTGGTGCGTCTGGTGTGCCATCCGTGTCAGCCGCTGCGGGCAGCGATCGGCCTGGTGATGACGGCGATGCAGTAAAGTCGGCGGCTGGTGGGAGCGACGGCGACAGTGATAATGAAGACGGCGACGCTATGCTGCTCAAGTCGGCGTTCGGACAACATGCACGGCAACAGCTGAGCGAGGGCCACAAGAAGAGGACCAAAGGCAAACACGCCACCAGGCCCACTCCGACGCCCACGCCTCAGCCGAGCCAGCCGCCCCGCCCCTCACTCCCACCAGCAATCAAGACCAATCAGATGGGCCGCCCTTCGCCTGCCGCCAATGAGGATCGTTATCGCGGCGGCAATGGACCAATCCGGATGCCCGCCCACCTTCCCCTCTCAAGCGCCCAGTTCCCCAAGGGCCGCTTCAAGATGTCACCTGGCAATGAGGGGCTGGCCCCTCCTCTGCCGAAGCGTCCGTCCCGCCCGCTGCTGTCTGACGATGACAGTCCGTCTGGCGGTGCGTCGCCTCCCTTTCGGCCCGTGGAGGGTCGTGGGGCGGGGAGGGGCCTCATGACCATGTTTGCCCACCAGCCGTCCCCTGTGCCCTCCATCCCGTTCCCCCGACTCCCGTCGGCCGAGGAGCTGCGCAACAGGCCATCGCTGCAGCGGCACACCAGACAAGACGACCAACAGCAGCCGACACGTGACGAGGGGCCGAGGTGAGATGGCCGCACACAGTGAGCGCTGGGATCCGATCGCAATGATGGCTTTTCTCTGCAACAGGCCACCACTGCAGCAGCACGACACACGGGATGAGTGGCAGGGGTGAGATCGGATCACAGGCAGGAACAACTGTACACATTTGTCATTCCGCCTGCTGTGTGTCATGCAGTCTGTCTACTGCTGGTCCTTCGCTGAGTCGCTTCCACCATGCGCCTGTCGGGCCCGCCCCACCGGCTGGTGGTGGTGGTGGGTTGAGGGCTGATCCATTCTACGACAACAGTGGCGGTGACGACATGTATGTGCCGCGCCCGCCGGCCTTTCCACCGATCGACCCAAGGTAACACGGCATGATGTCTGTCTATCTGTCTGTCAGCAACGCTTCTACGGACCTCTCGTTGCCTGCTATGATGTGCAGTGGTTTCCATCGGATGGGTCCCCCTCTCCCTGTCAGCTACAATGGCGGCCCACAGGCGTCCGGCGCACCTTCCGCACATCCATTCGGTTTCCCCCAGCCCTTTCCGTCCAGCCCAACGCCAGCTGCTGCGGCGGCTGCGGCTGCTAGTGGCTCTGGTGGTCGTGGGCTGTCGGCTGATCTGTTCTACGACAGTGAGGGTGACGACATGTACTGTGTGCCGCCCCCGCCGGCGTTTCCACCGCCGCCCCCACCACACCCACCGATCGACCCAAGGTAACACGGGCATGATGTCTGTCTATAAGCAACGCTTTCATTGATTTGTCGTTGCCTGCTGTGCTGTGCAGTGATTTCCATCCGATTGGTTCCCCTCTCCCTGTCAGCTACAATGGCGGCCCACAGGCGTCCGGCTTCTCGCCTCACCCACTCGGTATCCATCAGCCCTTCCCGTCTAGCCCAACGCCAGCTGCTGCGGCTCCGGCTGCGCCTGCGGCTGGTGGTGGTGGTGGGCTGTCGGCTAACCCCTTCTATGACGACAATGGTGCTGATGACATGTATGTGCCGCCCCCGCCGCCCATATTTGAGTATGAGGAGGAGGCGTACCAGCCGCCCTCATCGAGCAGTGCAGCCGCCCCCTTCGCTGCGGCCCAGGCGGACGGGACGGTGCGGAGAGGCAATGGCGGGCAATCCACAGGGTACACAGGGGCAGGCAGAGAGGAGACTAGAGTTGGTATAACGGTCTTTCTTGACGCTGCGTGTTTTGTTTGCAGGTTTGGTGCGACGATGATGGGTGGTGGTGCGTCTGGGAGTGAGCAGCTCGTCGATCAGCTCTGCCGTCAACTCGAGCAGAAGGACCAGGAGGCCAAGCGGAGGGCCCGTGAGGCCAGGCGAAGGACTCGGGAATTGCAGGAGGCCAAACAGAAGGAACAAGAGGCCAGGCGGAGCGAGGAGGCACTGATACGGCGGCTGCAAGAGGCTGAATGGCAGTAAGTGGACCAGCCAAGCTATCACACTGAACAGCGCACTCATTTATCTCTCCCCCACTCAGGCTCTCCAAAATGGCCGCGCAGCAATCATCGCACCACCAGCACCCCCAGCCACCTTCGTCCAGCAGTTCGTCGGCTCCCCCTCGCCCATCGTCATCATCCACTCACTCTCATCCACCCACACACGCCAACACAACGGACCAGCAGCCGCATGACGGTGATGGGGACGACAGTCCGGCCTGTGTCATCTGTTTCGGCGAGCACGGCCCGGCGTCCGTCATGTACATCCCCTGCCGTCACATGCACATCTGCACCAAGTGCTATGCCGACCGCCGGAGGGCCTGGCGGCAGAACCTCCCCCGACTGAGGGCCGAGAATGCGCGGCGTGTGGAGGTCAACAAGGAGCTCATCAAGGAGGACAAGGAGCCCATGGCCATGCTGCCCGAGGGCTATCTGTGCGAGCAGTGCCAGACAGAGGTGGCCTTCGCGGGGTCGGTAAGCGAGGTCGCCCAATGGTCCACCAGGCCATTCGTGACCGGCGCATCCTGACTGACATCTGAGTGAGTCAGGAGGGAGGAGGGAATGGTGTGCGTCAGTGGAGAGCAAGAAAGGTATACACGTGTGGCGCCTGATTTAAGCAACACATGTGGGGGTGAGTGCTCTTTATTGTCAAGTCTGTGTGTCTCGTGTCCGTTTTTGTTGGCCCTTGATTCATCCATCCATCCACTGCATAGCCATTGCGTGCGTCAGTCAGTGCTGCATACATTTGTATTAGACATTCCTCTCTATGTGGCTATGTTGTATGTTGTCTGTATGTGTATCCACACACTGCTCGCTGCATGTCCGTCCGTGTGCTGTGCATGCATGTTTGTACAGAGGAACGCTATCATTCGTGAGGACCGTATCATTCAACCGCGTCCCTGTGCCCCTCTCTTGGTCGCTTGCTTTGCTGACTGGCTGCAGGGGGGAGGGCCTTTCATTGCATTCAATGCATCTGTGTTGGTGTCCGTGTCCATACAGACTCACAGACTTGCCTACCTGCCTATGTGTGTATACGTGTCTGAATGTGTGTATGAGCTCGTCAGACTGGTTCATGAATTGAGCGATATTTACGGTTGATGGCATCCATCTTGCGTCTGTGTGCATCCAGCCAGCCGGCCCACTCATCCACAGATAGAACTTCCGCTGAGATACAGGGGCCGGCCTACAGTGTCACAGTGTCACAATGGTAGCGAGAACGAGATCAGGGCACACGGGCTTCCCGAGAGGCCCGAAAAAGGAACGCCCCCGTAATCGAAGCTCGCGGTGTTCTCCCTTCTCCCCCAAGAACAAGAGCACTAAACAATGAGCTGCTGCGGCTGCGTTTGGGTATTCCCCCGTGACGATGTGTATGTGGACAGCACGACGAGAAGCAACCGTCCCTACCACAAGTGGTGCCCCTTTCTGAGACCAAAGCACCGCGGCATCCTCAAGGCCTGCCTCCTCTCACTCGTCATCATCCTCGCCTGCGGGGTGTTCCTCGTCCTCATGGCATGCGGCGTCATAGCCTGATCGATGGGCCTGCTCGCGGAGTGCCTCTCGCCGTGGCTCGTGTGGCCGCCGGAGCCCGATGCCAGCTGCCGCATCTGCCTCGACACCAACGAAGACATCGACAACGGCCCGCTCATATCGCCATGTGACTGCCGAGGGACGGGTAACAGGGATGGAGGGAGGGAGGAAGACACGCAGAGGGAACTGCATGCACTGAACGCCCCTTGTGTCTCTCAGGCAAGTGGGTCCACGCCAGTTGTCTGTGGGAAGCATCAAGGAGGAGTGGTGAGCATTCGATGGAGGAGAGGGCGGCAGTATGCACTCGTGTTGCTGGTGCTGTGTGTGTCTGTGTTTAGGATGGCGGATGGTCAACTGCTACATTTGTAAGGCCCCATACCGGTTCGACGACGGCATAAGCAACGCCCAGCTATTGGGGTGTCTGCCAGCAGTGTGCGTCCTCATCGTCGCATTTGGCGTCCTGGATGGATTCTGCCGGCGACCGGAGCAACCTTTCTTCTCTGTGAGCATGAGACAAACCCTGTCTCTATTGCGCCATGCCAGCCTTCTTCCCAGCGCCAACAACCGCGGAGGGAGGTGCTCCTATTGCACTGGACAAGACAAAGTCCCTCGACATCCCTCAGGACGTCCTTTTGGCGAGGAGGGCTCAGCCACCCCCCGCTGAGGCGGGGTTCCAAGAAGAGCAAGATGACTCGGAACAGAGAGAGGAATTCGCCGGGTTCCTCTTCTTTGTTGCCGTGGGGATCCTTGGCATGATGGCGTTGCGCTTCGTCCTCCACCTGCTGCTGAGCGTCTTCCATCCCCTCTATCACTCGAGTTGCCGCTCGCCGCATCCGACCGCATGTGTGACGGCGGCATACATACTGCTGCCTGGGCTTGTGTCGATGGCCCCCCGCTTCGCCGCGGCGGGAGTGCCCGATGCACTGAGCCGACGATGGCTTCAGATCAGCAGCTCGTGCGAAGGGAAATGTGGTCCTTGCGACATCGCTGTGATGATCCTGCTCATTTCTATCGCGTGGTTCTTGAGACTCGCAATGGACAGCACTGCTCTCCGCCTCACATGGAATCAGCTGCAAAAAGCACTGCGGCGCGTATGGAGAAGGAACACCACAAGGACCGTGTCTCTCTGGGCTGCGCTGCTCGAAAATCTGCTGAATATACTCCTGGGGGTGGCGGATGGGGCTTCGTTCCTGTGGTCTTTGCTTGAACGGTCTTTCGCCGCCTTCGTCTTAGTTTGCTTCCCGGTCCGCGCCGGTATGAGAGCAGTCTTGTGCTTTGGGTGCGTGGGGCCGGTGCGGGGGGGTGTCCTGGTGGCGGGGGTGCTGTGTCTCTTCTGCTTAATCCTCTTTGCTGAGAGGCGCATTCGCGTCTCTCTGCGCCGTGGCCGCTAGCGGCTGGACGGCGGCCAGCCTCTGTTTGTGGGCGTTTTGGCCAGTCTTCCCTTCAGCCACTTCGGCCGGTCATTCGGCTGTGCATGGAGCCATGGCCATGAGTGCATGGGCCTGTGCACGGATTTAGACCGTGTAGGATAGTTCTGCTTTAGGTCGCTTCTGGCGGATGAGGATTTTCTTGAAGGGCTTAAGTGGTCGGTGAAGTCGTATTTCTGCGTCGATTGGTATTTTTGTGTGTGCCGAAGGGCCGATGGACCTGCCTTGTCCTATCCCATCTGCACTCGTGCGTGGCCTCATTTTGCGCGCGGAGACACTGACAGGTGCATGGTGCTTGCCGTCCTGTCTGCCTATCTGATGGCTGCCACGAGAGTGCGAGTGCGAGGCGCATGAATGGCATTTTTCTCTGCGCGAAGAGACAAATCGATGGGATGAAAAAGTGTGTACAAGGAGTCACCATCCACGTGTTTATGTCGAGCACTCACCCACCCACCATACACTCACACATTTGAACACGCATCAATCGATCCTGTCGCCTCTCCCACACCAGGCAGGCGGGCAGAGCGTCGCACGCTAGTCATCATTCCAGTTGTCGGGCCTCTCCCCCTCTCCACACAGCTCACATCGCGGCACGCTCCTCGAGTTGAAGAACGTGCACCTCTCACACGACCACATGCCAGCAGGCGCCCTCGGCCGCAGGTCCGCCAGCCGACAGCACCTCGCCTCCTCGCCATCGTCATCGATCACTATTACCTCGCCCTCCGGCTGTTGTTGCCGCTTCATCCGCTTCTTCTTCTTCTGCTGTGCGGCCTTCCATGATTGGTAGCACTCGATGGACCGGTAAACGGCGACGAGGGCGAGCAGGGCGCAGAGGAAGCAGGTGAGGCTCATCAGGATGGCACGCAGGAAGAAGGTGAGGTACTGAAGAAGGCGGTGGAAGGCACCCTGCAGTGCAAAGAATGGCGTCAGACGTAAGTTCTCTGTTTTGTGGCCGCCATCTCTTTGTGTCCGTCTGGTGCTGTTTACCGCGATGAAGCTGACAATCCCGAATCCTGCTGACAAGCAAGCCAGCCACCATCAATTTGTACACTGATTCGATACAGATGCATTGCCCCACTGAGTGTGATCATGGCTCACGACGAGTCAGCCGTGCGTCATATTTGCGCCGTTTCTCGTCGTCAGTGAGAGTATCAAAGGCCTCCCGCAGCTGCATGGAGCGGCGAAGGAGAGCGGAAGAGAGAATGCATATGGGAAGATGGGGAGCAGCGCTGTATGGTGCGAAGTATAGAGTACCTTCTTGAGGGCCCTCTCTGCCTTCGGTGCTCCGCCGTTCCCTTCTATTGATGGATGCACCTTAAACACCAGCTGCACTCACACAAAGAGCACACAACAAGCGGCATAATGGTCGCCTGCAGCGTGTGTCAGAGAGCTTCTCCTCACCTTCCAGTAAGCCTTTTCTATCTTGCCGCGAGTGGAATCCCGGCCCACTCGCAGGGCGTCGTAGAAGTCCGTTGCAGCGAGGATGGTCGACACGATCTCGTCCGCTGGAGCATGACCCGCCAACACGGCAGTGCAAACCAGCGCCAACAGAAGCGGCCGAGCCATAAACCGGGAAATGGAGTGAATTTACGGCGTCCGTGAGTGCGCAGAGGGCGGGGGACCGCAAGTGTCAGGGTGTCTCATTGTTTGGCCAAAATCATTCAATCACGCGTGTCTGAATGGTCCGTGTGTGAGAGAGAAAACTCTTGCTGACTGGTTAACACCGCATGCAATTGTGCCCCAGGGCCTTCACTGTGGACAAGAAAACGCGCTCACGCGGAGGGCACCATCATGAAGCTCATGAAGCTCATCAACCCACCTGCCATATAGACCTTGGCGGACCAGCACTGGGTGCCGGTGCAGCAAGTGCCTGGCAGACGCACGAAATCCAATCCACTCACCATAGCGCTACAGACAGCCAGATCGAGCACGGCGCTCAGCATGCCACCCATTCACCCACGTATACGTATGCACGCAATTGTGTTGTCTGCCCCCATGGCAGGCAGGGAAAACCTCAGTCATGCAACCCCAGCTGGCTCGACTTGCTTGAACAAACATACAAACAACAACAAACAAAATGCATCGGGGATGCAACGCAAAGCTGGATCAGTCAGTGAGGGGTCTGCTTCTTGGGCTCGTTGACGGCCGCATTCCACGCCTTGACCTTCTCGTGGCCGTCAACCGTGGCGAAGACCTGCACACACACACACACAGACACACACACGTGTGTCTGAGTGTGTGGATTCAGGAGTAGGCATGTGGCGTGCGCCGGTACCTTGTTGAGCTTCGTGTGTTTGCCATGGTCGAACATGTCTTTGGGGATGCCGACGATGCCGTCCTTGAGCCAGCTCATGAGATTATACAAAGACAAGTCTGCCTGCCGCACGCAAACACACAAACGCACCCGCAACATCCCAACTGTGTGTGTTCCTGTCTTCACACGTGCCTGCCCGACTTACGATGGTCAGTTTGCTGCCCACGGCGTAGCCGCCGTCGCCCGCCAGCTTCTCCATATAGCCAAACCATTTGGGAAAAGTCACGTCGGCCAGCTCCTTTTTCATCTGACATTGCAAACACAGGACACACAACGCACTGCTTGGTGGCCGTGCTTCGGTTTGCCGCCGACTGACCTCCATTTTCTTGGCTTCATCTTTCTCCATGAGAGCGGGAATCATGGCGGTGACGATGTCCTCGATGCCCATCTGAAACTCCATCACCTTGGCCTCCTCCCAGGTGTCTGACGGGATCAGCCCGGCAAGTCTGCCCGCGTAGATGAGTTGTGCCACGCTCTGGGCGAGCGGCTTGCCGTCCACCTCGATGATGGGGAACTGTCCAAAGGGCAGCACCCCGTCAGCCTTCATCTTGGCGAACTCTTCGCCCGTCACGCGAGTGTCCTCAAAGTCGATGCCCGCTGCACGCACAACACAGACACACATGCACACGGACCGATGAGACAGACAGACGAATTGACAGACGAAGAGATCTTGCTGCCGCATCACCGATTGTGAGCGCCAACCGAACGGGCTCTGCCCTGCCCTTGAAGGGGAAGTCTGCAACCAAAACAGACACACGATGGCGCATATGTTTGCACGTCGGGGCGCTGCGTGTGCTCCTCTTACAGATGATCTTGATGCCCATGATAAGGGATGAGAGATGTCGATGTTTCGATGTTTTGATGCCGCTCGCTCTACGTGCAAATAAGCAAACAGGCTGCCCTCTCCTTCAGGTGGAAGAAAGATCTTGTTTGAAAGGAGGGCGGGTTACAGGGCAAGGGAAGAAACGCGAGCCGGACGGCCCTTTTCGGGCCTCGCTTGCCTCGCGTACAGAGGTGCGTTCGCAGACAAGTGCATCCACAGATCGACGCCTTTCATCCGGTGTGCGTTTGTCTTGCGTGTGCTCTGTTGATGCAGATTGCGCTGAGGCGGGTGGTTCGGCCTGCCTTGCAGGCGGGATGTGTGCTATCCCTCGGAGATCTCATTGCCCAGGCGGTGGAGATCTCCACAGAGGGAGCCTCTGATGCGTCGGCGTCGTCTCGCCTGCTCGTGCCGGACAGCTATGACGTGCATCGAACGGGGCGCTTTGCTCTTGTCGGGCTGACGTGCCACGGTATGCATGTGAGACCGAGATCAACCCACACAAGCACAAATATAGGCTGGTCTGGTCTGTCGTGTCGGTGTGTGGTTTGTCTGTGTGTGTGCAGGACCATGGTTCTACTTTGCTTTCGGCTTGCTCGACCGACTGATGGGCCCTGGGAGCACACTCGCCACGGTGCTCGGCAAAGTGGTAGTCACCCAGATCGCCATCTTCCCGTAAGCACACATACACGAGATCACACTCGATGCAATCTCAAGTGTTTGTCCGCATGCTCTGTGTGCACGTGTGTGTTGTGCCCACAACAGGCCCTACCTTGCTGCTCTCTTCGCCTACCTCGGTGTGCTGGAGGGCTCCGTCCACTCGCTTGACGACGCCGTCCGAGTGATATCCACCAAGTGGCCTGGGGCCTATGCAGCTGGGTGCGTCTTCTGGCCTATCGCCAACATCGTCAACTTCAGCGTCGTGCCGTCACCTGGCCGAGTGCTGTATGTGGCCAGCACGGGCGTGTTGTGGAACACTTACCTGTCGTGGTACAACCAGCGAGCTAGGAGGAAGGAGAGAGAGGGGGAGAGAGGGAATGGCTGAGTGAGAGAGAAAGAGCGGCTTTCTACTTGCCCACGTGTGTGTTCGGGGCTGTGTTGATTTTGAGCGTGCCCGTGTCCGTGCGTTGAGCGAAAGCTCAAGTGTTTTCTGCGGGGGGGAAGGTCTGAGAGGCCGCTGTTTGGCAGAGATGCAGTCGCACCAGCCTTTGATGCGACGGCCGCCCACCAGAAATGGCACCCCACACATACACACACACGTGTTGTGTGTGTGGCTGAAAGGGGCTGGCTGGCCTGTCGTCTGCAGTGAGTCAAATGCTCGAAACGCTGCCTGGCCCTCTTTGTCGGAGGGTCAGCAGCGAACTCAATTCAGACTAGTCCTGCACAACCCCCAACACAAAACAAACACGCGTAGGTATGGTAGCCGCTTTTCTTGCTACTCACTGCTGTTCGCTGCTCCTCCGTGTGAGAGGCTGGCTGGTTTTTCTGTGCCTGTTGCACGTCATGACATCGATGTGGCACAGTGAGAGTGCGTGCATACTGTATGTGGCGTGTGGGTCTCATCTTCTGACGGTCGAGATACTCCGGTGTGGCTTCATGTGGGAACATGGACCCATACGTGAGCACCTTGACAGACATGGTGACTCGGAGACTAGGGATGAGACGAGTGTTGTGGGTGGGTGGGTGGGTCGTTGCGCATATATGTGCTGGCTTTCCGGTCGGACCTCTGCGTGCCTGTGTGGCCATCTTAATTCGCCTTGCTTGCAGTGGTCATGGTGGAATCGGATGGCTACGCTGGGTGCGAAGAGAGCTGGCTGGGGCTCAAACAGATGCGGTGGGACTGGGTGTGTCTGTCGGACCAGTGGTGTACATTATCTCTTGCACAAAGGCTCGAATGAAGGCATCCTTGAGTGTCTCTATCCATTGGCTTCGTTGCTCTCACTGTCCCGAAATCAAACGCAACACACAGAGTTCAGTGGCGGGAAAGAAAAAGAAAAAGAAAAGACTCCATTGGAATGTCCGTATCTATCTGTCTGTCGGCTTCCTTGCTTGCTTTCGCTTCACTTCCCCTCACTCACTCGCCCCCTCGCAGCGCAGGTCAGTGCTGAACCACACACAAGTCGACATAGTGAGGTGACTCCTCTACCCCTTTCTCACAGCGGCATCGTCCTTACTGCATTATCCAGGTTCTCTGTGGGTATGGGTGTCGTCATTTGGCGCCCTTGGCCTTCTTCACGATGGCCTCCAGCCAGTCGAGTGGCTTGCCTTCCTTGTCTTTGTTCTTGGCGTACTTCTGTGTCTTTGCAAAGGGCTCCAGATACGCACTCGGTGCGCCGGACGGCGTGTCGTACGCTGGCACAGCACTCAACAGAGAGACAGACTGCAGGGACTGAACGAGCCATTGCGTATGAGTGCCGTACCGCTGCTGCAGGGGCTCCAAGGGCTACCGATCACCTTGATTCCCTTATTCTGCACGTCCTCCGACAAAACACGGGCCTGGTGACATAGAAAAGGAGACATGGCGGGTATTGGTCCTCGTGTGTCACTCGAGCACTGTCTTCTATTAAGCTACCTGCTCTGCGATGGCTTCTGCATCGGCGGCCTCGTACTCCGTGCTACTGGCCTTGCTCATCGCCCTAGTTACGTGTCCCTCACGCGCCGGCGCCTCACTGGCCGCGACACCCCTCTTTTTGTGCGCATCGATGGGGGGTAGCTTCACGTCCCGCGCCCTGCAGACAGAAGACGGACAGAAGAGACAGCACTGGAGACAACTGCCGTCGGGTTCCTTTCTCGCCTGTCCGACAACAGTTTCTCCTTCTTCGTCTTGGCGAGCGTCCTCTGCAATTCGGTGACCAGGGTGTTGGAGAACCTGACGCATCAACGCATGGGACAGAGTGAGTGCATCGAGACGCGGAACGGAAGGGGGAGATGGAAATTCTCATGTACCTGTAGGTGGCGTCGAGAGGGCCCGTGTGGAGCGGGTCCTTCAACGTCATCTTCTGCGCACTGATGCAATACACACCAAAAAAGACAAAGACATTCCCAGTGTGGTCCTCCCTCCAGGCGGTTCGCTTACTCTCTAAGTTGTATGATAATGGCGTCCTTCTCCCGTATCTCGGCCTTCAGTCGCTCCATCTCCGTATCCTTTTCCTTGAGTTGTGTCTCGAACCGCTCCTGGATTTGGCGCTTGGAATTCTCAAAGGCATTACTCCAGACGTAGGCGGCCTGCTTCGCATCGCTGTAACGGTCGCTGCACCAACACGTTCAATGAGTCCAGAATGAGTCAATGTGTCAGTTGAATTCATTCAGAATTGGTCATTGCATGCTCGTCTCACTCACTCATTGAGTCGCTTTATTTCAGCCTCGAGCTCCTTGACTTTCTTGCAAAGGTCCTTGTTCCCAGTGTCACTGCCAGCCCGAGGGACTTTCTCAGAGCATGCTGCCGTGGCGCTGCCAGGCATGACTGAAATGAACAACGGAGAAAGGGGGCACGCGGCGGCCACGCAGACACTCTCCGCAGGGCCTAGCTGCCACTCACCAACAAACCGAAGGCCGATCGCCGCGATCCGGACTGGGGCTGGGGGGTCAAACCCCAGCTCGAAAAACAATTGAAGGAAAGCTGCGACGATGAGCACTGACAACAAGTATTCGAAGGTCATCATCAGAAACCAGGTGAGAAGAGACCTTTATACACACATGCAAGCCCCAATTCGCAAACCAATTCGCCTCATCCCCGCCTGCTGCTTTCTTCAGGAGATGCCAGAGCACATGAGGAAAGACGCAGAAGAACAGGCCGTCAAGGTGAAGAATGCGTGCATCATTGTCGCTTCTTGCTGCCTCTCATTTCTCATTGTGTTGTGAGTGTAGGCCTTTGAGTTGTACAGAACGGAGTCAGAGATATCAGACCACATCAAGAGTGAGCTGGCGGGGTGTTGCGGGCACAAAAGATCCATCTTGTGTGTTTCCCTGACAGAGTTTTTCGACAGCACCCACACACCCACCTGGAACTGTATTACCGGCAAGAACTTCGGCGCTTTCGTGTAGGTGCAAAGAGAGGCAGCTTGCAGACGTGACGCTCCATGCACCACTGTCGCCTGTGGTATCGTCTTGCTTGTCCTTCTCTCAACCAGGACCCATGAGACCAAGAGATACCTGTACTTTGGCATCGGCCATCTGAACATCCTTCTATGGAAGTGTGGGTGACATCCGCTCGTCGTCTTGTAGCGTGGTCCAAGCTCCCTGGCGGACGGGTGGGCGCACGTGTGCGTGTGTGTGCATGGAGACACGATCGATCGCTTCAATTGCTTGATGTATGATATCCTGCCTCGCGTCAGTCGCGATGAATTGGGATCGTTGACAGCTGAGCAGCAGGTAGAAACACGCATGTCCGTCGATCTGTGTGAGGAAATGACCATAAATACGCATGCAGACATGCAGACATGTAGCGGCATTAAGTGAGTGAGTGAGCGAGTGTGTGTGTGTGTGTTGGCGAAACGAACGAGTGAGACCAATTCGGTGGGACACCCGCGGCTGTCTGCACGTGTATGCACTCGTGTGAAGCACGCAGGCAGGCAGGCAGGCCGCCAGCAAGTGGAGAGAGAACCTCGCTCTACATCTACAGGACGTGTACCGTACCATACGAGCTAACGTCACTTCACCTGCATGGACATCCGACTGGCCGAAGAAATCAGCAAAAAGCAACGGCAGATAGAGATTGATATGGCGGCTGGGTAGAGCGAGATAGACTCTGCATAGAGGAGAGAAGGGGTTCGTCCAAAAGGTCCGCCCCGATACGAAACGCATGCTGACAGACTGAACCGCTGGCAGAGGCCTGTCAGACAGACAGACAGACAGACAGTGGGTGGACCACCGATGCTTACAAAAGAGCCCTCCCTGGAGAGAGATAGAGAGAGAGAGATAGAGAGAGAGAGAGACGTGCGAGAATCCGAGATGCGAGAGTGTTCAAATCATTGCACAGACAGACAGATGCTGCTGTCTGTCTGAGGAGAGAGAGTGCGAGAGCGACCGAGCGAGAGTGCACCTACAGGGGCGAGAGCACGATAAGCACGACATGGACGCTCCATACGGACGGCATGGAGGATCGAAGAAAACGGATGATATGATATGACATGACATGATGTGATATGGTGGCTGTGGCTGTGTGCGTGTGTATGTGTGGCGAGTGAGTCTCTACATGTACTGGACCAGCCCACGAGGCACCAAACCAGGCATGTACGCACATTCATATGATGCGACCAAAGGGGATCTGCTGCACAGTATCTACACAGTCAGGCAGGGAGGCCTCCTTTCAGCCTCCATCCACATCCACACACCCGCCCCCCGCGCCCCCCAAAAAAACCCACACATATGCACATACACACGTGGCAGTGGCTGTCAGGAGCTAGCTGTCCATCAGTCAGTCGACCACCTTAAAGATAACCTCCACCATATCATTCAGCGACGTCGTGGGGCTCTCCAGGATGGCCGTCACAGTGTAGTCGCCTGGAATTGCGCTCCACCGACGGACAGAGTCGCCGTCGTTGACTAACGGGAGCTGCTTTCCGCCGAGTGTTCCAGGTGGGATGGGCGATGTCTCGTTCGGGCCGGTGAGAGACCCGGTGAGAGACCATGTGATCAGAATGGGCTCGACCTCTGTTTCATTGGTGTGCAGGTCGAGCTTGGGCTCGATGATGTGTGCTTCGAGGGTGAAGTTGCTCAACTCGCTCAGTGACAGGACGGTGCCTGCGTGATCAGCAACACGAAGAGACGAGATGTGTATGTGGAAAGGGTGCTCACCGTTTTCTAGCTCTTGAATGGGCATGCGATCCATGTCCACCACGTCAATGCCACCCAACTCGTACTCTGACGACAGACACGCAGGACAACACACGCACGTACAGGACCGCTCCGTCTGTCGATGTGAGGGCATCCCGCCCCCCACTCTCATGTCTCCTTCCCATCTTACCGATGATCGAGCAGTCCTTCAGCCCCGACACCACCCCCTCCCCCAGCCCCTCCACTTTGTCAGTCCCCATCCCCGGCTCCCGCTCCCTCGTGTGGATAACGTAGCACTTGGGCGGCACTGCGTTAGCGATGTCGCCTTGGACGTGAGTGAAGTAATGGCAGGAGCTTATCTCCTGACACGCTCCCTGGCAGTCCAGGGGTGTCTCTTTTGGTGCTGGATACAACACGAGGGCGTTTATGTCATACATGACGCCGGTCTCGAAGCACTCGCCGAGGCGTCTACGGCTGGCGGACGCATAGGTGGGCTTGACGTTGGCTGCCGAGGGGAGGTGGAGAAAACCCGGTGCTGCCTTGTCTGCTGCACGCAGGGCTTGGATCGCCGCTGATGATGCAAAACACACAGAGAGATTTGGTGCGTCGGAGAGGCAGGAGAGCGAATCGCACCTTCTGCTGTTGATTGTGAGGAGATGGTGTATCCCTTGTCGTCTCCGTAGTCTTGCCCATACACACTCATGCCTTGCTTCGTCACCTCTGCAAACACGCACGCACACACACACCATCATTGCTCCAGTATGCTGTGTGTGCCCGCCGCCGCACAGACTTGGCTGCGTATGATTGGCATCGGCGACCTCGTCTTGCCTGGCTGGCGGGCCACCAATCGTCACCACCTCATCTGACCGAGACAGCAGACACACCACACCACATCACATGACACGCTTACTAGCAGCACGCATCGCTTCGCACCGCACCTCCGTCTTCATAGTAGCCGTCGTCTCTCCTCAGGTTGCTGTTGCCGCTGCTGGTGCTGCTGGTGGTGCTGGTGTCAGGGCTCTTGAGTGTGACCCCCGCATACAGTGGCGTCAGCCCGAGACCTGACGCCGTCGCCTTCGCAGTCTTCGCCCGTCCCTCGTCTGGCGTCAGGACATCGGCACCACCAGCGGCAGCACCCACAACACGCTGAGCACCAGCAGTGGCCTCAGCGGCCCTCCGCCTCTCCCTCTTCTCTCTCCTCTCGGCCTCTTCCCTTCGCTTCCTCTCCTTGACTTGTGCGATCTTGGCCATGATGATCTCCTCCTTATCCCTGGTGGTGACGTCCGTCTTGCTGCTCGTCTTGCCCAGGGCAGTGCTCTCAGGGCCGTAGGCCTCCTCCTCGTATGCACTCAGCACCGGGTCGTATGACGAGCCGCTGCCGCCCGCCTCGGTGCACGACACCGTCAGCTTGAAATAACCGCTCGAGTCTTTATATGCTCCAACGACCACGTACATGGTGTCCGCGACTTCCATCATGATCTTGGACTGCAGGGTGCCGCCCACGTCGTCGACGCACATCTTGCCGGGCATTGGGACAGCGCCTTGGTCAGGCTGGCAGACGGACGTCATGCCCAGGAGCGAGTCCATCGCTTTGCTCTCCTCGTTCATGGTCGAGATGGTCACTTCCTTGATGCCGTCGACGCGCAGCTCGTAGATGACCTGGTGGATGTTGGGGCCGAACCTGCCACAGTTCTGGAGCCACCCCACCACACCGTTGCCCGTGTTGCCAACGTAAGACATGTCGCACGATATGAACCCCGCAAACGCCTCAGACGGACACGCTGCACACCAGACACAACGAGAAAAGGCCAGTTCGCCGCCATGGTCATGCTCACCGTCAGTGCTCACTCACCAGATGGCGACACCTGGTTCCTAGGGTCCACTGTGGATGACGGCATTGGTGTCGTGGTGCTCGTGGATGGAGGATTTGTGCTCGAGGAGCTCACGAGTGGAGACCCCGTCCCGGCCGCCCCACCGGGTGGGGGCGCCGTGGCAACGGCCATCATTGGAGGGATGGAGGCCGTGTTTCCAGCACCAGTGGGAGTGGCGGTGGTGGGAGGCAGGGTGGTGGTTGAGGACATGCCCTTGGTGGGTGTCGGCATGGGCGTGGTGGACGAGCCAGAACCACCATCGTCGCCATCGATACCCTGCGCGCCACACCAGACCAGGCAGAACAGGCACTGTTTGCAAACCGGCGGCTGGGTGGGGTGCGTGTATGGCATCTTCCTTCCGGTGTGTGTATGTATGCTGACGGTGAATTGGACGTCGGTCTCGACGGCGTGCCATTCGCTCAATATGAGGTACAACTTAGTATACCTCTCCTCACCCTGTCAGTCAGACACACACAGCACCGCAAGCGAACACACACACACAGAGGGAGAGGGAGAGAGAGAGGGAGAGAGAGAGGGAGAGAGGGAGAGAGAGAGAGAGAGAGAGACGGGAGAAACGAAGATGCCAATCCATCCATCCATCCATCTTCCATCCGTGATATCGCCCGGCCCCATGCCTGCATACCGTGATAGAGGTGAGCCTGAGGTAGAGCGGCAAAGAGAAGCCGTCATTGGGAAATGGATGTCGGCCCACTATCTCGTCAGCGTCGCACAAGAAAACGGGCCACTCCTTCCAGGGGCAGTTGAGCCACGTGTCCGTCGGCTCGTAATATATCTCGAGCTTCCACACCGGCACTATGAAGTTCCGGTGCTGGAACTGCATTGCAACATCACACACGCAAAGCATTGAGATCGATCTGTGTGTGTGTGTGTGTGCGTGTGTGTGTCTGTGTGTGTGTGTCTTTGTCTTTACTTGAAGCTTGTAAGTGTTCTCTTCTCCCGCGAATGCGAGATGGATTGTGCTGCTCGTTGTGCAGTCCACAGCCTTCCAGCTCGCCTGCAAGCACGAAACACACAACACACACACACACACACAGAAGTGCACAGATGCTGAGGTCCTTCACGCACTCGGTCACTCAGCCACTTACATGATAGAGCCCCTCGTGGTTGTCGTCCATAATGGCTATCTCGTGCGCATCGCAGTGCTTGCACCTGCACACAAACAACACCGGACACACCAGCCACAAAGGCACCACACCACAGATATCTTCTGTCGTCTGACTGAGTGAGTGTGTGGATGGTGACTTACACGCCAATCACATAGAGCTTGAACTTTTCCGTCAAGCTGGGGCCTGTGCCGCTTCCCTGGCCGTTGTGCTCGACCTGACCATTCGTCCACACACACACAGATAAGAAACCCAACAACACACCTCTCTCTGTCTGTCTGTCTGTCTGTGTACCTCGATGCACATGCCGCATGTGCGTGCGTGGAGGTAGTGCATCTCGGGTAGCGCCACATAGCCGTCTATATCCTCGAATGCCGTGTCGGGCAGCTCCTCAAGAGGCAAATGGTGACACGAACCAGTATCGCCTAAACACACACACACACACACACACACATCTGTGAGTGAATCAACCACACCCACAACAACAACCACAACCACCACAAGCACAACACAATCAGGCAGGCGTGTGTCAATCAGCGCACCGCTGGTGAGTTTGTAGTAGCTGGCCATGCCCTCTTTATACGTGGCGTACAGTCCAACGACGTCTTCCTGGCTGACCTCGTCCAGCCCACTGACGAGCGGCAGAGCCACGTGGACGGCCATCACACCCAGGAGGACTGCCGCCCTCATCGCTCGCCGCCGCTGCCTCGCTCTGATTTGATCTGCAGCTCTCCTGTGCAATGCCGGTTGCTGCTGTTGCCCGCGGAACGCCACGCAGTCTGCCGAGTCCTCCCTCACCCCTCCAGGGCACCGCAGTGCCGCCGTTGACCTGTGTTATAATTTCGTCCCCAGCGATCCCCGCTCAGAAGGAGAGAGGAAAAATGCTGCCTTGTCGCTTGCGGCAGGTGTGCTCTCTGGTGCCACGCGCATCAGCATGCGTCGTCAGCGGAGAAAACTTCTTGGTGCGGCCTCTGGTGCAGCTGCAGCACCGTGCCTTGTCGACGATGGATTTCTCATCGGACGTCCTCACGATGGAGAACAAGGGCAACGCCGTGGCCATGCTGAGGTGAGGAAGCGAAAGAAAGAAACAGCAGAGATCTGTAGCATACGACGTGAGCATGATGCCTTGTGTGTGCCCAGGCTGAATCGCCCGAAGGCCCTGAATGCCGTCAGCGACGATGTCTGTAGAGATCTCGTCAAGGCGTTGCAGATGGTCGATGCTGGTCAGCAAGAAACTTACGTGCTCACGACGCACAACTGGCTGATGCTGCCGCCGCCGTCGTGTGTGTGCTTGGCGGTGATGTGTTGTGTGATGGGTACAGATGACGCCTTTCGCGCCATTGTGCTGACGGGCAGCGGCGAGAAGGCATTTGCCGGTCAGACAGGCAGGAAGGGGCGCTCTGTACCCATTCTAGGATTCTCTCCTTGTGCTCCTGTGTGTCTGTCTGTGTGTGTGTGTGTGTTTCATTCAGCGGGTGCTGACATCAAGGAGATGGACTCCCGCCCTGACTTCCCCACCGTCGCCCGAATGGACATGCTGCAGCACTGGAACGAAATCAGCAAAATACGGTCGGCCATCTCTCTCTTTGTGTGCGGCGGGGCGGCATCGCATGTGTGACGGCCCTTGTTTGTTTCTTGTGCGTCGATCGTCAGGAAGCCGGTGATTGCAGCTGTGAATGGCTTTGCGCTGGGTGGCGGGTGCGAGCTGGCCATGATGTGCGACATCATACTGGCCAGCGATAAGGTCAGTCAGCTGGAACGACCAGCCCGCCGTCATGACACACACTCAAATGAATGAATGAGTATCTGTCTTGTGCGCGTGGCGTCGGTCAGGCAAAGTTCGGTCAGCCGGAGATCAAACTCGGATGTATACCAGGCAATGGACAAGCCGACACACGCACACACACACACACACACACAGAGGGAGCATCCTCAGTGCAGTGCAGAGCAGACCGCTTTCCGTGTGTGCACTGGACCCCCCGCAGGTATGGGTGGCACACAGCGTCTGACTCGCGCAGTGGGCAAGAGCAAGGCGATGGAGTGGATACTCACGGGCAACTTCTTCACAGCTGAACAAGCCGAGAAGGCAGGTAAGGTGCGCAGGCAGACCGGCCAGCAATGGCCAGCCGGCCCGTGTGATGTGATGGGTGGCATGGGCTGTAGGTCTGGTGAGCCGTGTGGTGCCGGCCGACAAGCTCGAAGCTGAGGCGCTGCAGCTGGCCACCGACATCGCCAAGATGCCATACCATGCAAGTACGCAGCGGCGCACCTGCAAGCCTTCTGCCCTGTCTTATCCCTCTCTCTCCCCCTCCCCCTCACCATTTGTGTGTGTGTTTGTGTGTGTGTGTGCGTGTGAATGCAGTTGTGATGGCCAAGGAGTGCGTGAATCGTGCGTACGAGTCGTCGCTGGCCGAGGGCCTGCTGTACGAGAGGCGGGCATTCCACGCCACCTGGGCTACGGTGAGCAGACAGATATGGGCACTTGATGGGCAGATGACGGGGGGCACAGCACCGCTGACTGACGTATGACCTGCTCTTCATGTAATATGTTATGCAGGCTGATCGTTCTGAGGGCATGAAGGCCTTTGTCGAGAAGCGGGAGCCGGAGTGGCAGCACAAATGAATGATGATCGTATTTATTGATGACGTGACGCCCGCCGGATGGATAAATGGATCGGACTGATGTGTGGCTGACTGGTTGCTATGCTAGCGTGATGGAGACTGACTGCATGTCGTTCGTTTTATCGTTCGTCGCTTTGTTTGTGCGTGTGGGTGGCCGGCTGTGGTGTGTTTGTCTGATGTGATGGACGCGTGGGTGTTTCTGTCTGATGTGTCGGTCGGTCGATGTAGGTGGGGTGGGGGCATGGCTTTGGTGGCCATGTATCGTATACATCAGCTCCTGGGTAGATAAGTCGGTACAGTGAGTAGGTCAGCCGTGTGCCAGTCAGCCCAGCCGTGTGTCATCCATCGCGTGTGTGTACTCTGTCGTTTGTTTGGACTCCTCCCTCTGCGCCAGGTGTTGACAGTCCATCGTCATGTATCATGGTCTCTCCCCGTCTCATGTGCACACACCCCTGAATGCACGCTGACCCCTCGGCTGCTACTCCACCTGTCTACACAAATGTCCGTCCGACACAGAATGAGATACCTGTACGTCCCTCCCCCCAAACGCAACGCACGCACACAACACGCACAGAAGACAGCAAGGACATCATAGATTTCCGCCCACACACAGAGGCATGTGGGAATTGGCAGCTTCTCTGGCCATGTACGCATGACAAGTATCCGAACAAGCAAAGGAGGGAGGGGGTGACTCTGTCTGTTGTGTCTGTCTGTCTGTCTTTGGGTCATCAAAAGCCAGGCGGGCGGCGATCAGAATGCCGGCCAGCCGACTACACTAAATGCAGTCACATGAGCACATCAACACGCAGTAGTGTGTCGGTGCGTGTGGATGGACCTGTCTGTCTGTCTTTCTGTCTGTCTGTCTCAGACTTCACCACACTACAACTCAATCAACAACGGGGCTGGCGGGGATGTGATGTGCCAGATGCGATACACTTGCTTACAGTCTACCTCTCTCCTCTCAAACCCACGCACATCCATCCATCCATCAAAGTGAAGAAGGGAAGCTACCTGTCTACCTGTCTCAGCTAGCTAGTGCAGTAAACCCATCCATCTTTTGTTGTCACGTCAGCCAGGCACCTGTCGTCTGTCGTCTTGCAGCGGAAGATTCACACGCCAAGCACCTGCACACGACACACCACACCAACCGAACACACACAGACGTGCCTTGTAGCCTCTCGGCTGCTGTCTGCCTCACCACGCACAGCACACACCCATACACACACATACCTGTGCGTTTGTCTGTAGGCAGAATTAGGGCCCGAACCTAATCTCGCCTGTCTCGTCTTCATCAGGCTGGCTCTCTTCTTCATCCTCCTCTTTGTCTGGCGGGGGTGTGAAGGCCGGTGCCGCGGGAGCCTCCTGCTCGTCCTCAGGCTCATCAGGCTCATCAGGCTCATCCTTTCCGGGATGACCTCCTCCTTGCTGTAGGCAGACGTCGTCGGGCACCTTCACCAGCACACCCTCGCACTGCCCGTAGCCCAGGTTGGGGGCCGCACACGACTTGCAGAAGTTGACACCCAGGGGCAACTCGAGCGGCTGGCCATTGCAGTCGGTGTTGCCCTCGCACTTGAGCATGTTGGTAATGAGGTTCCTCTCCAGCACAACATGGGGCTGGTTGTTGGCTATCTTGACGTTGCAGGCCGTGTTACCCTCCATCTCGACTCCGCCCTTGTTGTTGGCGATGACGAGGTTGTTGACGTCGTCGACGCGCATGGTGCTGTCGCTGCCGTGCTCGCACACGGAGTCGGTGTGCGTGTCCTCCTCTATCTCGAGCTCGCCCTGGATGTGTTTGAACTCGGCGAAGGGCGACTTGTTGCGGTTGGCGTCAACGCCCCGGCTGGTCCTGTGGACGGAGATGAGGTTGCCGGCCACATTGCGTGCCAAGACCACGAAACGACTTATGTCCTGTAGATGGGTGGGGGGATGGACGCACACGGAGCCACAGACAGACATGGCGGTGTGTGTGTGTGTGTTTCTGACGAGGCGCGCCCACCCCACCCCACCCCACCCAGCGGCCGTACCTCGAGGATGATGTCATCTTCGACTTCGTTGTGTACGATGCGCAACTTGCCCTGGAGGTTCTTGACTTCCAGCCCCTTCATCTTGCTGTCCTCGACGGTGATGCTGCCCACCCAGTCCTGTATGATGAGGCACCCGGACAGCTCCAGGTGTTTGCGCCAGATGTCGCCGTTGAGCGTCCCTCCGTCGCCGATCAGCTCCATGTTGCCCTCCACTATCTTGCCCGGCGCCGACGAGCGCTCACACACGCCATGGACCCCGGTGGAAGCCGAGAGGAGGGACACGAGGACGGCTACGAGGGAGGCAAGAGAGGAGGCCATGGTGAACGGGGGAGTCGAATACCCTGGGGAAAAAAGGCTGAAGGAGCGAGAGAGAGAAGTTGGGGATTCTCGGACTTCAGGAACGCTTTCGCTTTCTGCAGAAAAGCGCATTCAACGGCGAGCGTTTTATAACGCCAGCTGTCATTTTATTTCTGTCCTTGACGCCGCGTAAGCACGAACACACGTATGCCTCCCCACAGATCATGCAGCCAGCTACTGGTATCACCATGAAGATGCACACATGATGTAAGCATTGATTGACACACACGTGCACCCCCCTCCGTGAGTGCCCGCTGTCTGTTTAGACAGCCGGGTTCCTGTATAGGTATGGCATGTTTGATGGCAGGATCTGCTTGGCACGCCCACGCAACTCGCTCCCCTCCTCTGATGTCACTATCAGAGGCGGCACATACTTATCCGCTGCACAAATTAACCGACCACACGAGACTTGATGTCCTGTCTGTCTTCTGTCTGTCTGTCTGTCTGTCTGTCTGGGTACCTTTGAGTGTGTCGGTGACATCTTCCCGCTTTGCCACGGCCTTTTCTGCCTTGGTGCGGCCAATGAGGGCTCGGACAGACGCATTGGAGTGCACATTACGCATTTGCTGTGGAGAATGGGCGTTCAGAGACGGACCGTCAGACACACGTATCGATACCATGTCAAACACAAAGAGATCACCTGTGACGTGTGGAGCACTCTGTCCGCTTCAGCCTTCGCATCCCCTTCTCCTTCCGGCTGATGACATTGACACAGACACACACACACACACACGCACACACACGGACTTGTTGTCCATCAGCGGTCATATGCATCAATTGGTGTCTGCGTGCCGCGCCTACCGAGCCGTTCCATGCTGGTCGGTCCTCAAGACCTGCCGCTGGCGCCTCGCCGTTTAATACATGGCCATTGTGCTTGCCTGCACATGAACGGAGCTGTGTCTCTGATGTGATCGATGCGATGCCATGCGATGGTGGTCGCTTCCACGGTACCATTTGTGAGTAGTTCTTGCTCGAGAGCCCCTTCCTGTGGGTTGGCCTCCTCCGCTGGCTGCTCCTCAGCGGCGTTGAGGTCATCCAGCAGCTGCTGCTGCCACTCCTCCTCCTGTTGATCGACCGGCCATTCAGCAGAGAATTGGACACGCTCCACGTGTACGATGGATGCCATGGGCACGTGTGCGTATGTCTCCCCAGCCCACCTCTTTCTGGAGCTGCCTTGCCCTGGTTGCCAGGAAGGACAGGGCGCTCTTGAACTCAAGATCGTGCACATACTCCTCAAAGTCAAGGGACTGAATGGACACACACATACACATACACAGGACGTCAACCCGCCAAATGTGAAGGTGTGACAGCTGTCTGTGTCGCAAGACTTATTCGCCGGTCGGTCGCTGACCGATGCGAATTGTATGAGGCTGTCCGCGTTCTCCTCCTCAGCGGCCTCCACCTGCTGGGCCGTCATCGCCCACAGCGGCCTCTTGGACGCATCTTCCTCTTGACGGGCTGCACCCACGCCCCTCCCATGCTTCCGGGGACCCGACAGCTGCAGAGCTTCCATCAGACGAGAACGCTCCGGCTGAACAGGCTCGGCTCCCGCTGCTTCGTCCCTTTTGGGCTGTTTGCGTAGTGTGACCCCTCTCTCTGTCCAGTAGTCGGCCATCATGGCCCGGACGGCCTCCCGCTGTGCGTCGCCCTTTGCCTTGATCTTACGGTGCCTCGCCTCCTCCTCAGTGGCCTCCAGCGCAAGATACTGCTTTGTGTCACGAACCTGATAACATACATACGGCCGATGCAATTATGCGGTGCAGACCAAGATGGTGTGTGGGCGGCGTGTATACACACGCACACCTGTGCGGCAAGTTCTCTGAGGAACTTCTTATGTGCGGCCATGGCCGGCAGGCTGCCGGGCGGACATGACTCGGCGACCGTGACCTTCTTGGCGGGGCAGAGGCCCACGGGCTCATGGGAAGTCACCCACTTGAAGGTCGGAGGGCCGCTCCCTGACCTGGAGTCAACCAACACATCAATCAGGATGTCCCCTCTCCCTTTGTCATTGCAGAAGCGTGTGCAGTGCATGGGCCTGTACTTTTTCTTGTCGAGGGGAGCCTCGCCAGGGCGGTTGCAGAGCATCACGCTGCAGAAGAGAACAAGACAAAGCGAGGGGCAATGGCGAAATTGCCATCACTGCAGTGTCATGTGTGGTGGTGTGTGTACCCCTTGAAGTTGCCAAGGCTGGCGCCTTCTGCTGACGCCATTTTTCGTGCGCGAGACTGGAGGCCTGCGGGGGGCCGACAGGTGCTAGCCTTGGTTCTCCCTCTTCGCCGCCAATCCTACTCTTCAAGCGCCGCAAAGAGCCCAGGGGAAATGGCTGGAGGTACACTACATTGCAAATTGCCGTTTCATTGTCACACTGGTCACATATTGATGACAGGCAAGGAGGGTCTTATTGATCGTGTGCTGGCGGTGTGGCGTCGGCGGCACCTGCACCCATATGACAAGATCAGCGGCAAGACCATCCTCGTCGATTACAAGGTCACTGCGGTGGTTCTGCAATGCATGACACTTACATAATGTATGTGACGTGTGTGTGTGTGTGTGTGCAGGAGGATCGTTTCTCTCGATGGTTTGATAAGTATGCCAATGCAGAGGGCTCGCTGTCTGCCGAAGATCTGCCACGCACAACGATGGGCGGCGTCTTGTCCCTCATCTTTGGTGCTCTCGTAGCCGTCCTCTTAGCCACTGGGATATACAAGCTCTCCTCTCAAAATACGACCATTGTGTGAGGCCAAAGTGACCATCTGCAGTGGCACGGTTGGTGCCTCCCGGCCCTTTCCTTCGATTCATGCAGGACGGGGGATCAGATTGTCTTCAACCTTGACTGTGTTGGGACGCCTGCCAAATGCAGCGCGCCGGAGGAAGACGACCCGTAACCTGCATCACCATACAGTGGCATAGGCAGATATGCGAGATACTGGATGGAATGCTGTCCTCACATAGATTGGCTGCTGTGCAAGACGCATTTTGGCCATACGGCGACCCTATTGACCTGCCGGCGCTCGACCTGACTGTCTCTTCACGGCTTGAATTCTATGAGACATCGGGGAGGACCTCACTGCACAAGATACGGGTGGTTGACAAGATGAGCGTCCACTCATCCCTTCTTGTGAGTGAGACACAGAGACGGCACGTCGTTGAAAGGAATCGAATCCCCTTTCCTATCTGTTGCAGAATCACCATAGTGCGGTGCCCAAGGTCCGCGCGGTGAAGGACTCCTTTGCAGTGAGGATGAACTCCTGGCACAAGGTGTCGGGCCCGCTGTCGTCGCCCACGGAAAACATCGAGCGCGGCATGCACGAAATGATGGTGACTGAGAGAGGCTCATAAAGATGTATGGATCTTCTTTTCCCTTCCCTCGTGTGTGTGCAGGCCTCATCGGCGTCCCACCAGTTTGATGAGACCTTGAAGCATTTCTACGCCGAAAATGACCGTTTCAGTGAGTTCGAGGAAGACATGGTAATACATCACCAAACGTCAAGGTCGGCCTCTCCGTATCGCCTACCTACGTTGCTTTCTTCCCCTTCAGTTCGACCACAATGTTGTGGCATTTTTTCGTTTTGATAAAACTCAGCTGCGTGAGCTTAAGCCATGCCAGCTGCAGGTCGGACTCGTCAACACCGCCGAGTAAGAAAAGGGGGCTGGGCTGTTGTTGCGCTGTTATCTATCGCACTGCGTGTCATGTCATGTCAGGTTCAAGATCCTCGAGGACGCCATGATCGCAGACCGTATCTATCAGAGCCCCAACTACACCCAGACGCTCGCCACAGACAGCTTCACCTGGACCACTGCTTCATGGGACTCCCGCACCAAGAGGTGGAGCGACGATCTCACCAAGGGCACCAACGTCGTCCTCCTCAAGAGCAGCTACACGCGAGCCCAGCTGGCTGCATTCAAAAACACGACGGCATACGGCCCGCTGAACGTCAATGTGAGGGCGCGGAGGAAACAGGCCACCACGCAGTCGGCGGGATGCACCGACTTCACCAAGGTGAGATAGATAAAGCCAGGCGAGAAAGATGGAGACGCACATACATACATACATACAGACAGAGACAGGAAGTCGCTCGTGTACTCATAGGATGGGGCTTTCTTGCACTGGAACGTGTTTGTCAATTACGTCAACAACTTCAATCACACCTTTGAGAGTGCCACGTGCGATGGTAAGGCTGGCGAGGCGTCCTTCGACTCTGCCTATTGGGTCGCCGCCACCCCCACCAAGAACCAAACCGTCCTCCAGCTTACGAACTTCCGACCACCAAAGAACGGTCGGCTTGTGAGTGCCTGTCAGCGGGGCCCAGCGAGTGCCACTGGGTGGCCTTATTGTGAGTTTGTGTATGATGTGTAGGCAATGCTCCGCCGTTCTTTGTGCTGATGGTCGGAGATGCCGGCATGGAGAGGATGAAGGTCGTCAAACTCAACAACACAGCCAAAACGTGGGCGGCACTCACACAATCACACCTCTGCACACGTCTGTATCAATGCTTGCGTACCTAGAATGACGGTAGAACGTGGTGGTGACATCGACACGGCCATCACCTTCAACATCAGCCGGCCCACATCCTATCCCCCCACTCCACCAGCAGCATGGAGGTGTCACCCCGCCGACTACCTCGACGGCTCCACCTGCCACTGTTTGTGTGGGGCCGCAGACCCCGATTGTCTGGCGATCAACCCACCTACCAAAACTGCGCAGCTGACGAATTCTGCACGCCGCTGGGCAGATGCGCTCGCCGTCCGCCCGGTGAGTGACTGTGCTGACTGGCAGAAGAGAGTGATCCCTGATGGGTGTCGGTGTATGCATTGCTGTCAGGTTACGATGTCGGCCAGGTGTCCATCAGTGAGGACTGTGTCAACCTGGCGTTGCCGGGGGAGACGGTCCTCCTGGGCTACATCGGCCCACCAGAAGGCATCACCGCAGCGTAAGGAGGGACAATTTTTGTCTCACTCACTGTGCCCAACCTACTCGTGTGTGTGTGCAGCGGTGGGTGCCAGGCCTGCCCTTATGAGAAGCTGTATGATGGCGCATCGGTGCTCAATGATCATGGGGAGTATGTGTGCCAGTACAAGGCTCTTGGACACATCAACGGCAAGAACGTCAGTCAGCAGCTCATGGGCACACGCCAACCAAAGCAGCATGAGAGTATTGTGTGTTTGGGTGCCTATTCAATCACTCACGTAGGTGTTGACGGAGTTCAATGCGACCAACGATGCCTTCGGCGCCAATCTCACGGCCGGCGGCCTCACCAATCAGCGCCGCACTGTCCGCGTGGCGCTTGGTGCCAGCAGCAAGCTGCCCACAACCGCCACGCCATCAAACCCCTATTATGCGGCCCTCGACTCAGGCAAGGAAGGGTATACACCGAGAGACTCACAGAAGAGGTGTGCACGTGTGCGCAGGTCAGGGGAACCAGGAACTGGCCCGAGTGCTGACTGCCACGGAGCCAGATGGCCGGAACGAGCAGATAGTGACGATAGAGAGCACGACGTCGACGTTCCGGTTCATGCACTTCAGCTCGGGCAAGCTGGTGTCGGCCCTGTCTGAGGACTTCACTGACATGATCATGTTCTTGGACAGCCCAGACCACCCATTCCCACGGTAAGAGGTGGCTGGAATGACTGTCGACTCGTGCGTGGACGCCCTTTTGTTTCTGTAGGTACGGTTCGCATACGGTGCAGATCGACGCCACACAGCTGACAATCAACACGGTGTGTGTGCAGCGACACATTGCCGTCATCTGTGTGTTTGCTGGATTAGATGTGTGTGTGGGTGAGTGTGATTTGTGCAGGCGACTAAGACTCAGGGCCGGGATGTGCAGCGATTGGGCCTCACTGTGCCCCCGGCGATTGCACCTGCTGGCTACAGGTCACGGACTGTCGCACCTGTCACGGTCGGCCTGCCCGGCTGCTTGCCTTCCAGCGATCTGTGGGATGAGTCTTGTGTATGTCTCCGTGTGTATAGGCGAATCTGGCATCGTTCCATGATGATGGCGGCGGGCCACGGAACATCCATCCCGTCGTGTTCCCCTCAGGCCCCGACTTCATCGACTCAGCAGCTGCAGGCAGCTGCCTCAGTATTTACGCCTTCACCGACGATTTCGGCAACAGCTACTGCGATGGAATTCACGACGGTCGGTGAGCCCCGGTCTCTCCCTGGTGCAGCAATATCGTGTCTTACATTATTACCCCTTTACCATGCAGGCCATCTGGTGGTCGCATATGGCGGGTTCTCATCCAGCCTCTCGACATTCGATCGCTCCAACCTCACTGGGTGGCAGGTCTTGGTCAGGGGCAACTCGGAGACGGACGTCATCAGCAGCGAGGTGAGAGATCTCCTCACGGCCGTCGAGTGGAGTTTCCCAAGCAGGAGCACTTTCCCGGCTCGGCGTTTCTTGGCACCAACTTCGACCCCTTCAATGATGACCACTACAATGTTCGGGGTGGGCTGATGCAGACAGACAATAGGTATCGATCTGTTCATTGGTTGTCTCTTTATTTGCCTTGGTTTCAGGATTCTGGAAATGTAATCAATCAATAGAGCACCGGGCTGCACTGACGTGAATCGTGTATATGCGTCTCGTGTGATGTCAACATACATGTATGCAGGCGCTATTGAGTTGTGGCTTGACGGCACATGCGACTGTAACTGTGGCCGCTATGACCCTGACTGCGCTGGCGACACGGGAATCCCGGAGGACTGGCTGCAAGCACAGGGCATCTCGCCAGGGCTGGGCGGAAGCGATTATGTGAGCAGCAGGAAAACACTCACCGAGTAGCTCGTCTCGGTGTATCAGTGGCTTTTCTTTGATGATATGTAGGATGACAAGGGCGTGATGATCGAGTGTCCGGATGGCGACGCGGCATTGGTCAATGTTGATGGCGCCAACATCCAATGCGCAACACTACGTGACATGAGGGCCACATACCCGTAAGCTTGATGGGCCTGCCTGGCCATCCAGCAGATATCTTGATGCCCTCCGCCCTTCTTTCGTGGCTGCTTATAGGTACTGTTCCTACCCCGCGGGCATTCCCACAGCAGTGAGGGCCAATGCTTGGAACGGCCTGGGTAAGAGATGCATGCATTTCGTCAGGACGAATCACCACACATACGACAGTCGGAAGTGCTACCGCTCCCTTGTCTTTTGCTTCTTCCAGCAACCGACAGGATCGACTTCTGGAACCGTGGGTCAATTCATGAGACCATTACTTCCGATGGCTGCCACTCTTGAGACCTCTGCATGTATGTGTTTCTGCACGTAGAGAAGCTGTGGGAGGTGATAGTGCTGGATTCGCCGCTGAAGAACTCACGGAGCGCTGGCGTGGTAGTTGAGACACTCGCCATCGATACGGTCGGCCGGTGGACGAACGGCACAATGGGAAGTGTATGCTGGGTTTCTTTCCTTTTGCAGCATGCAAGCAGCACCTCTGGCAGAAGGCGGCTGACACAACAGGTGTGTGAGACAAGCAACATCGAAATGCTCCCTTTATGTCTCGCCATGTCTGCCTTCAGGCCTCAGCCACTGCTGACTATGACAGTCTCTTCGACGAGCTGGAACCCGACCCCCGCTTGCAAAGGTCACTCAGTCAGACGCCTGGGCATCTGCACTCGCACAATGCACCACACGATTTGGCAATCGCGTCTCTTGGGTACATGTGCACAGGCACATCTCAATGACGCACCACCAGTCAAGGGGCACTGTCCACGAGGAGGAAAGGCGAAGGCGACTCGAAGCCAACACCACGCCAGACCGATCGATTCGCTTGTCACAACGTAAGGTCGCAAGGGAGGATCTTCTCGACTACATTAACCGCAGGCTGGAGAACAAGATGGACCATGGCCAACGTCGGTTGTCTGCCCCAATGCATTCTGTCCCTTCGTCGACCCCTTCTCGACTGCCCCGGAAGCTGCAGCCCGGCGGCGAGGACCCTGCCGACCCCCTGGAAGATCCAGCGGCCGAGGACCCGATCGAGCCTGACCAGGAGGACCCAATCGCCGACGACCCACTCATAGAGGAACCAGCAGGAGGTCAAACCAGACCGAGACATGCGGTCAGATGATGTGTCCGTACGTGTGTTCATGAAATACAGATGATCCGGACAGTGATTTTGAAGATCCGGTGGTGGAAGATCCTGAACCAGATCCAGCTGATGCAGCTCTTGACGAGGGCGCGGGAGATGAGGTAGCTGATCCAGTGACAGGAGCTGATGACTTCGGAGGCCAACCAGACCCTGGCCCTGCTCAAGGAGGTAAGCAGCAAGGAATGCCGCGTGTGGATGTTGACGTTGACTGACATGTGAATGGCAGGTGGTGATCCGTTGGTCGATGAGCCAATCGATGACCCTGACACGGGCGGCGGAGAAGTCCCAGAAGATCAAGGTGTTTTGGGTTCTTCTGTATGAATGAACATGAATGTGTGTGCATTGTTGCCGTGCTGCAGGTGATGGAGGACTCGACGGAGGCCAGCTTGGGTCTGCGGAGGCCAGCTTGGGTCTGGCCCTGACGACATCGGCCAGGAGGATCCAATGACTGGTGAACTGCCAGGCGATGACCCTGCTGCAAACGATCCAATGACCGGTGAACTGCCAGGCGATGACCCTGCTGCAAACGATGGTCTCCAGGATCCCGGGATGGATGGAGACCACGACCCTTTCCTTGGAGAAGAGGGTGGGCAGCAGAGGATCAAAGGTGCAGAGACACGGCAGGTTGATGTCTCTGTGTGTCCGTCAACAACAGGTGCTGAAGACGAGCACGGGGATGGCGGCATGGGTGGAGGGGCTGGCCCGGGTGGTGCTGACCCAGATTTAATGGATGAAGGACCGATAGACGGCGAAGAAGGTGGGGCAGCTGATCCATTCGATCGGAACGGACAGGATGGCGGCGACCCAATGGGCGGAGGTCCACTGGACGAGGATGATCTGCATGAAGGCGACGGGCCGCTTGATGGAGAGGATTCACTGCCCGGAGGCCTTCCTGATCTTGATGACGGTGGACATGGAGGTAAGGGAGCCGCCCTGGAACGTCGATGAATCTCTGTGTTTCTTGTTTGTAGGGGGGCAGGGATCATCAGACTGGCGGCAGGATTGGCTGCCGGCCCTCAATCTACCACCGGACCCGACAGATAAAGACCTCGGTATGGCATTCGGCACAATCGACAGCAACTACGATGGGTTGCTCGACCAGGACGAGGTCCGACAGAGGTACGACACACTTGCGCGCACAGTGCACTCCATCTCCTCACCAAAGGTCCCCATGTTCCTTTCCCCATCCGTTTGTCAGCTGGAGTAGCTCAGGCCACGCTGGTCCCTCTGATGAGGGCGTGTACCTGGCCTTCGAGGAGCTGGACCAGAATGCCAACGGGTTCGTGGAGAGTGAGGAGTGGTCCAACGTCATACATGACTCGCTCTTCTCGGGACACGACGACCTCATCCACGACCCGTGCATCGACGACCCCGACGCGTGCGCAGCTCTAGACGAGTTTGGGGACTTGCTGGCTTCTGAGGACCAGACAGTGTAAGAGCAATGCAATACGGTCTGGTGCAATGCAATCACATCGCACCCCCGTCTGTCTGTGTTTGCTTTGCAGGTATCAGCCTGGTGGGTTGGTCTCCCCGTGTGATCCACCGCTGGTGTTCGATCCCAACGGCAAGGTCTGCCGCAACAAGTGTTCAAGTGTGGGCGACCTCCCCGACCCGGACGGCTTTTGCCAGCCCAACCCCAAGGCCCAGGCCTCCCCTGACGTGCCTGTCAGCGACTCCCTCACCCTCGACTACGACCCTGGCCGTGCAATTGAAATCATTGAGAACGGCACCATGATGGCCGAATTCGCACGTGCCTTCGAGGAGAAGATGGCAGCCTTCCTTGGCGTGCCGAGGTCACGGATCAGGGTTGACGACGTCATTGAGGGATCCCTGATTGTCTACTACGAACTCGAGCCGGCCATCACAAGTTAGTGCGAAAGGAATAGAGCAATATGCTGTCATACTGCCTTGGTGTCTCGATGTCTCACGCTCTCTTTCGACAGATCAGGACCAAGTGTATTCGCCCACTGGCCTTCAGGAGCTCATCAACGTGCAGCGGCCGTTGCTATTCCTCACGAACTTCACCGTCCTCAGCTATACCAGCCCATACGGCAGCGTCAGCTCTGCCACACAGGCGGTATTCAACCCCGATGCCACCGCAGATCTGCTGGCCAAGTATGCCAGCGCTCTGTCAAACAAGAAGCCCATCGTCACTGTGCAGAGTGACAAGGTGCCAAAAGAGAGTATGGACAGCCGGAGACATGACATTGTACGTTGTGTGAACACCCTTGTGTGTGTGTTGTGTTGTGTTGTGTTGTGTGTAGGTCTTCACGATAAGTAAGATCGACATCGTGAACCGAGACGCCAAGGACACCTACCTCCCAACCGAGCCCTACCTCCCCAACATCGTGGAGCCCACCCGCAGCCCCCCTGTGATGGACGTCGAAGTGGCCCTCTTCCTCGTCCCTGACTTCCAGAACATCACTGAAGCCAGCCTCTGCCCCGCCATGGTCATGCCGCAGAGCGAAGAACACCCCAACACTTCTCCAACATCCCTGGGAGATTCGGCTCGTATTGGGGCGCGTGGAAGGCGCAGAAGGGCAAGGACATTCGGCTGCGGTCTTGCGAGGTGCGCGACTTCAATGCGACTGGGGAGGGGTGTCAGGCGCTTAACAGCCTGCCGAAGAGCAGGTACAGGCCGTCGTGCACAATGGAGCTGCCGCCCAAGAAACGCATGGAGTATTCAATTCACAGCGCCGCTCAACCATAAGGTAGGTGAGAATATTATGGCAAACTAACAATCCATTGTGTTTCCCGTTCAGTGGGTGATGCCAGAGGGTCGTGACGATTTCCAACAAGGCGTGGTCCATAAGCCTGAATGGACATTGTACGGCAGAACGTGACCCGTCGACTGCGTTGAATGCACTGGCTGCCTGTGTGTGTTGTGCCATTACAGTGACTTCGAGACGCAGTATGTGTTCATGTGGGACGGTAAGTCACCCGCACGCACCAGGAGCGCACTGATGTGATGCATATTTCATGTCTGCCTGCCCGTCTTGCTCCCGCACCAGCGAGCGCCCGGGAGGTAGAGAAGTCATTCATGGCCAAGGCAGGCCCTGGTAAGTAAGGGAGGGCTGGTTTGGTGTGAATGACATTGTGTGTCGTCTGTGCGTGTGCGTCAGGCGAGAGGCTACTGGGGGAGCGATTCCTCTACGCAGGTGCATTTGTGAGGCTGGACCAATTGCCTGTGCGCCCATGTCTGTCTCTGTGCATGGCTTTCAGGCGAACCCTTCTTCAAGTACACAAGATAGACACGATATAGGCTGAAGCACACGAAGTGTGTGGGTGGTTGCGTCATGGCAGGGGCAACCAGACATGCCGCAACAGCACGGTCTGCGGTGGCTGCTCATGTCATAGCAGCAGCCGCAAGTGCGGGCCGCCCATCGCGCCACCTGCCAACCCAGTCACCATACTACCCGACATCAGTAGGCCTGCCGCTATACAACACTGCACAGCACACGTGTGTTGCATTCTGTGGGCGTAGGGCTGCACATCAATAAGGGTCGTACCAAGGCAGTGGTGGAGGAGGAGCAGCAGTGGTTCTGGCCGACAGGCAAAACACTCAACGACCTTCTCGAGTGAGACAGGCAGCCAACCAACCAGCCAGGCAGACAGGGCCCGGTTTGTGTCTGTCTGTGTGTCAGCAAGGGGTTTGATGGTGACTCGCCGCACTTCCCGGGCGAGTTTGAGGTGTCAAAATTACGCAGGGGGCGGATGGGGATCGACACCATGTACTCTTGTTTGTGTGTCGTGTGGTGCAGGTGCCTCTGCAAGGCGGGTTGGCGTCCATCACAGGTGCAGAGGACAGGGCATTCCCACTCCTGCCCGGCAGAATATACACCATCAGAGCAAACGTCCAGGTCTGCACCCACACCCACACCCACACCCACACACACCAACAGAGACACACGTGCATCTGTGTGTGTGTGATGGGTGCCTGCAGGTGTTTCCTCTGTACGAGAAGAGCAAGTGGGACTGGTTCGGTAGGTCGAGGCTTGTCAAGTGGGAGGCCTCGGTGGCGGACGCTCAGGCCGCCGTGGCGCCCCTCGACTACGAGGCGCGGCACGAGTGCCGCGTTCGCTATATCCTCAGGATCGACAACAGGGCCAGACAGCTCGTCAAGGTCTACACATACGACCTCACTGGTACGGATGGATGGATGGATGAACCGTCAAAATCGATGTGTGTGTGTGTCTGTGTGTGTGTGTGTCCGTGTGCGTGTCTGTGTGTCGTAGCTTTTCTGACGGACCTGGGAGCGTGGCTTGGGTTCTGGTGAGTGCCCATCACGTGCAAACACGGACCATATGTACCTGAATGAACACTTGTGCATATTATTCTCTCAGGGGTCTGGGCATCGTGCTCCTCGGCATCTGGCAGGTGTGGACGTTGCAGTCAACACAAGCCGCCACACACATGTCTCGATGGCATTGCAGATGCTGTACAAGCCCTTCGGCCACGTGTTGGGAGAGGACGTCGATGAGAGGGCCGACCGCTTCAAAGAAGAAGCTAAGGTACGCCAAGCCGCAACGGCAGCCAGTGGTTGACCGACTGCGTCGCTGCCTCGCTGCAGGAGGCGTATGCCGTCAAGCGCAAGAAAACACTGTAAGCCGGCCAGGCCCACCACACACACTCTCACAATCCATATCTCTGCGAGCAGGTTGAAGGACCCGGCGCGCTATGGCCTGACGGCTGATGAGGTGTCCAAGCTCCAGCAGATGGGCGAGGGCGATGAGGCCGCCAGCCTGTCGAGGATATTCAGAGACACAGAGGACCAACCTGATGAAGATGACGACGTCGAGAAGGCCAAGAGAGAGACAAGGGCTGCTGATGGTGCAGATGACCATCCAGTACGCCAGCAGCAGCACCAGCAGCAGCATCATGGCAGCGCGGATCTAGATGACGTGGGAGAGGGAGAGGGTGATGGTGGTCCGGGGCAGCCCGAGAAGAAGAGGACTCTGGTGGACCTCACTGAGCTGCCGAGAGACGACGGCAGAGACGATGACGACACATCGCAGAGAAAAAGTGAGCACGTCTGTCCCCATGTGTCTGCCAGTTGCACACGTGTGTCTCCCTCCCTCCCTCTCCAGGCTGTACTGGATTTCTTGTCGAGCAGTCTAGGAGACGAGGTGAGTCAGTCCGTGACACACACACACACACACACACACAAAGACACACAAAACAGTTTGTGGGCCAAGGGTCCACGATGAGCGTGTGTGGATGCAGAGCGGTGTCCGGCGGGTCGACCGGCAGAGGGACGACGCGCACCATACCAACAAGGTAAGCGGCAGATGCGATGCAAGTGTGTAAGGTGTGATGGCACGAACGTCACCCCTGCGCTGCGCTATCGTCTGACTATGTGCAGATCTAGTAGCGGTCGGAAGATCATTAGTTTGCTCTGGGGGGTAGCCCCTTTCTGTCTGTCTCGGCTATGTGTAGCCCTCGGTCACCCAATGTAGTCAGTCCTTCATTATGCATGTGTGTGTCTCGCTCGCCGCCGTAGCTCTGCTCCTCTGTTCACCTTTATGTGGGTCTTGTCTTCTTTATCGCAGCCGCAACGCTGCATTGCGTGTGCACGTCTGTGGCAGTGGAGGTGCGTGTGGGTGCGTATGGGTGGTGCAGGTGATGCAGAATAGGACTTGAGGGCTGCGTGTGTGCTGGTATGTGGGTATGCATTTGACTGACACGGAATGAATCTCAGATTGTCAGACAAACTCACCCTCAGTCAGCAACGGGAAGACTTGACAGACACGCACCATGCCCCCGCTGCCTGCCTGCCTGCCTGCACAAATACTGTCTGCCTTTCCCCAAACCCCACCCAGACAGACAGAGTCATGCACGGACTGAGCCAATAAGGTACGTGAAGGACGACCCATCGGTGTCTGTCAGCCTCACCCACCCTCCCTCCCACCCACCACACCCGAGAAAGAGAGAGAGACAGAGAGAGATGAGCACTCACTGCCGCAGGCAAAAATGGCAGAGGGCGGGCAAGTGACCGACAAGTCGAGGGCTGGCTGAGTATCCAACTCCATCCATCCATCCGTCCATCCATCCATGCGATCCATGACAAAGAGGTAGAGGTGGTGCGGGTGGGTCGGGTGCTGGACCTACCAGTTCCGCGCCTCTTGGACACCTATGTGCAGCGGATAAACCACATATCTTCTGCACATAGGTGCCCAACCTGCGAGGGACTGGTAGCCTCGCCGCACCCAACGACCCCAATTTGCAATCAGGAGGAGACCGTGTGTGTGTGCTGGACCCACTTGGAAAAAATGGCCCCCTCCCTCCCTCCCTGCCTCTCTGCCGTCCCGCTCTCCCTCATCATGTGATGTGAAGTCATGTGGTGCGTTACACATGCATACCATACCTGAGCAGCAACTTCTGTACAACCAATCAATCAATCAGTACACACACAGAGAAGCGAAGGGAGACGCACGCGCAAAACCAGTGCCGTGGCGGGTCGGAGCGATGGTAAGGCAAGCAGACAGGCAGGCAGGCAGGCAGGCAAAGACAAAGGAGAGAGGAGAAGAAGAGCGTTAGCTAGGGTAGGTGGGTAGGTACTGACCGAGCGACCGACTCGCTGTGAGCGCCATGTCTGTCTCCGCTCACAGGAGGGGCGTGCCGGCGGGAATCACCACGAATCGCAGCCAGAAGCAACCCACACCAGCCAGCACACCTGAGGGAACAACAAGAAGAAAGAACACCACACAACCACCACACGCAATACACACCCGTGTTCGCTGATCTTCGGTGATGCTGTCGTGCGTACCGATGGTGCATCCGACGATGCACTGGTTACGAGTGTGATCCTCCAGGTGGTATCGCGCTGACACAACCACAAGCCACAGCCCACAGCCAAACACATGACTCCAAACCGCTGAGACCATTTACTCTCTCTCTCCGCCCTGCTCAGCTCACTCACCCCAGGGCATGGGCGCCAGCAGTGAGAGTGCCGCGACCGCGTGGACGATGCGCGGCAGTGTGTGGTATGCGAATCCGAATGAGAGTTCGAGGAGGATCCATGTCATGACGCAGTACGAGGTCAGGCAGTGGCTGGATGGCATGCCGTACGACCGCACGGCCGACTTGGCGGGGCGCGCCTGCTTGAACAGACGCTTCAGCACCGCCTCGGCGAACACACTCAGCAGCAACTTCTGACACTGCACACACAACACACCCAACACACAGTCAGTCAACACACAGATGTCTTTCCTCCCTGCACATGCGTCTCTGGCGGACCCACCAGGCAATAGAATGGGAAGAATTGCCCGCCGAGAGCGAACCAGAAGAAGAAGAGCACTGTGATGGCGTAGGGGACGAACGAGTAGAGGACGGCGAGGGTCTCGGTGGGCGTGAGGGGTGGGCGGATGGACACCGAGAGGAAGCTGTAGGCGAGGGTGTCGGGGGTGCCCTCCTCGATGTCCTTGCCAACCACACTGTACAGGTGGAACGGCGTCGGAGACACCAGCCGAGACCACACCGTCGGCGACTCCTCACCGCCCACACACATCTTCTTGGGCTGCGCCAGCGACATCATCCTCTAGAGCCACTCGTGGAACGTTGATGGATGCACAGCCTTTTCCTTCGGTTCTTTCGTTCAGTGCCTCACTTCACTTCGCGCGTTTCACGTCGTCAGCTCGCAGAGCCCTAGCTCGGAGCACCCGAGCTGAAGAGATGGACATAGAGTCAGCAGAAGGCTTCAAGCCGGTGCGTCGGCGTAAGGGTGGCCGCACTCGGCCGTCGGCATCACCCTACGACAAAGATGATGCGCCCATGGGAGCGGCGGATGGCGATGCGGGGGACGTGCTGCAGGCCGTGGACGTGGAGATGAACGTGGCAGATGACGAGGAAGAAGACGACGACAAGCAGGTGAATTGGGTGGAAAGGACGACAGACAAACGACGCACAGCATCGTGCATCTGCTTGCTTGTGCTGTATGTGTTGCCTGCCTGTCAGGGGGAGAGTGATCCCAAGTATGCTCCCCTGAAGCCGCAGCAAATGACAAGCAAAAAGGTACGTGGGTAAACAGCATTCAATCCAGCACAGAGAGAAGAGAACTGAATTTGTGTGATGTGTTCGTTGTGTTCGGCGTCCATGCAGGGCGGTGGAAAGTTCCAGATCCGGCGGCTGTTGGTGCCTCCGCACCGCTACACGCCGCTGCGGAACGCGTGGCTGGAGATGTTGCAGCCGCTGGTGGACCACATGAAGCTGCAAGTCCGCATGAACACCAAAAGAAGATGCGTCGAAATCCGGGTGGGCGGGCAGCTGGGTGAATGCTTACGTGAATGTGTGGTGTGTCGACTGATTGATGTACTTACTGCCTGCAGACTTCGCCGGACACGAAGGACATCGGTAATCGCTGAGGCGGTGCTCAGATCAGACTGACACGTAGACGGGCTTCTTGTGTGTCTGTGTCTGTGCTGTCGTCTTCAGGTGCTCTGCAAAAGGGAGCGGATTTCGTCAAGGCCTTTCTGGTACGCAGCGCGACACACGAACTGAATTTGCCAGACAGACGTCATGGCTGTATGTGTGTGTGTGTGTTTGTGTGTGATCGATGTCAGCTGGGGTTTGAGGTGCAGGACGCCATTGCGCTGCTGCGCCTCGACGACCTCTTCATCGAATCGTTTGAAATCAAAGACGGTATGAGTCAACACACACACAGCACACGAGAGGCGAAAGATCTGAACCCACTGAACCCCTTCTGTATGGTGCGTGTGGTTCAGTGAAGCGTCTGAGCGGCCACCACATGTCGCGTGCGATCGGTCGCATCTCGGGCAAGGACGGCAAGACCAAATACGCCGTGGAGAACGCCACCCGCACTCGCATCGTCCTGGCGGACCAGAAAATACACATACTCGGTGAGTCAGCCAATCAGCCACTGACCGATGGGCGGGCCGGAGGCAGCCGTACACGAACAGCTCATGAAATTGGAGTCTGTCTGTGTGTCTTCGTGTTTGTCTGTGTGTGAAGGTTCGTTCAACAACATCAAGTTGGCGCGTGACAGCATCTGCAATCTCATCCTCGGTCAGTGCAGCTCTGATGCTGGACGGATGGATGGATGGATGGATGGCTCCCATTCATGCGGTGGTTGTCTGTTGTGTGTTGTGGCGCTGTATGTATGTGTGTGCGCAGGCAGTCCGCCAGGCAAGGTGTACAATCACCTCCGTACAGTGGCCAAGCGCCTGCAGGAGCGGCTCTAGACTGATGAACTAGAAACACAACAGACAGGCTGCTTTCATAGTCAGGCGGACGTAGTCAGGGAAACACACACGTAGTCAGGGAAAGGTCTCGACGTTGGCCGTGAAACGTTGTTGGAGTCAGTTCGCGTCGATTCCGCCAGAGATGGCGTTGCTCTTGATGGCGCGGTGTGGCATCCTCATGACAATCTCACTAGCAATCTCATTCATCGGCACTGCATCAGCCTTCACCCTCTCCCCTTCCCTCCTACCCTCTCCCCTCCACACCCACACCCATTCATCCGCTGCAGCATCCGTCCACCCCTTTCGCCCGCCATTGCTACGGCTGCGGCCTCCATTGCCGCCATTGCGGGCGGCGCAGGAAGATCAGCTCATCTTGACCGAGGAGAACGTCGAGAAGACACTGGAGGCGTGCAGGCAGGAGCTCTCGGCGCTGTTCGGCAACAGCGAGGAGAACAGGAGCGTCGGCATCACTGGCGACGTTGAGTTTGCTGGTAGGCAGGCAGGAGTGACTCTGTTGTTTGAGTCACTGCATCGTCCATTGCATTGCATTGCATTGAGATCTGCCTGTCTTCTTGTCTGTGTTGTGTGTGTTGACTGGTGCGTGCAGGTCTGGATGGTCCTCTGGTGATCTTGAGGCTGAAGGGCCGGTTCTGGCACTCCCGGGCGACGGTGCTGGAGAGGGTGACGGCATTCCTACTCAACAGGTGGGAGGGCGGCCGACACGACCAGACAGGCAGGCAGACAGACGGACAGACAGACAGACACGTGCACTGATTGCTTGACTGACATAGCTGCTGCAATGTGTTGTGTTGTGGGTGGTCAGGATTCCCGAGTGTCTTGGTGTTGAGATAGAGGACCCTGCCATGCTCGATGACAACGCTGAGTGAGTGAGTGATAGTTATGCCGCTTTGGGTCCGTGGGCGGCTGACAGACAAATAAGACATTTATTTGTGAGATGGACGGATGGATGGATGGACATTTATCATGGTTATTAGACAGAAGCCTTATTGCTGCATACGAACAATTATTGATATCAATCACTCAATCAGTCGCCACGACGGCACTAGACTTCGATCGATGAATGCACTATACACACAGCACACACACACACACACAGCCAATCAAGTGTCTGTCTGCACACTACAAGTACAAAATGCACACACGCCCTATTCGATGGGGGCGCTTGGTGACTGACTGGCACACACACAAGCAGCCAGGAAAAATGCCGCCACGCCATGTCATGTCGACCGGAAAAACGCCCACAACACAAATCAGCTGCCACACGGTGAAAAACCAACGGAGCACACTCACGCACCCACACCCCACTAGATGGGTGAAAGGATGCACACAGTAGGAGGCACACGCTTGTCAGGCGGCTGTGGCGTTAGTCCTCATGTATTTCTTGTACTCGTCGAGGGCGTCAGGGTTTGCCAGTGCACTCCTGTTGGGTACCGGCCTGCCGTGGATGACCTCGCGCACGGCAAGCTCCACGACTTTGCCGGTCTTGGTGCGGGGGATGTCGCGCACCGGGTAGATGTACGCTGGCACGTGCCTGACAAACGGGAAAGGAATGACAGGAAAGGACCGTTGCTATTTCGGGGTGACTGTCTTTCTGTCTGTGGTTGTGTTTGTTGTTACCTTGGTGTGGTGTTGGATCTGATTTGGTGTTTGATCTTCTTGATGAGGGCCTCATCCAACTCGCAGTCCTTCCTGCGCACCATGCGAGAGAGAATACGTTCTCTCAGAAACGGTCAGTGTCTTGTGTCTCCCTCCCTCCCTTCCTCCCTCTCTCTCTATGTGTGTGCTGTGTGGTGGGGGGCGGTTACGTACCTGAGTTTGACGAACAGAACGATCTCCACGTCCCGCTGCACGCCCTCCTCGTCGAGTATCTCGCCAGCCACAGCAATCGACTCCTCCACCTCATCCAACTTGTCCACCTGACACATGCAACACACACACTGTCATCTCTGTTGTCACATGATGGATGCCCTGGATGCGCACCTCTCTGTATATCTCAGCGGTGCCGACCCTGATGCCCCCCGGGTTGAGCACGGCGTCCGACCGGCCGTACACCACCACTCCGCCCCTGTCAGTGATCTCGGCAAAGTCACCATGCGCCCACACGTTGTCATACTTGGCGAAATACGCCTTCCTGAAGGAATGAATCGGTCGTACGTGTCTTGGTCATGAGTGCAATGCACTCATCAGCGAGCGGCACTGCCCTAGTTACTTGTATTTTTGGTTGTGTGGGTCGTGCCAGAAGCCCCATGGCTGGCTGGGGAAGGGTTTGGTGCAGACGAGCTCGCCCTTCTCGCACTTGACGGACTGGCCGTGCTCATTGTACACCTCAACTGCCATACCTGCACAAAAAGGAGGAAGGAACGAAGGCATAGCCAAGTGCCCCTCCCTGTGTGTGGGTGTGGCCTACCGAGCCCCAGCGCTTGGATCTCGCCTCGGTAGACAGGCCCAATGGGGTTGCCTGCAGCGGCCACAAACACATCAGCGAAAGGATATGTCGGGTGTGCATTTGTCATGCAGACACTCTCGCCCTGACCAAGTATGAAGCACGATATGATGTCCGTGCCCCCAGATATGGACGACAGACACACGTCATCCTTGATCTCACGATACACATAGTCGAAGCTGACACACACACACAGACACACACATCAGTCAGTGCATCTGTCTGTCAATGTCTTTATTTAGCGCTGGCTGATGGTGACCTTACGCCTCGGCAGTGAGCGGCGAGCCTGTTGATGTGATGGTACGAAGAGCGCTGAGGTCGTGGGTCCTGAGTGACACAGAAAGCACGGCAACACGCATGGAGACAACAAGTATGTGGTGACGGTACTGATTTCTTCTCGCTCACTTCCGGGGCGACACCCCCGCTTTGTTGAGGTAGTCTATGTACTTGGCTGACGTGCCAAACAGCGACCCGCCTAACACACACACACACAGACGGATATCACACACACAGACGGATATCACACACTGGCAGGTATCCACACGAAACTAATCGCATGGGAGAGGTGTGCCATCTGTCGGCCCAGACCCACCGACCATAGGTATCGACAAAGTCCCACAGAATGGATGTGTGTGGGTGGAATGGGTTGCCGTCGTACAGCAGCAGTGTGGCCTCCGAGGCCAGCCCGGCCGTCAGCCAGTTCCACATCATCCAACCACACGTCGTGAAGTAAAATATCCTATCGCCGGAATGGACGTCCGTATCTGACAACCACCACACAGACACAATCGCACAGGTCAACACCTCTCTCTGAGTGAGTGTGTCTTTGTGTCTTACGCAGTTGGTGTTCCTTGATGAGCTGCAGGAGGCAGCCCACCCGGTGCACTATGCATTTGGGCAGGCCAGTGGTGCCGCTGCTGAACAGAATGAAGGCGGGGTCGTTGAAGGACCGGTCGGCGTACTCGATCTCCGCCACGGGCTGCCCCTCACTGCAGAGGTCTTCCAAGGTCGTCATGCCGGGCTGTGATGGCAGAGGGGCGGGTGAGTCGTGTCTGTATGGGAGCACCACTGTCTGCAGCAGGGTGGGCAGCTGACGGGACACCTCCAGAACCTGCAGCGAGAGAGAGAGAGAGAGAGCAGCACCAAAGAAACAGTACTGGATGCATGTCGTCGCAGCGCATACCAACCCACCCACCTTTGGCATTGTGTCGATCCACTTGCCCTTGTAGAGGTATCCGTCCGTGGCGAACAGCAGCCTGGGCTCGATCTGCCCCAGCCGGTCCATCACGCCCTCGACACCAAAGTCAGGCGAACACGATGACCACACACCTTCACAGACCAGCACATGGCATACACGAATCTGCAACTCGCGTCATTCATCGCCTTGTTGTGTGTGCGCACCTCCGACGGCTTGTGTGGCGATCATGGCGACGGTCGCTTCAGGCGTGTTGGCCACCACAGCACCAACACGGTCACCAGCTGCAGAAGAAAGAACAAAAGACACACACACGCAGGCAGGCAGGCAGGCACGATTCAATCACTGCTGCCATTGACTCGTGCGTGTGTGTGTGTTGTCTTACGGTTGACGCCGAGCCTCCTCATCTCCGCTGTCAGCCTGGCCACTTGGTCATGAAGCTGTGCGAATGAAAGCTCTCGCCGCACCTGATCCTCGCCCCAGAAGATCAGTGCTGGCGCGTCATCACGACGCCTGCACAACACGCCACACGGCACAGCACAGACACACCATCAACAAAGCTATGTACATTGATTGCCCGCCTGTGTGCTCCCATCTCACCTGAGCATGTTCTCGGCGAAGTTGAGCCTGCCGTCAGGGAAGAACCTGCAGGCCATCATGTCGTGCTGGTTGTCCACCAGCCGGCCGCCCTTGACGCCTCTCACGCCGCAGAAGTCCCACACGTGGCTCCAGAAGGCAGGCGCCTCGTCCACAGACCACCGGTGCAGCCGCGCAAACTCATCGTGTCTGCCCCCGTGCCGCACAGAGAGGGGCGCCTTCTCGTTGATGAATCGGGTGAGGAGCGCCCGCTGCCGCCTCTCTTCTGATGGCGCCCAGAGAAGGGCGTGGTGATGAGTCGACAGAGTGCGGAACGAGGTGGCGTTGCATCTGGTGGTGAGGCGATGGAGAGATGGCCATGACGGCAGAGAGAGGGGGAGGGGGAGGGGGAAGGCATGCTTCGATAACGAGGGCATGACGGCTCTCACGAAGAGAGATCTGCTTGCGCGCTGAGCTCGCAGGGAGAGAAAGGGAAAATCGGATCTATGATTGCAATCGAACTGATTGCATTCGCCGTCCATCCACCCATCCTTCGTGCGTACACGTCATGAATTCACACCACACCTATGCACACATCCCACCCATCCCTCCAGCAGACGCACGCAGAGAAAGCAACACGCCCCGCCAATACACACACCGTCTCTCTCACTCACTGCAAGCAAACGCACTCAGACGTCTGTCTGTCTGTCTGTCTGTCTTGTGTTTGGGCTCGCCGAGCGGGTCGGCAGCTACCGCCCTCACACCAATTCGCCCATCCCTGCTGCTGTCTATGCTCTCTCTGCGACCCACACACTGCCGGTCTGGTCGACCCTGCAATGAATGCACTGCACACGAGTGAGGGTAATGAATGAGAGAGAGGGGAGGGGAGGAGGGAGGGGACAGCAGACAGGCAGGAAGAGACGAGCCAGTCAGACCGACAGACAGACTGGTGTGAGCAAAACGCGGTCATTAGGAAGGAAGAGGCATCCATCTATCATGCAGCACCACAGCAGAAATGTATAACCCCGTCCGCCTCGGCCCCTCTATCTATCTGCCACCCACACATCCATGCAGCCAGCGACTGGACACGAGTGAGTGAATGTTTCGGGCGGATCGCTCTAATGTGAGCACCACCGTCCAGCCAGCCTGGCACACATAGTTTGTTATGTACAGACACCATAGTTTGTTATGTCAGGCGTGTGGGCATTTTCTGCTCGTGTCAGTCGTGTTTGATGCAAACATACCTCAGCTGTCTATTGGCCGAAGATCATGGCTGCGATGACCTCCCACAGCACCGCACGCGCCAGCCGAGTGGTCGCTGGGAAGCGGTCCTTGAAGGCATCACCCACACAGACAGGAGCCTCGGTCGTGAAGATGGAGACGCCCACTGCAAACGAAAGACAGAAGGGCACAGTGAGTGCTGCGTGTATCTATATGTTCACGGGATGGGCTGGGCTGACCGGTGTTGCGGTCGAGGCCCGTGATTTTGATGCATGCGACAAAAGAGTGGGTGGCGTCGGTCAGGACGAGGTGACGTTGCCCAGGGGAGCGGTATGATGTTGTGGTGGTGCATCTCGCCACTGGTCTGTGGGAGGACTGTGTCAGCAGGATGCCCAGCCGGTTGTTGTCAGCATGCCTGACCAGTAAAGGACACGCACACACACATCCACTCCTTCGTATGTCGCGACAGTACCCTCACAAAGCAATGCCCCGCCTCACCTGGGGATGGGACGGCTCGTGTGGTTCCTCTGGCCAGTTGCCCTGACGTGGTTGATGATGATCACCTTGACGAATGACGACACGGACGAGTAGTGACGAGCATCAAACAGCCCCCAGCCATCATTGGGGCGACAGTCAATGCTGCTCTGGACGGGCGGGTCGTGCTGCTGTCGGTGCTGCTGGTAGAGATGGCCGGCAGGGAGGGGCGGGTCGATGGTCAGCTCGAAGCCGTCCTCGTCCTTGACGGCCCGCAGTGTGTTGCCCTGATGCCGGAACAGCTGGAATCTCACGCCGTTACCGAAGTCGATGTGGCGGCCGACCATCTTGAGCTGCGCCAACACACGCGGAGAGGCCAAATACGCCTAAACACACACAGCACATCAACACATGCACCAAACATACACTCATTGCTTGACATCCTTTCTCCTTCCCTCCCACCCTCCCTCTTTGTTGGCTTACCGTTTTGTTTGGGAATTGGTGCAGATCGTCAGCGGTGAGCCTCACAGGCAGCAAGCAGTAGCGACACTGCCCCGCCAGCTCAATCACCTCCCCAATCTCGTCCCAGCCGCCCTCCTCCGTCACACACAGCGCCGCCAGCAGGTCAGCAACGCCTATGTGCCGCTGATAGAAGGTCAGCAGCTGCTGTCCGTTGGCCGCCCATCGCAGCCCCGCCTGTGTCCTGAGCGAGTGATCTGTTGTCCATTGGCTGAGCAGCTGCCGCAACTGAGCCGCTCCGAAGAGGTCCCTGGCCTATTTGCATGTCTTCCTCAGACACAGCACATCCCGCAGCAGAAAATCACTGCCGCGGCGGGCACAGACGTACCACACGGGGTGCTGCTGCTGCTGCTGCTGGTTGGGCTGCTGCTTGGGCTGCTGGTTGGGCTGCTGCATGGGGGCCGTGAGGCTCGCCGACAGTGAGTTGCCGCCTCCCTGATGCTGCTGCTGTGACGATCCCGCACCAACCGAACCACCTGTAGGCACCACCCAACACAACACAGCAAAGGACGGTCATTACGCTATGCCGTCCACCGATATCTGATGCTTTGCGTACCTCCACTATGTCCATCATCATCACCAGCAGCAGCAGCAGCAGCAGCGCTGATGTCTACGCGTCTACGCTTGGCGCCGTCATCAGCAGGCACCTGACCAGCGATCGACAACAATGAGTCGCTGTGTGTGTGGGAGGGTCGGTTTGGACTTGTGCGTACCGGTTCGCTATGATCTTTGTTGTTGTCGGTCTCATTCTGTCCCACCGCACTGCCCGCCTCGACCTCGACGCCCATCCGCTGACGTCGACACACACCGACAGAGACACACACACGGGAGTGATTGTCTGTGCCACTCATTGGTCAGTGGAAGCTTACGCGTTTGTTGTTATTAGTGGACGACTGCACCAGCTCATCGCCGTGGGCCAAGTTGTGCTGAAGACCAAACAGACGACCAACCAGGCAGGTAGCACAATGAGTAGTGTGGCGACTCGACCTCCCTCCGTCTCCCTCACTCTCTCACCGATTGGATCCCTCCTATGACATCTCGCAAGCTACCATCCAACAAGTCGCCCCGCCCACCTGCACCACACTCACCATCACCCCACACAGACACTCACATGACAGCCGGCCGTGTGTTCGAGTTGTGTGCGTCATGGCCCACCTCTGGAGGGAGCCGGGGCGTCGTGGCTACTGTCCATCTGACCAACACGATCAACCGTCTGCACACAAAGGAACCAACCACACAGCGAGATGGGATCCATTCAGATGTCAGAGTGCCTGTGCTCTCAGTTTGCAAACTCACTGCTTAGTGTGTGTGTTTCTGCGGCAGCATTCGAGCTGAAACGGACGTCAGCCATCACGAAGCAGACCGATTGATGCCGTCAATGGTGCTCCCGCACACCTGCGAAATCTCTCACTGAGACCACCACTGTCACACCTGACAGCACACACCACACACAGCCTGTCGTTTGTGTGTGTCATGCATGACGTCATCTGCCTGAACAACTGCTTCCCTCAATTGGCCTCGCTGATGCATGGGAAGCGCATGAGCTCAGTGAGTAGCCAGTGAATGGGTGCATGGAGAGGTCTCATGGCCTTACCGATGATGACAAGACGAGCAAGTGTGGAGGTGTCAACACGCCTCTGTCGCCTCTTCGCGAAGAAGAATCACGACCTGCGAGCTTGGACGATGCTGGCCAGCGGCCCAGGTGCGCTGGCCAGCATTCTTCAAACAACAGATCTCCGTTGCCAGCGCTCCCAGGCCGCTGAGCGTGAGGATGTGTGTGTGGTGCCTTCTCGCCTGTACAGGGAGATGACTCGTGTGTACAGACTTGCTCACGTGCACTCAGAGCTATGGTATCCACCAACACGTACATACCGGCAATATGCCATCCGCACATCGAAGCTTGAGGGAAAAATAGCCTACATGCATCTCACACTCACACCCAAGTAGCCTCACACACACGCTGGGCATGATACATCTGGCTTTGTGTCTCGCGAGCAAAGTGAGGCCACTGGCGAATGTAGAAAAGAGACAAGGCAAGCCCCATCGGCCCTTCTGCGCACACAAAAATACCAATCGACGCAGAAATACGACTGCACCGACCACTGAATCCTGTCAAGAAAGTCCTAATCCGCCAGAGAAGCGACCTAAAGCAGGACTGTCCTACACGGTTCAAATCCGTGCTGCACAGACTCATGCACTCATGGCCATGGCTCCATGCACAGCCGACTGACCGGCCGAAGTGGCTGAAGGGAAGAATGGCCAAAACGTCCACAAAAAGAGGCTGGGTGCCGTCCAGCCGCTAGCGGCCACGGCGCAGAGAGACGCGAATGCGCCTCTCAGCAAAGAGGATTAAGCAGAAGAGACATAGCACCCCCGCCACCAGGACACCCCCCCGCACCGGCCCCACGCACCCAAAGCAGAAGGCTGCTCTCGTACCAGCACAAACCGGGAAGCAAAGTAAGACGAAGGCGAAGAGAGACCGTGCAAGTAAATTCACCAGCAACCAAGCCCAAACCACCGCCCCCAGGAGTATGTCCAGCAGATTTCCGAAGAGCGCGGCCCAGAGAGACACGGTCCTTGTGATGTTCCTTCTCCATACGCGCCGCAGTGCCCTTTGCAGCTGATTCCATGTGAGGCGGAGAGCAGTGCTGTCCATTGCGAGTCTCAAGAGCCACGCGAAAGAAATGGGTACGATCATCACAGCGATGTCGCAAGGACCACATTTCCCTTCGCACGAGCTGGTCTGAAGCCATCGTCGGCTCAGTGCATCGGTCACTACCGCCGCGGCGAAGCGGGGGGCCATCGACACAAGCCCAGGCAGCAGCATGTATGCCGCCGTCACACATGCGGTCGGATGCGGCGAGCGGCCACTTGAGTGATAGAGGGGATGGAAGAGGCTCAGCAGCATGTGGATGACGAAGCGCAAGGCCATCATGCCAAGGGTCCCCGCAGCAAGAGAGAAGAGGATCCCGGCGAATTCCTCTCTCTCTTCTTCTGGCAAGGCTGCGAGGCCATGGCGGAATGCAGAGAGGTCCTGTCTCATGCTCACAGAGAAAGAAGGTTGCTCCGGTCGCCGGCATAAGCCATCCAGGACGCCAAATGCGACGATGAGGACGCATGCTGCCGGCAGACACCCAAGTAGTTGGGCGTTGCTTGTGCCGTCGAACCGGTATGGGGCCTTACAAATGTAGCAGTTGACCATCCGCCATCCTAAACACAGACACACGCGGCAGCCAGCAACACGAGTGCATACTGCCGCCCTCTCCTTCATCGAATGCTCACCACTCCTCCTCATCGCTTCCCACAGACAACTGGCGTGGACCCACTTGCCTGAGAGACACAAGGGGCGTTCAGTGCATGCAGTTCCCTCTGTGAGTCTCCCTCCCTCCCCCCATCTCTGTTACCCGTCCCTCGGCAGTCACATGGCGATATGAGCGGCCCTGTGTCGACGTCCTCGTTGCTGTCCAGGCAGATGCGGCAGCTGGCATCGGGCTCCGGCGGCCACACGAGCCACGGCGAGAGGCACTCCGCGAGCAGGCCCATTGATCGATCAGGCTATGACGCCGCATGCCATGAGGACGAGGACCACTCCGCAGGCGAGGATGATTGCGAGTGAGAGGAGGCAGGCCTTGAGGATGCCTCGGTGCTTTGGTCTCAGAAAGGGGCACCACTTGTGGTAGGGACGGTTGCTTCTCGTCGTGCTGTCCACATACACATCGTCACGGGGAACAAGCCAGACGCAGCCGCAGCAGCTCATTGTTAGTACTCTTTTTCTGGGGGGGAGAAGGGAGAATACCGCGAGCTTCGATTCCGGGGGCGTTCCGGGAGCCGGACTGCGCCTCCAAGACATTCGGGCTCTCTGAGGAGCAGCTAACCAACATCGCATCTGACTTGCAGTTCTAACTGTGGATGAGCGGGCCGACTGGCTGGCTGGCTGGTCACAGACGTAAGATGGACGCTATCGCTCAACCGGTCAAGCTCACTCGAAGATTCACACACGTGCAAGTGTACACGCAAAAGAGTCTGTAAGTAAGTCTGTATGGACACGGACATGCACAGGGATGCATTCACTGAATGTAGTGAGTGGCCCTCCCCCCTGCAGCCAGTCAGCAAAGCAAGCGACCAAGAGAGGGGCACAGGGACGCGGTTGAATGATACGGTCCTCACGAATGATAGCATTCCTCTGTACAAACATGCATGCACAGCACACGGACATGCAGCGAGCAGTGTGTGGATACACATACAGATAACGTACAACACAGCTACATAGAGAGGAATGTCTAATACAAATGTATGCAGCACTGACTGACGCACGCAATGGCTATGCAGTGGATGGATGGATGAATCAAGGGCCAACAGAAATGGACACGACGAGACAGACTTGACAATAAAGAGCACTGACCCCCATGTCTTGCTTAAATCAGTCGCCACACAGACATACCTTCTCTTGCTCTCCACTGACGCACACCATTCCCTCCTCCCTCCTGGCTCACTCAGATGTCAGTCATGATGCGCCGGTCACGAAGGGTTTGGTGGACCATTGGGCGACCTCGCTCACCGACCCCGCGAAGGCGACCTCTGTCTGGCACTGCTCGCACAGGTAGCCCTCTGGCAGCATGGCCATGGGCTCCTTGTCCTCCTTGATGATCTCCTTGTTGACCTCGACACGCCGCGCATTCGCGGCCCTCACCCGGGGGAGGTTCTGCCGCCAGGCCCTTCGGCGGTCGGCATAGCACTTGGTGCAGATGTGCATGTGGCGGCAGGGGATGTACATGACGGACGCCGGGCCGTGCTCGCCGAAACAGATGACACAGGCCGGACCGTCATCGCCATCACCATGCTGCTGATGCTGCATTGTTGTGTTGGCGTGTGTGGCTGATGACGAGGGGCGCTGGGGGGCCGACGAACTGCTGCTGCTGCTGCTGCTGCAAGAGGGGGGCTGATACTGGCGTGACGATTGCTGTGCAGCAATCTTGGCGAGCCTGGTGAGGGAATGCCACAGGGAGACAAATGAGTGCGCTGATCTATATGGTAGCTTGGCTGATCCACTTACTGCCATTCAGCCTCTTGCAGCCGCCGTATCATCGCCTCCTCGCTCCGCCTGGCCTCTTGTGCCTTCTCCCGGGCCTCCTGCACCTCCCGAGCCCTTCGCTTGGCCTCCTGGTCCTTCTGCTCGAGTTGGCGGCAGAGCTGATCGACGAGCTGCTCACTCCCAGACGCACCGCCACCCATCATCATCGCACCAAACCTTCACACAAAACACGCAGCATCAAGTTGGAACTATAGTCTCCTCTCTCCCTGCCTCTGTGTACCCTGTGGATGGCCCGCCATTGCCGCCGTGCATGGCCCCGGCCGCAGCGAAGGGGTCGGGTGCATTGCTCGACGAGGGCGGCTGGTACCCCTCCTCCTCCTCATAGTCAAATATGGGCGGCGGGGGCGGCACATACATGTCATCAGCACCACTGTCGTCATAGAAGGGGTTAGCCGACAGCCCACCACCACCATTAGCAGCCGCAGCAGCTGGGGTTGGGCTAGACGGGAAGGGCTGATGGATACCGAGTGGGTGAGGCGGGAAGCCGGACGCTTGTGGGCCGCCATTGTAGCTGACAGGGAGAGGGGAACCGATCGGGTGGAAAGAGCTGCACAGCACAGCAGGAGAAGTTCATAGAAGCGTTGCTGACAGACAGACATCATGCCCGTGTTACCTTGGGTCGATCGGCGGGTGTGGTTGGGGTGGCGGTGGAAAGGCCGGCGGGGGCGGCACGCAGTACATGACGTCACCGCCACTGTCGTCGTAGAATGGATCAGCCGACAACCCACCACCGCCACGACCGCCAGCACCACCACCAGCCGGTGGGGCGGGCCCGACAGGCGCATTGGCGAAGAAGCCACTCATCGAGGGACCAGCAGTAGACAGACTGGGACACACAGCAGGAGAAAACGCACTCATTGCGGTCGGATCCCAGCGCTCACTGTCTGCGGCCATCTCACCTCGGCCACCCGTCACGTGTCGGCTGCTGTTGGTCGTCTTGTCCACTCTGCCGGTGCTGCTGCAGCGATGGCCCGGTGCGCAGCTCCTCGGCCGACGGGAGTCGGTAGGGGAGGGAGGGAGGAGGGGGCGTTTGGTGGGCAAATATGGTCATGAGGCCCCTCCCAGCCCCACGACCTCCCACCGGCCCACAGGGAGGCGACGCAGACCCAGACGGGCTGTCATCGTCAGACAGCAGCGGACGGGGCACTGACGGACGCTTCGGCAGAGGAGGGGCCATCCCCCCATTGCCAGGTGACATCTTGACGCGGCCCTTGGGGAACTGGGCGCTTGAGAGGGGAATGGCGGCGGGCATCCGAATTGGTCCTCTGCCGCCGCGATAACGATCCTCATTGGCGGCAGGTGCAAAGCGGCCCGTCTGCCCCGTCCGATTGGCCCTGAGTGTGGGATTGAGTGAGGGGCGGGGCGGCTGGCTCGGCTGAGGTGTGGGCGTCGGAGTGGGCCTGGTGGCGTGTTTGCCTTTGGTCTTCTTCTTGTGGCCCTCGTTCCTCTGTTGCCGTGCATGTTGTCCGAATGCCGAGTTGAGCAGCATAGCGTCGCCGTCCTCATCATCGCTGCCGTCAGCGTCACTTCCACCAGCCGCCGACTCCGCCGCACCACCACCATCACCAGGCCGATCGCTGCCCGCAGTGGCTGACACGGACGGCACACCAGGCGCACCAGACCTGCAAAGAAGGAGATCGATACGCTCACAGAGGAAGCGAATGTGTCAGGGCATCTCGTTAAGCGGGTGGATTGCTCACGTGTCGGCGATGGACGAAGAGGGCTCCGGCTGACTCGCCTCAACCTCATCCGCAGCAGAAGCCCGACTACAGACAGACAGACAGACAGACAGACAGACAAGGTAAACAGTCCCGTCAGCCCCGCACTGTGGTGTGCATGGCTTGCTCACCTGGTGGATGCGGCAGTGGAGGGCACCGATGGCTCAATCACCACATCGGAGGGGCTCGCCGCATCCCCACCTGCAGCATCCTGCTGGTGCTGCTGGTGGTGTCCCTTGCCGCCCTTGTTCCTTTTGCCCTTGGCCTTTTTGTCTTTGGCCTCATTCTCGCGTCGCTCCTGTGCGAGGAGGGCCTCCTGCATCCGCTTTGCTTTGGCATCCTGGGCCGCCAACTCGGCGGCTGAGATGGCTGTCTTGGGTTGGGCCTTTGTGTCCTTCTGGTGCTGTTAGGCGAGAGAATTGAAGAAATCCGACACCTGATGTGACAGAGAGAGGTGAAAAGGAGAGTCTCGTGCTGTGCAGGAGCGTTGCTCACTTGTCGTGAGACCTCGATGCCGCTCCTGGGGTTACGCATCGCCTTGACCGACTCGAACTGACATGGCGGCACACAAAACAGTCAGAAAGACACAACACACACGACCCTCGGCGTAGCTACCTGCAGTATCTGCCCGACGATGGGATTCGGTGCCCCTTTGGCGACCACCGACTTGCCATAGCTGACACATATGACACAGCCACAAACAGACACACTCAATGATGCGTCGGACTTCCCTGTCTGCAGCTCATGGCACATGGCTGACCTGACGATGCTCTTGAGAATGTCGACAGCCGTCTTGCGTTCACTGTCAGGGACACCTGCCCTTTCGTTGAGACGTCCCCGTGCGTCCTTGAGCAGCATGTCACATATCGGCTTCGCCAGTCCGTCAGTCCCCAACACCTACACACACACAAACGCACCACAGCACTCGTCCAAATGAGATGGGAGGTGCGTGAGGTTCCTTCGCTGACCTTCCTGTCTCTCTGACTGAGCTTCTTCAGACAGTCCATGGAGAGGGCCAACAGAGGCCTCCCGATCCTCTCGGCGCTGCCCAGGAGCGAGATGAGGGTGGACATGAACCCCGACTCGATTAGAAGGCCAGTCTCCCCACCATCTGCACACACACAGCCCCACACCCCCACACACACATAGTTGAGGGACTTTAGGAGCTTCACGAGCTCACAGACGGACCTATCATGGCGATCGCCGGGATCAGCAGAGCGGTCGCAGTGAACAGTCCGAAGGAGATCGTCATCTCGTCATCCACTATGTGGTCCATGCCCAATGCGCTCAGGACCTTGTCGCGCATTGCGGCATCCAGAAGGAGACGACGAAGGGACTGCATCGGCAGAGGGGCAGCAGCCGTGATCTTGCCCACACCGTTCTGTTCGATCGCATCGACGAGGACGAATCGATGATGCGCAACAGGAACAGGACCGCCACCTGTGGACACACACACGCAATCCAGGTGCATGACGGGCGCTCCCGCGCCATCCCTTCCGTTGCCTACCTTTCCTCTTTCGCATGCAGAGGACGAGAGCGGTGTGGAGAAGGGCTCCAACTGTGGGGGTCGCCACGGAGCACAGGCGAGAGGAAGGACTGGATGCCGCGATGAGGGTCAGCAGCGTGTCTATGTGAGCGTAGACGTGTGTGTCGAGAGCCGCCCTGATGGCCGGCCACTCCGTCACGATACCTGCCAAGACAAAGGACAGCAGCCTCGTCCAAAAAGACGCATCCACGTGCACTTTTCTGACCTTTGCGTGGCGAGTTCAATAGGTAGTATGCGGCAGAAACCAGCGCCGATATGAAGTGGCTCGTGCCCTCTGTCAATTTGCCCTCTGTCTCGTCATCGTCCAGCCGCTTCAGGCCCTCGACGAAAATGGAGACGAACTCGAGAACGAGTTGAAATGACGGGCCGAAGGGGGTGGGCGCGAACAGCTCCTTCAGCATCGCGACGGCCTCGTTAGCCACTACTCGGTGTCTGAACTCGCGAATGACATCCATCACCTGCCGGAGGGTCGTTTGATGGGTCTGGAGGAAGCTCGCGCGAAGCTCGGGCCCTCCTGCCGCCTCGAGGGCGGTCGCCGCGTGAAGAGCGTATTCGATCAGTCGAAGTCTCGCATATGTCACGACGTCGATGGCACCGGGCAGCGGCTCGTCGCCTGACGATGCCTTGACGATAGCAGACGTGATGACGCTGTCGACCTCCCCGCCCAGGTCGGCCCCCACTCCTCCATCCGATGACAAATGTTCCCACGTCAGGATCTCGAAGATGTCCTGGATGGCCGACAGACGATCCGACGGGGTCATGCGCTCCAGGAAGCCACTGTGGACGAAGCAGAAGAGCACATCTGCGATTGCCACCTGGTACTCCACTCCGCTGCTATCCACCAGACGCATCAGGAAGCGGCGGAAAGCCGTCCTCTCCTTGGCGAACCTCATGACCAGCCGTTTGACGGATGATTTAGCAACTGAGGTCCGCAGGCAGCCGGCAACATCTTTGACTGCCGCAGTGAATGTGTCGATGTCGTCCGAGAAGAGGCCGTCCACCAGCCCATCGAGGCCGCCAGACGATGTCGATGGATGAGGCGGCGAGGGAGGACCTGACGCATGATGAGTGTCAGTGGGTGTCTTGGCCTTGACTGGGCGGCGCAATCGGCCCGACGCGGCTGAGCTGCTGTCCGAGTTGGCCGTCTTGGGGAGCGAATCTATTAAGGACAAGATCTATAGACGAGGCAGGAGGGAATCAGAGAGACATCTGTGCATCCATCGGCTCATGTGTGTGGTCGTGTGGTATCGTTGACTCCGGCCCTCACTTTTGCTGACGGGTCACGGCGGCCTCTCAGCTGCTGGACGGCCTCACACTGGCAATAAACCACACAATCAGACAGACACGGACACATTGCGATTGACTTATGGCCGCAAGGCTGAACACTCCTTTGTTCGGTCCTCACCTGCACGATTTGGTCGACGAAGGGATTGCTGGTCGCCTTGCCCTTAGTGACCAACTCATCACCACACCTGCCGGACAGCCCATGACAGACACACACATGTGGAGCAGGTGCAGCCACTTTCATTCCCAGGCAACCACCCCACTCACCCGATCATCCACTGCAGGAGCTTGACGACACAGTCGACGAGTGTCGGCCCCACAGGCTCGGCCAATAGCTGGCAGACAGCTTCCACCACTCGATGACCTGGGCCAATGTCTCCCAACTCTATGAAGGGAAACACAGCATACACCCAGCCCTAGCTGTACATGTCAGCTTGTGCCCCTTCCTGCGCCTCTCTCTCTCTCTCTCTCTCTCCGTCGCCATTATGCCTGACCTATAGCTACTCTTGCCGCTATCGTCAAACAGGCGAGCATTGTGGGGTAGACGGCTGGCGGCAGCTCGGTGTCGTGGTCAGGAAGGGCATTGGCCGCTCTAATGGCTCTGATGATCAGCGAGGGGTTGTCAACCAGCGGCCGGCATGACGACAGGGGGAGAGGGAAAGGAAGGTCAAACTGCTCGATGACTCTGAGGACGCCCATCATGATGGCACCCAGTGTGTCCGCCGCCATAGCCAACATCCCTCCTTCTGCCGAGCTGATAATGCCCATGAGCGCGAGCTCCACGTGTGCACAAACGTGTTGTGTGACCAGCCGCTTGACGTCCTTCACGCGCAGGGCTGATGGACCGACACACACACACACACACACACACACACACAGAGAGAGAGAGAGAGAGAAGGCGACAAATTGAGTGGTCGGCCGGTCACTCAGTCAGCTTACATCTGGCTTGCCGTCGGGAAACTGCAGTGACAAGCAGAGGAGGTAGATCCAGCGCCCGCCGCCATCTCTGTGGGTCCATGAGGGTCGCTCCTTCCACCAGCTTCAGCAGGTGGTCGACCAGCAGTGTGAATAGCGGGAGGGACAGGTGGAGGGGAATGGGGGTGGGGTCCGCACCGGGGGAAGGTGACGATGGGTTGAACGGCAGCAGCAGCGACTCCAACACGAAAAACGCCATAGGCGAAACAAACCGATGTGTGTCAGTGAAGATGACCTTCAGGCACTGCTTGATGGTGGTCTAGTGGCCGGCGAGGAGTGAGTCGCGTAGACGAGCACCCTCCTGCGGTGCAGCGTCACGCAGAGCCTCAAGCACCGAGGTAAGAAGCCGCAGCCGCACATAAGTCACGACATCCACTGCAGCATCAGCTTCGAGGATGTATTTGACGTATAGGCTCTCACCGGGCCCATAACAGCTGCTGCCGCCCTCTGCGGCCTGCCTCCAGCCCACCAGATCCACAACGACAGCAGCGACATCCACCAGCTGAGATGGCTGCAAAGCCCCAAGAGCGGGGTCAATCTCCACAGTGAGGAAGAGCAGCAGATCGGCCACAGCCAGCTGGATCTCTCTGTTGCCGTCGTCCAGCAGCAGCAGCAGCAACAAGTGGCGACGGGCATCTTTGTCGATGAGAAGGCGACGGAGCAAATCTCGGCATTGCTCTCTGCTGAGCCTGCCAGCGATGTATGCATGAGTGACTTTCCGCGCCGCCGCCGCGAAGGTCCTGGGGTCCGCTGAGAGGAGATCTGCCGCAAGCAGGTCGAGGTCGCCCTGACTCAGCAGCAGCGGCTCACGAGATCCCTTCCTCATTTTGATGGAGGGCTGCACACGTGGGATGGGTGAAAGAGGAAAGAGAGGGCGCACGGAACGAACGCCCTCTCCCCTCCCGCCTAGCTCGCAGATGGAGCTCTTCCCGGGAAGAGGTGGATGCAGCCTCTTCCGCGGTGTGAAAAGCCGGATCTGCCATCCGAGGTGTGGCAGCCTGAGTGATGGAGAGCTTAGATGACCCACGCTTCCGTGCCCATCGCGACGAGGACTTTCTTCGCGACAACCCGCGAGACAACACCAATAGGCATGTATGTGCTCACGCGGCATACACGCACACACAGACACACACACAGACAAGCAGTGAGTGAGGCAATGAGTGAGTGTCTTGGCTGAGTGCAGACTTCTACGGTTCACTATTTTACGACCCATCGGCATTGAACGAGCGGCTGCAGCGAGGCGAAGAGGTGCCTGAGTGAGTCAAACAGCAATTGTCAAACAGACAAGCAGAGAGCGGCAGGGCAACCGCTGTGACTCATGTGAGCGTGTTTGCAGTGATTTGGACGGCGTCGAGTATCGTGTGGTGCAGCCGATTCCCATGGATGAGCTGCAGCAGCGGGGACTCATCACCTTCTCCATCAGACCTCTGGATCATCGCCAAACTGACGAGAAGGACCAACGTCACGCACACTGCAACCGTACAGTACACTGACCGACTGACTCACTCATCGGTGCCTGCCTGCTTGCTTCACCACTGGTCGTGTATTCTGTGGTCTCTCTCTCTCTCTCTCTCTGTGTGGGGGGTGTGTGTGTGTGTGTGTGTGTGTGTGGTGCAGACGTATTACGTGTAGGAGAGTGTGATTTACGAGGCGCCATCTCTGCTGCGGCTGCTCAACAAACGCCTCACGAACACGGCCACCAGCTTTGCTCGGTGAGCAGCCGAGACCCATGCCCACTCTCGCTGTCTGTGTTGATCTGTGTGTGTGTGTGTGGTTCAGATGAGTGGTTTGAGACGGTGAGGGGGCTGTGGCGCTTCTCGGTTAGTCATGGCTGCAAGTGGCGCACCGACGGCACCACACGCACCCATTAATATGCCAGCCCCCCACGCGTCGTTCATCCCCCTCATATGGCGCGTCACCGTCGCTCGTATGGATCGGCAGCGTCAGCACCGACCTGCCCACGCCAGTTTCCACCAGCAGCATGAGGGATTACGACGATGGCGACATCGATGACTGGAGCTGGCGGCAGACGGACAGGTCGGCAGGTTGGTAGGAATGTGATGTAATTCATGCAGTGTTTTGACGGATGAAGAGAGGGAGGGAGCAAGGACACGTGTGTGGTGTGTGAGGGTTCTGTTTTGATGAATGATGTCGTGTCGTGTCGTGTGGTTAACAGCTTTGCGTGCATGGGCGTTGTTTCATGTGTATGACACCGCTGCAGACGCTGGTGAGTAAGGGCTGGACGGTCTCTCCGACATCCACACGTCGCCGGGACAGGCACCTTCCGACCGAAGACTGACTGTTGTGAACGTCATACACACGCATATATGCATTGCATGGGACGTGTTTGTGTATATGGATGGACGGATGGATGGACGGATGGATGGATTATGTATTGCATGGCGATTGATGCGATTAGTGAATGAACAGTACCAATCATGGCATAAATGCAATCCAACGCCGCATGTAAACCCCATGAACGCTGGTTGCTTATGGATGGACCACAGCAAAGTCAAATCTCCGTCCGTCCATGTACATACATATCCGTATGTATGACACATATATACAGTAAAACAAGGAAAAAGAACATTACATTAATGAATACACGAAAACCCTCGATTGATTCAGCTCGTCGCCGGCACCCGTTTCCTCAGCCCTACAGGAGAAAACAGAAGGCAAGAGAATCATGCAGTGCACATCCGCCTGCGTCGGGTCTTTGATCCATGCCATGCAGAGCCTCGCTCACACCTTCTGCCTGTGTTTCTGGGCCACGCCGCTCCGATGTGAGGCCAGTGACTGCAATCAATCGAGAGAAAATTCCCCTCCGCCTGTCACACGCAACACACAGCTACAGAGGGAAAGTATGAGCGAGCTGCATGCTCTGCGATTGTCGGTCGCTGCGTAGATGGGTACATACTGGGTTCGCACGCACGTACGTGTCCGTCTGCCCGCCATCAGCACCAATTGGTGCCTCAGGTGCTTTTCGAGTAGGACAGAGCGAACCCCCGGGGGCAAAGGCTGCACACACAGACACACAGACGCCAGACACGGACAAGACAACCGGCAACTTCCTTCCTCCCGCATCTCAACAAACCCGCGACTCCCCTCCCCGTGTGCGTGTAGTGTACCTCCGATCCGTCGCTTCTTGGCCCTGGTGTACGACGCCTCGACAAACCGCACGAGGTCCTCCTTTCCCTTCACAGAGAGAACGCCACTGGCAGCAACGTAGGTGCTCTTGCACGCATCGAGGTGCTTGATCCTCTCCTCCGCAACCTCCGGGAGAAGCGAGGCCCTGAGCTGGGCATCAACCTCCTCCTTGAATTCAGGTATCTGTGCCTGTAGCAGAGAGAACACGCTTCCTGTCATCGCCGCCCCTTTCGCCGTAGACATGGTGACCAACTTCCTGTTTAACGAAACCCGCATTCCTAACTCTTTGCGGATCGGAGACGGCCACTGGTTCACATTTCTCGGAGAAGGACGGAGGGAAGGATACGTCAGCGCACGCACCACACACGGACGGAGTGAGGCTGCAGCGCGCTCCCATTGGCTCAGCCGAAAAAACGAAAGATCCAAGAAAGATCCGCTCGTCATCTCCATCTCACAGCTCCATAGGCTTCTCCTGCGGCATATGGCCGCAACTGTGTAGCGGCCCCGTTTCACCCTTCGAGCAGCCGCTACTCATCGCCCTCTCTCCGGCCCTCTCTGCACCAGAGGATCATCTGTCCGCGACCAGGGCCGGGATTTCCATGACGGGCTCCGCTAGTGGCACGAGATCATGAGTGAGGCGGGCGGCGTCAGGACCATTGATAACGCACGGGGCGTGATCGATGTGCACAAGCAACAAATATGGCTGTGTCTGTCTTTGTATGTATATAGTGTGTGTAAAGGTTGACGTGGTGATAGTGCGCTGCGCTGGTCAATGTCGCCGGTGTGGCGGAGTCTTCGAGGCCAGCTCGATTGTAAGGCAGCCGGACAGCCAGACACACAGCATCCATCCAGCCATTCCTCCCCTCATATCAGGTGAAGCTTCATTGCTCGGGTGCTGCCGAGGCCTTCTTCCCCCGCACCAGTCGTCACAGCTTCGGCATACAGTACACTATGCCGGTAAGCACCACGACCACAACACAGATCAGGAGAGAGAGAAAGACGCGCACACACATGTCTGTATGTGACCATCGATCTCGATCAGGTCTGCCGGACCGTGCCCACGCCTGTCGCATCTCTCCGACCCCACAGCAGGTGCTCCACCACACCCCATCATCATAACACAGCCCGACGAATGTCTGTCGCTGTCCCCCTCTCTCGCTCATGCACACAGAGGCCGTATGAGCGCGCGAGGGGCTACGCGTCCAACCTCAATATGACCATCTCATCGGAGCTCTCACTCGACGGCGCCATCCAACCACAGACAACAAAACCGCGTCGCAAATCGCCGACTTCCTCTGCAGCGCCGCTGAAAGCGGCGACGTGCAGGCGGTGTTCGCCTGCGTCACAGCCGATGGCGGCGAGGCGTTCGCCGAGGCCGTCATCGAAGCCAAACAGGACTTCGACACTGTGGCTGTGGTCAGTCAGGGGAGGAGGGACACGACAGCCAGCCTCAACGCTCACATGTGGGTGTCTGTGTTTGGTTTTGCGTGCAGTCGCACTGTGAGAATGTCCACATCGCGCCTCCATTGGGATAGCACAGAGCTCATGGAGAGGAAATGACCAAGTCGTTCCACAGACGCCCCGCGGCCGCCCAGCTGCAGCTGACTATGTGAAATGGTCCATGGATTAGGTTCCTTGCTGAGTGTGGTGCCTCTTCTGTGACTCGGTGAGCTCGTACGGTCAAAACCTGGGCAGCAAGGGGCTGGCCGAGGGAGAGGTGCAGCAGCAGATAAAGAGAATGAGACGACAGGGGGAACAAGACGTGGACGTCTCCGAGAGGTGAGCCAGGGAGTGACCAGACACACACCCGACACCACACGGCACACCACATGGACATTCATGCTCACGTTCCTTTCCTGGCTCTGTGTGCAGGCGTCGGTCGTATCACAGGATCACCGCCACCAACGCGCTGGGCACCGTCACTGCAGAGGAGATGGAGGTCAGCGAAACACCCCACACATGTGGACTTGGCTGACATCGATGCCCGTGTGTGTCACGCTCCCTCGCTCTCGGCCCTCCTCTCTGTGTGTGTGTTGGTATGTTCCCTCAGGCGTACAGTCGCAGCCGCGTGCACCCCGACGACCCCATCAAGGGGTTTCTCAAGCGATGTGTGTGGCAATAGGCGGCTGTCGTCCTGTCTGCCTGTGTGCGGCCGGGTTGTCGAGTAGGTCGGTGAATGGTGTGTGTGGTCTGCCGTCGTGAATGGTGCTCGTATCGACTCTTGATGCGGGGTTTTTTACGATTGTGACTGGGTGGACAGCACTCCATGACATGAAGGACGCGTGTGCGCTCTCTGCTTCCAATGGGATGTCTTGAGGAATTTGGTATGCGGTGGGTGGACCAACGTGGAGACGCAAGCATTAAAGTCATCCACTCGCCGTACATGGGTCTCTCTACTGTAATAGGTAGCTCAAGACCTGTCCAATACAATGTAGGCAGCGATGAAGCTCGATGCCCAAAGGGCTGCGATGCCTCAACGTGACTGAATTGCTCCGTGGAGACACGAGCATTCATGAAAATGGCCCTGCACGTCCTTTCCGATATAAAATGTAGGTAGCGATAACCAGACACCTCTCTCTCTCTCCCTCCCCCGTAAGTAACAAGAGTGCCATTCATGTGCACACCCCATTGTGATGCTCTCTCCCTACCAGTCGGCTCTCTCTGTCCGTCCGGTTCTTGCCTGCCTTCTCGCGAAGAGATCATACCCGCGACACAGCATGGTAGGTAGGGCTATCTATGTGCTGTGGGACAAAGCAAACCATGAATGAAGCAACCGTATGCACAACCACCACCCCTCCCTCCCTCCCTCCCTCTGATGCTGCGGCCGTCAGGTCAGCTGTGACCTCTCGATTTCCAAGCCTCTGCTGCACAGAGACACAGACAGAGACACACGCGACATGATGGATCCCGTCATGTGCTTTGGTACATATGGGAGTCTCTGTGTATAATGTCTCTCACGTGTTGCAGGTTATTATTCCGTGTGATGTGTTGGGCAATAATGGCTGATGTCTGTCCGTCTGTAGACTACGTGTGTGTTGTGTGAGTCAGTTGATGCTGTATCCCCTCTCGAGGTTGAAGGCCTCGCGGGCCGGGTTGAGGGTCGCCTTGGGAGGTGCCTGGAGGCTCGCGTAGAAGCTGTTTACTCCCTGCGTTAGAGGGAAAGGAGAGAGCAAGAGAAACAAATAGAAAACAGAGCAGCGAGCGAGCGAGCAATGTAATGAATGACACGTGTCGTGTGTGCGTGATTCAGCTGATATCTATCGTCCCTCACTCACCGCGGTCTGCGTCCTCACCTCCTCCTCTGCACCCACACACACAGGTGCTTGCGGGCTGATCTGATGGATGGACGGATGGATGGATGGATGGGTGGATATGTGTGTACCTCCCTACCGTTGTTTGTGCCTGCCATGTACCACAACTCAATCTTCGGGCCCTTGTTGCTGTTCTCGATCTGACGCACAGGCACGAATACCAGACACGTACACACACGCGGATCGGATTCACCTGCGCACGTGCTCATGGATGTATCGCATCTGTGGGCGCCGTGTGGTTTGGTCTGTGTGGCCGTACGAAGCGGATGCCGCAGAGTCTCTCGTATGGTTTGATGTTGGTGGTAATGGCGGCGGCCAACAGGCGATTGAGATGCTCGTCTGGCCAACCAACGGGAGCACGCAAAGGCGATTGGTCGGTTGATGGGTTTGTCTGCCTGCACTCGTGTGAAGAGCTCAGTCACCTACGTCATACCGGTCCGCGCTCTTGATGGAGGCGAAGATGTGCGGCTCTGTGTGTGGGACGCTCCAGCCTCCATCCGCTTCTCACCTGAAGACACCGACGCCCTTGGCGGCATCCCCACGCCAGGTGCGACCCTCCTTCTTCTCGACCAATCTGACATCGGCGGGGAGGGAGACAGAGAAACAGAGAGACAGCGAGATACATACATACGTAATACATGTGCTCATTTATTCTCGAGCATTTGCGTCATATCGTCGTCGCCCTTCTTGCTCGCCGCCTTGATGGCCTCGCCAAGTCTCTTGTCGATCACCGCGGCGGTCTTGGAGTAGAAGATCATGGTCTCGCCGTGTGGCTTCGTGAGGCTGTTGCTGTGCTCGGCGAATGTCTTGTCGAAGGCCGAGAGGAAGGCGTAGAAGACCACTATGAGGCCCTTGCACGTCATAGTGGTCTGGAGCTCGGCTGGCCCTCCTTGTCCCACACTCCCGGCGGGTGGCCCCGGTGGTTGTCCCTCCGACTCGCTGAAGGACAGGAATGACCTCAGGGACTCGGATGACGTCGAACGATGCGGTGCATCTGCGTACACAGCAATCATCGCAGATACACATGTGCCCATGCGTGCGCCCTACGTGTCTTATCACACAGCGCGTACTTGTTATCTGGACGTCGTAATCGTATTCGGTGTGCCCCTCAGATTTGACTACTTCCAGGATGGGGCGCGGCACCCTGCCATCTATTTGATACTCATTGTGGAGGGCCTGCAACAGGCCTCCTCCGTCGACTTGGTCGTCCTCAACATCAAACTGGAAGAGGAATGGCGCCTTGCAGCCGGGTGGGTGACGTATCTTGAAGATCTTCTGCTCCAAAATGGCAACGCGGGGCTGGGGCTCCGGGAAGCTTAAGGCGCCCATCTTTGGTCGTCCTCGACATCAGATGGGAATGGGAATGGCGCCTTGTATCCGTGCGGTAGGTTGAGGGCGACGAGGGAGACCGCATAAGCCAACAACCGAGGAAAAAACGCGGCCGTGATTGATGTCGATTCGAAAATCAGGGTTTGCGGGGTTTGTTTGTCTCCGTCTCCGATTCTCGTCGTTTTTTTGTTTTTTTTGTCGTTGCTGTTCCCTCTTAGTCCACGACCAAGGCGCTGTGGTGAAGGCAAACACGAGAAAGCAAATGCTCTCTTTCTTTGGTCTGCGTCTGTGTGCGCCTGAATATGGGTATCCATTCATTCACTCTCTGCTATCAATGGGGTCGGGACGACTGCTGAGGGTGTCTATCACCTCATTTCATTGGCACATGCGCGCAGGTCAGATATGAATATTGACCTCAGGCGACCCAAAAAGCGCTATTCATCATTCATGGCATTGCATCGATCAAAGGTCCTCACGCAAATGTGTGTTCGTCTGTCTGTCTGTCTGGATAAATACGCCGGCATGCACACGCACACGGACATGCAGCGAGCAGTGTGTGGACGCACATGCAGCACATACACACAGATGTATATCGAGGGCACACGCATACAGATGCAATGGTAATACAAACACACCCGCTGGCACACGCAGATGGGATGGATGGCTGGCTGGTGAGGACAAAAACGGACATACACATAAGGCACTGACTCACACACGACAGACAGACTTGACCGTAAAGGACACTCACCCACTGGCTGGCATATCGCTTAAATCGACAGACAAACATGACCTCTTGCCCTCCACCCGCTCCATGCCCTACCCTCCTTCGACTCGACTCCCTGAGATGTCAGTCAGGATGCGCCGGTCACGAAGGGTTTGGTGGACCATTGGGCGACCTCGCTCACCGACCCCGCGAAGGCGACCTCTGTCTGGCACTGCTCGCACAGGTAGCCCTCCGGCAGCATGGCCATGGGCTCCTTGTCCTCCTTGATGAGCTCCTTGTTGACCTCGACACGCCGCGCATTCTCGGCCCTCACTCGGGGGAGGTTCTGCCGCCAGGCCTTCCGGCGGTCGGCGTAGCACTTGGTGCAGATGTGCATGTGGCGGCAGGGGATGTACATGACGGACACCGGGCCGTGCTCGCCGAAACAGATGACGCAGGCCGGACCGTCATCCCCATCACCATGTTGCTGATGCTGCTGGTGGTCCGTTGTGTTGGGGGGTGTTGATGGGTGTGGCTGGGCGAATGATGAGGAGGGGGGCGGGGGGGCCGACGAACTGCTGCACGAAGGTGGCTGGTGGTGCTGGTGGTGAGATGATTGCTGCGCGGTCATTTTGGCGATCCTAAGCGCAGAAAACCATACAGTGAGCTGAATGCACTCTTTTGGCGAGTCTGTGCGTGCCTTGCTTACGTCCACTGGGCCTCCTGCAGCTGGCGTATCATCGCCTCCTCATTCCGCTTGGCGTCTTGTTCCTTCTGTTTGGCCTCCTGCAACTCCCGAGCCCTTCGCCTGGCCACACGGGCTCTCCGCTTGGCCTCCTCATCCTTCTGCTCGAGTTGGCGGCACAGCTGATCGACGAGCTCCTCACTTCCAGAGGCACCAACACCACCACCCATCACCGCACCAAACCTACACACAAAACAAACAGCGGCAAAGTGACAGAGTGATACGTGCTGTCGGTTTCCTCTCAGCCTGCCTCTGTGTACCCTGTGGATGGCCTGCCATTGCCGCCGTGCACCGTCCCGGCCGTCTGGGCCGCAGCCAAGGGGTCGGGTGCATTGCTCGATGAGGGCAGCTGGTACCCCTCCTCCTCATACTCAAATATGGGCGGCGGGGGCGGCACATACATATCGTCATCATCACTGTCGTAGCCATAGAACGGGTCAGCCGACAAGCCACCACCACCAGAGCCACTGGCACCACCACCACCATTAGCAGCCGCAGCAGCTGGCGTTGGACTGGACGGGAAGGGATGAGGGAAAGCGAACGGACGCGGACGGGGAGCGCCGGACGGCTGGGGGCCGTCATCGTAGCTGACAGGAATCGAGGGACCCATCGGATGGAAATCGCTGCACGCCAGAGCAGGCAACGAGAGGTCCGTAAAGGCGTTGCTGACAGACAGAGAGACAGACATGATGCCCGCGTTACCTCGGGTCGATCGGTGGTTGCGGTGGGGGTGGCGGTGGAAAGGCCGGCGGGGGCGGCACACAGTACGTGTCGTCGCCATCACTGTCGTAGAACAGATCAGCCGACAGCCCACCAGCGCCACGACCGCCAGCAGCAGCAGCAGCCGGTGGTGCTGGCCCGACAGGCGCATGGGCGAAGAAGGGACTCATCGAAGCACCAGCAGTAGACAGACTGTAGACACAGCAGAAAAGGTAATCATTGCCATCGGATATCCCAGCGCTCACTGTCTGCGGCCATCTCACCTCGGCCTCTCGTCACGTGTCGGCTGCTGTTGGTCGTCTTGTCCACTCTGCCGGTGCTGCTGCAGCGATGGCCTGTTGCGCAGCTCCTCAGCCGACGGGAGTGGGGGGAAGGGGATGGAGGGGGGAGGGGGCGGGTGGTGGGCAAAAATGGTCATGAGGCCCCTCCCCGCCCCACGACCTCCCACCGGCCGACAGGGAGGCGACGCACAGCCAGACGGACTGTCATCATCAGACAGCAGCGGGATGGCAGCCGGACGCCTCGGCAGAGGAGGGGACATCCCCCCGTTGCCAGGTGACATCTTGAAGCGACCCTTGGGGAAGTGGGCGCTTGAGAGGGGGATGGGTGCGGGCATCCGAATGGGTGCTGTGCCGCCGCGATAACGATCCTCGCTGGCGGCAGGTGGAGGGCGGTCCATCCGCCCCGTCTGATTGGTCCTGAGTGCGGGTGGGAGTGAGGGGCGGGACGGCTGAAATGGGTGAGCTGTGGGCGTCGGGATGGGCCTGGTGTTATGCTTGCCCTTCTTCTTCTTCTTGCCCTCGTTCCTCTGTTGCCGTGCGAGTTGCGCGAATGCCGAGTTGAGCAGCATAGCGTCGCCGTCCTCATCATCACTGCCGTCAGCGTCACTTCCACCAGCCGCCGACTTTGCTGCATCGCCACCATCACCAGGCAGGTCGCTGCCCCCAGCGACTGACACGGATGACACACCAGACGCACCAGACCTGCAAAGACAGGGATCGACAGACACACACAGGAATCAAACGTATCAGGGCATCTCGTCAAGTGGGTGGGTTGCTCACGTGTCGGCGATGGACGAAGAGGGCTCCGACTGACTCGCCTCAACCTCATCCGCAGCAGAAGCCCGCCTACGCACACACACATGAGTTAAATAGTTCCATCAGCCGTGGTCTTTGGGTGGATGGCTTCCCTACCTGGTGGATGCGGCGGTGGAGGGCACCGATGGCTCCATGATCGGATCAGAAGGGCTCGCCGCATCCCCACCTGCAAGCCCCTCCTGCTGCTGCTGCTGCTGCTGGTGGTGTCCCTTGCCGCCCTTGTTCTTTCTGCCCTTGGCCTTTTTGTCTTTGGCCTCCTTCTCGCGTCGCTCCTCCGCGAGGAGGGCCTCCTGCATCCGCTTCGCCTTGGCCTCCTGGGCCGCCAACTGGGCGGCCGAGATGGCGGTTTTGGCCTTGGTGTCCTTCTGGTGCTGTTGGGCGAAGGCATTGAAGAAATCCGACACCTGATGGGGCAGAGAGGTGTGAAGAGGAGAGCCTCGTGCTGTGCAGGAGCGTTGCTCACCTGTCGTGAGACCTCGATGCCGCTGCTGGGGTCACACAACGCCTTGACCGACTTGAACTGACATGGCGGCACACAGACAGACAGACAGTCAGGTGGGCAAAGCACACACGACCCTCGGCGTAGCTACCTGCAGTATCTGGCCGACGATGGGATTCGGTGCTCCTTTGGCGACCAGCGACTTGCCATAGCTGACATACATGACACAGCGACAAACAGACACACTCAATGATGCATCGGACTTCCCTGTCTGCAGCTCATGGCTGACCTGACGATGCTCTTGAGAATGTCGACAGCAGTCTCGCGACCAGTGTCACGGAGGCCATCTGCGCGAAGGAGCTGTCCCTGTGCGTCCTTGAGCAGCATGCCACATATGGCCTTTGCCAGTCCATCGGTCCCCAACACCTACACACAAACAAACGCACCACAGCACTCTCGTCCAATTGAGATGGGATGTCAGTGACCTTCCTTCGCCGACCTTCCGATCTCTCTGGCTGAGGGTCTTCAAGCAGTCCATGCAGAGGACCAGCAGTTGCATGTCGATCCTCTCGGCTCTCTCGAAGAAGAGGATCAGACTCGACATGAACCGCGACTCGACCAAAGCGCCAGCGTCCCCACCATCTGCACACACACACACACACACATATGGTTCAAGGATTCTGGGAGGTGCACCGACTGACTGACTGACTGTCTGACGGACGGACCTATCATGACCATAGCTGGGATGACCAGAGCAGACGTCATGCAGTTCGTTGCGTAATCTGCCGCTGAAGTCGCTGGATCCTCGTGCGCTCCGTGGTCCATTCCCAACGCGTTGGCCACCCGATCTGGCATCGATCCGTCCAGGACGAGGGCACGAAGCGGCTGCATCGGGGGCGGGGCAGCACCGAGTGTTCTCACCACCCCCGGTTGCTCGATGTACTTGCCGACGTCACCTGGCTGCAAAGGGCCACCTGCACACAAATCCACTTTTACCCGACTAGCTATCAGTCTCCTTCACCTCGTACCTTTCTTCTTTCGCATGCAGAGGGCGAGAGCGGTGTGGAGAAGGGCTCCAACTGTGGGGATCGCCACGAGGCACAGGCGAGAGGAAGGATCGGACGCTTTGATGCGGGCCACCAGCGTCTCCAGATGATCGTAGACGTGTGTGTTGAGAGCCGCCCTGATGGCCGGCCACTCCTCAGTACCTGCCAAGATTGCAAAGGACAGCAGCCTCGTTCAAAGATAGGTATCCATGTGCACTTTTCTGACCTCCGCATGGGCAGTTCCCTAGATGCTCTGCGGCACACATCAGCGGCACTATGAAGAGGCTCGTCCCCTCTGTGTCGTCATCGCCCAGCTGCTTCAGACTCTCGACGAAAATGGAGACGAACTCGAGCACGAGTTGAATGATGGGCCGAAGGGGCTGGAGATGAGCAGCTCCTTCACCATGATGACTGCCTCGTAAGCTACACCTGCGTGTCCGCCCTCACAAATGAGACCCATCGCCTGCCGAAGGGTCGTTTGGTGGGTCTGGAGGAAGCTCGCGCGAAGCTGGGGCCCTCCTGCCGCCTCGAGGGAGGAGAACGCTTTGAGAGCGTATCGGACCAGCCGGAGTCTCGCATATGTCGTCACATCGATGACACGGGGCAGCGGCCCGCCGCCTGGCGATGCCTCGACGATAGCTACAGACGCGATGCTGCTGTCGACCTCCCCACCCAGGTCAACCTCCTTCCCTTCTCCTTCCTCAAGCTGCTTCCATGTGACGATCTCGAATATGTCCTGGATCGCCGACAGACGATCCGACGAGGCCATGTGCTCCAGGAAGCCATGAGAGAAGAGGCCAACGAGCAGGTCAGCGGTCGCCACCTGACATTTCACTCCGCTGCTATCCACCAGGCGCATCAGGACGCGACGGAAAAGCTTCTTCTCTTTTCCGAGCCGAACGGCCAGCCGCTGGACGAATCCATCGGTCACCTTGCCGCCCACACCCTCAGCGACGGCTTTGGCTGCCGAGGTGAATGTCTCGATGTCGTCAGATAGCAGGCCGTCCACCAGCGCATCGGTGTCGACGGGCGATGAGGGCTGCGGAGAGGGGGAGCGGGGCGGCGGAGGAGGCCCTGACGCCGGATGGGTGTGCGCGGCTGTCTTGTGCTTGACTGGGCGGTGCGATCGGCCCGTTGCGGCTGAGTTGCTGCACACGTTGGCCGTCTTTGGGAGCGACTGGATGAATGACGTCACCTACACAGAAAGGCCGGAGGGAATCAGAGAGGCATCTGTGCATCCATCGACTCTTTGGTCTTGTGGTTTCGTTGACTGCGTCGCTCACCTCGAAAAAACAGGTCACGGCGGCGTCTCAGCTGCTGGATGGCCTCACACTGGCAATAAAGCAGACGGACAGACACACACGGGTACGTCACGATCGACCTGTGGCTATATGATCCATCTCCTCTGCTCGGTGCTCACCTGAACGATTTGGTCGACGAATGGGTTGCTGGTCGCCTTGCCCTTAGTGACCAGCTCATCACCAACACTGCAGGACGGCACATGACAGATTCACATACATGCACCATGTGGCAGCCACCAATCCACCCTGCCGCTCCCCCGCTCACTTGATCATCTGCTGCAGAAGCTTTACGATAGCGACGACGAGTAATCGCTGGCCGGCATCAGCTGTGTATGTGGCCACAGTTTCGGCCAATAGCTGGCAGACAGCTTCTACCAGTCGATGGCCTGCGTCGATGTCGCCCGATTCTGTGCAGGGCAACACAGCGCACACCCAAGTCTAGCTTTAAATGCCAGTCTGTGTCCCCTCCAGCGCCTCTCTTCCTCTCATTCTGCCTGACCTGAAACTAATCCTGCCGGTATCTTCAAGCAGAAGAGCATGGTGGTGTAGACGTATGGCGGTAGCTCGACGTCCTGGCCGACAAGGGCATTGGCCGCTCTAATGGCCGTCATGATCAGCGAGGGGTTGTCAACCAGCGGCCGGCATGACGACAGGGGGAGAGGGGGGAGAGAGTGCCACTGACTGTTCAGTGTGCAGACGCCCGTCATGATGGAACCCAGTGTGGCCGTCCCCACAGCCAACGTCCCTCCTTCTGCCGAGGCGATTATGCCCAGGAGTGTCTCCATGTGTGGGTAAATGTGTTGTCTGACCAGCCGCTTGACGTCCTTCTCGCGCAGAGCTGATGGACGGACACACACAGAAGACGAAAAGCTTGAGTGGTGGGCCGGTCACTTGCTCATCAACTTACATCTGTCCTTCCGCCGCGAAGCCGCACGGGCAACCAGACCAGGTGGCTCCAGCGCCATCAGTCACCCCTGTGCATCCATGTGGGGCGCCCCATTCGCCAGCTCCACCACATGGTCGACCAGGAGTGTAAACAGGGGGAGGGACAGCTGGAGGGGTATGGGCGTGAGATCCACATCGGGTGAAGATGGCGACGGGGTGAACGGCAGCAGCAGCTGTTGGAAGACGCGAGACGCCACAGGCGAAACAGATCCCTCCATGTCGGTGCGCATGATCTTCAGGCACTGCTTGACAGTCGTCAGGTTGTCAGCGAGCAGTACGTCCCGCAGACGAGCGCCCTCCTGCGGTGCAGCCTCACGCAGAGCCTGAAGCACCGGGGCAAGAAGCCCCAGCCGCACAAGCGTGACGACATCCACTGGAGCATCGGCTTTGAGGACGTGTTTGACGACCAGGCTCTCGTCGGGCCCATAGCAGCGGCCGCTGCCATCTGCTGATATGTGCCTCCATGTAACCAGATCCACAACAACACGAGCCACATCGACCAGCCGAGATGGCTGCAGTGCTGCAAGAGCGGGCTTGATCCTCCCCAAAAGAACTCCGAGCAGATCTGCAGCAGCCAGCTGGGCCTCTTTGTTGCCGTCATCCACCAGCCAGGTCAGTATGCGACGCAGTCCATCCTTGTCCTCGAGAAGCCGACGGAACACACCTTGGCCTTGCTCTCTGGTGAGCTCACGTGTGTCACGAAGCGTCCCCGCTGCCGCCGTGAATGTCCTGGGGTCCGCTGACAGCAGATCTGCAGCAATGGCATCGATGCCACTCTGACTCAGCGGCGGCTCACGAGATCCCTTCCTCATCTGACACGTTTCCTGCTCAGCTGCGGCTTGCACCCGCCGTCTTGCAGCTCCTCTGCCGACTCATCGCGATGATCTCGCCGCCTGGGACAGCACAGAGCTCCTCAGATCCACCGGCCAGTCGCTCCGACGTTTGGTGCTAAACGGACGCGAAAGCTCGCACTGTAGTGACTGTACGTTCTCGCGAAGGAAAAGCAAAATCGGCCGATGATGGTTTTCCAATCACGTGGTCATCATTTCCTGGAAGAGTGATTCTCTTTGGCCTCTGAACACATCCCGAGCCTTCTCCCCCTGTTCTCCCTCCCTGCCCTCCCTCCGCCATCGCGCCCCTCCGTCCCCTCCCCCTCTGATGTTTCTCTTCACCGCGGTGCTCATCCTGATGGTAGTCGCGTCCGCCCACCGCCACACCCATCCCGCCCATCGTATCATCACCACCTACCGGTCCTCCGACGAGCGGCGCCATCCGCAGAGGCGGCGGCTCCTCGATCGCATCCACACCCACTACACCGACCTGAGATCTGGCCGTGGTGAAGTGCGGACGGAGTACCTGCCCATCCTCGGCATCGAGATCATCGAGATGGACCGGACGGATGACGACGAGGAGGACAGGGGGGTGCTGGCGCGGCTGATGGAGGTGTTGATGGACGGGGGCGACGTCGACAGTGTGCATGAGGACTCGCTGGTGCATTTTGCCCAGGCTGGCAAGGTCAAACCGGCCCTGGCGAGGAACGACCCCAGCTTTGGGGACCAGTGGCCGCTACTCGGGACCTCCAAGTATGGGCTCGATATGGCGGAGGCTTGGGGGCTCTTCAGGCCGGAGAGCCAAGACGAGTTTGTCATCGGTGAGTGAGTTCGTGAGTGAGTGAGTGAGTGAGTGAGCTGGCTGACGAGAGTGATGAGAGACACTGTGTGGCCGTGTGTTGTGTGTCTCGTGGGTGTGCAGGTGTGATAGACAGTGGTGTTGATCTGAGCCATCCTGACATCATGAAGAACCTATGGAGGAATCGGGGTGGGCACTGGCACATGCAGGGATGCACGCCGCCAGGCTGAGAGGAATGCATGTGTGTGTGTGTGTGTGGGTGTATGGGTACAGGTGAGATTCCAAACAACGGGAGGGATGACGACGGGAACGGCTATATCGACGACGTGTATGGCTACGACTTCTTCGACGACGATGGCGACCCATCGGATGAAGCCGGTGAGTGAGTGAGGGAGTGGGTCGAAGGATAGTACTCGTGATGTTTTTCTGCCTCCGTCTCTGTGCCTGCAATGCCATGCAGGTCACGGCACGCACATATCGGGGATCATAGCTGCTGAGGCCAACAACACGCGGGGCATATCGGGGGTCTGCCCGCAATGCAAAGTCATGCCACTCAAATTCATGGACGACACCGGTAGGTCGGTCAGGTCAACACACACATGCACACACACACCGAGGTATGTGTATGTGTGGTGTCTGGCGTGTGTGTATAGGGTACGGCTACTGGGGCAATGCCATCAAGGCCTTGGAGTATGCCCTCCAGAACCGCGTCAAGGTCACCTGCAACGCCTACGGCACCTACACACCACACAAGGCGCTCGAACAAGCCATTAAAAAGTGCTCCACCACACCACACCACACCACACGCGCCCACACACATCCAGACCTGCTGTTTTGGTTGTGTGGCATCCATCAGGGCGGGTCAGAAGGGGATGTTATTTGTGGCAGCCGCGGGCAACGACGGCAAGGACAACGATCGCACGCCGAAGCTGCCGGCCAGCTACACACTCGGCAACGTCATCAGCGTCGCCTCCATCGGCCAAACCGGCAAACTCAGCTGGTTCTCAAACTACGGCAAGCAACGCACCGATATCGCAGCGCCGGGCGAAGACATCTACTCGCTCGGTAGGTACGGAACGAACACCCCTCCCCCCGGAGAGCAAGAACACTTATTGGCATTCCCCCCGCTCCGCCCCTCTCTGTCTGCAGACATGGGCCGTCGATATAAGACGGATTCCGGCACATCCATGGCGGCTCCCTTTGTGGCGGGAGTAGCAGCCATGGTGTGGCTGACGGACCCGAAGCAGACCTACTCGCAGGTGAAGCTGCGGATTATGAGGTCGGCGAGGCGGATCGATGGGCTGAAGGTCAAGGCTGAGGGGACGCTGGATGCGGCGGGGGCGCTGATGCAGAGCGTCGACACGAGCGATACCAGCAGGTGCGACTACAACGACCCTTGCCACATCAACGCAAGATGCACCGACACCAGGTAGGTGGGCTGGCAAAACCAGGGAGGGACGGAGAGGGAGGGAGATCTGTGTGTTGTCGCCCCTTTTGCTTTGGCCAGCTCTGGGCCGATCTGTCGGTGCGAGGATGGCTTTGAGGGTACGCACACAAACCGGGAAAACATGCAGGGGCCAGGTGAGTATGTGGGTGCGGCGCGGTGCGTGTGTGGTCGTCTTGTTTTGTAGGCGACGGTTGGAAGACGTGTGACGACATCAACGAGTGTGCGGTGGACCGGCCGTGCCACGAGAACGCCAAGTGCATCAACTCGCCAGGCTCCTACAAGTGCCAGTGCCAAAGCGGATTCACCGGAGACGGCGTCAAGAAATGCGAACGTACGAACCGACCTTCCCACCCCAGTGACGCATTCGCGCATCTGTCTCTCTCCCCCTGTGTGCGTGTGTGTGCAGAGTTTAGTTTGTGCAGCATAAGTCAGATCTTCATCCCGTGTCACCCCCTGGCCATCTGCTACGGCCGCGGCTCCTTGGGCATCCCATTCTGCGAGTGCAGGGACGGCTTCAAGGGAGACGGCCGGGAGGAGTGCCTGGGTACGTAATGTGCCGCTGGCATGCTGGCACGAACACACACAGATCTGCATGGCATGTGTGTGTGGATGCATGGGGTGTAGACGTCAACGAGTGTCTCGAGTACAACGGTGGCTGTGACCACGAGTGCGTCAACACTGTGGGCAACTTCAAGTGCAAGTGCTTCGAGGGATACCAACTCGCGCCGAACAAGAAGGCCTGCCTCGGTCAGTGAGAGAGCACACAGAGACACCAGAGCTGATGGATGGATGGATGGACGGATGGATGGATGGATGGATGGTCTTCTTAGACATTGACGAGTGTCGTGAGAACAATGGCGGCTGCGAGCACATCTGCATCAACGAGCCGGGCAGCTACCAGGTGAGTGACTGTGAACAACACGCACTCACCTCTACAGAGCGTCGCATGAACGTGTCCGTGATATGTCATGTTCCCTCCCTCTGTGTGTTTATTCAGTGTTCGTGTCCCGAAGGCTACCGGCTAGCGGAAGACGGCAAGAGCTGCGAAGACATTGACGAGTGTGCGGTTAACAACGGCGGCTGCAGCCAGGTGTGCAAGAACAAGAAGGGCACATACGAGTGCCTCTGCGACCCGGGATTCCTGCTGCAAAAAGACGGACGCACCTGCAAAGGCAAACCTTCTTTCCCCCACCCGCCGCTCCCACACGCACACGTGCATCCCTCTCCTCTGTGTGATGATGATTATGATTATGATGATGACGATCAGATGTGGAGTGCAAATCTCCGCCACGGATTGCCCACGCCGCGAGTGTCTGCGAGAGCGCTCGGTCGGGGTCCCAGCCCAAGTGTGCGGTCAAGTGCGAGAGGGGCTTCCAGCTGGCATACAACGACCTCAAGTGCGACACCAAGGGACGTTTCACAGGCGGCGCTGAATGCGAGGGTGTGCTCAGGCACAGAGGGAGGGATGGATGGACGCACTTGTACGTGTGCGAGGTTTCGGTTTGTTCTGTTGTGTGGGGTGTGGTGTGCAGACATTGACGAGTGCAAGGAGGAGAACGGTGGGTGCAACCAGAGGTGCGTCAACAAGGAGGGCTCGTTCGAGTGCGGGTGCTTCGAGGGGTACCTGCTTGACAGGCAGAACAGGAGGACCTGCCAAGGTGAGCATGACACACAGACAGGCGTGACCTAGAGACAGGGACGCGCAGACAACCATCTCTCTCTGCCTCTCTCTCTCTCTGTGTGTGTGTGTGTGTGTGTGTGTGGATGACAGACATCAACGAGTGCATGTTGGAGAACGGCGGCTGTGAGCAGGAGTGCGTCAACACGGAGGGCAGCTGGGAGTGCAAGTGCTTCAAGGGCTACTGGCTCCACGACGGGGCCTGCAAAGGTACGCTCCTACCGACACACAGACAGACAGAGCCTTTCCTCTCAGCCTTATGTGTGGCGGCTCTCCTGATGCAGACATCGACGAGTGTGCGCAGGGCAAGTGCGACCAGGGGTGCGAGAACTCGGTGGGCGGCTTCAAGTGTTCCTGCAAGGAGGGATACACACTGGGAGAGGACGGCACGTCATGCGTCGGTGCGTCACACCCGTGACCACACAGACAGACAGAGGCTGCACGTCTGACTGTGTGTGTGTGCCTGTCAGATGTGGAGTGCGGTCCCCCGCCCAAAGTGGCCCACGCAGTCAAGGCTGTGGAGTGCTACGGCCGGTCTGCCACGGGCCCCAAGTGCGACATGTCATGCGAGCGGGGCTTCATGATGAGGAACAACACCCTCACGTGTGGCACAGATGGCAAGTGGAGGGGAACCGCCGTCTGCGAAGGTCGGTCGGGTCGGAGAGAGGGAAGGAAAGAACCCCCAGACATAGATACACTGATGTCGTGTCGTGTCGTGTGTGCAGACATTGACGAGTGTGTGGAAAACATCGGTGGCTGTGACCCGACGGCCGAGTGCGTCAACCTCCCCGGCTCCTTCGAGTGCCGGTGTCCTGACGGCTTCGACACCTCACGGGACGGCAGCTGCGTGGACATCGACGAGTGCACCGACAGCAGATACCCGGAGAACGGCGGCTGCAGCCACACGTGCAACAACAGGCCCGGCAGCTACTTCTGCAGCTGTCCGCCTGGCGAGGGCTTCTCCCTCAAAAGCGACAAGAAGCGCTGCACCTGCAAGCCGGGCTTCACCTTGGTTCCCGCACGGTCACGTGACGAGGAGGACCAGTGCCAAGGTGGGTGGGGGTGGAGGTGGGATGGGGTGGGATGACACACACAGCACAATAAATGCTGACTGGTAGATACGTGGGTTCATTCGTCTGTCTGTGTGCATGATAGATGAGGACGAGTGCAAGGGGTGGTTTTCGCCGTGCAGCCGCAAGGCGACGTGCACCAACACGCCCGGCAGCTACAAGTGCGAATGCAAAAGGGGATACACCGGAGACGGCACCTACTGCAGAAGGAGAGGTACGCCACGCCACGCCATCACAACATCACTCACACACACACAGAGAGAGAGAGACACAAGACCAGACCTCTGTGGGTGTGTGTCGTCTGTCATATTAGAGCGAGGTCTTTCTGTTGATAATGGGAGGCAAAGTGTCAGGCCTCCTCCGAGGCAACTGCTCGCACCGTTGGGAATCATTCCACAGAGGGCGGCCAGTCGAGAAGAGCCCCAGCAGCCACAGCCACCAGCAGAGGAGAGTCCAACACGCCAGGAGGGCAACGGTGGCTTTCTGTCTGCCGCTGTGGCGGGCTATGGTCAGCCACCGGAAGACATCGACGACAGGGTGGATGACGATGCTTGTTGCGACGTGCTGTCTCTCTCTCTCTCGCCAGATAAATGAGCGAGGGAGGGAGAGGGACAGAGGGAGAGGGAGACCGACTCTCAGCACAGCGCGCCAAGGTCACGTGACGGCGATTTACAGTTTGTGCAGTGTGACGATGTGGATGTGAAGGCGCGGAGGGGGAGGGGGGCGGGGGGCGGGGGATGGAGGGCTTTTTGGGTTTGTAAGGAAGGACGTAGGGCTCTCTCTTTCTGTGACTTGTTGATGACGTACACACATACGAACGATATGCGACTGCATGACTGCATGATGACTGACGTGAATTGCATGGTTGCGTGATGATAGTCAGTAAGGTAAGGTAGGGAGGGCATACTGAGCGGATGGATGACGGGTGGATGGATGGATGCGTGTGTGTGTGTGTGTGTGTGTGGCAGTCTGTGACACCATGTAGCTAGCCGTTTCGGCAACAGAACGAGCATCACCCCCACACCAACACCACACCACACCATTTCAGGACGATCGATCTGGGTGGATGGATGGATGGATGGATTTGCCCCTTTGTTTTTTCTTTTGATGATACAAGTAATGGTAGGGTGATCCACCAGCAGCAGAAACAGATAGATATCACACACAGGAAATGTCAACACGCACTCACCCACCACCATTACGAAGGGCCTTCCTTCTTCTCATTCAAAACCACCACCACCACCAGACCAACGAGCCAACGAACAAACGAACAAACAGCCGCCAGTCACCACCAAAAACCGAATTCACGCACCCACCCCACCCCACCAGCAGCAAGTAGGAAAGGCTAACAAATAGGCCCGGCCGCTCTCTCACTCTCTCACTGCACACCAATGACAATAGCGAAGGGACCGGAAGCCAGAAAGAATGGATGGAGGTGGGAGGGAGGGAGGGAGGAAACAATGCCCGGCGCACCCACCAGGCAGGCAGTCAGGCAATCAGGCAGGAAGCAAGTGGAAGATCGTGGGGGGGCGGGGTGGACAGACAAAGAGGAATGAGACAGTCAGTGGTGAGTGGGCTCATAGACACACCCACCCACACCTGGACGCACCGACACATGCATATGTGTGCACACAAGGAAGAAGGAAGGAAAGAAGGGAGGGATGGGGTGAATGAATGAATGAATCGATGGCATGGAGGGATGTGAGCAAGCAATGCAATTGAGCTGAGCTAGCTAGTGGGGTGATTCCTTTGTTTAAACGCACCAAAAACGACACAAAGACGGACACACACACACACACACACACACGGAGTGAACAATGAAGTCACCGACATCCATCCATCTGTCCGTCAGGTCGACCGACCGACCGACACACTGACCAGGTGAGGAACGAATTGCCGCGGTCGGGCGGTCGGTCGGTCGGTCGGTCGGTCGCTCGTTCGGGGTGTGTGTGCTTTATGTGTGTCCGTACCACCACATCACATCACATCACGCCACATGCTCCCGCACGCCGCATCACATGCCAGACATGACGCTATCATATCGGTCGGTGCACACAAATGAAATATGCAGATAAAGAAAGAAATGGTATAATCAATAATACTACCTACCTACACAAAGAAGGAAAGGTTGCTGCAGCGCTGCGACGGTCAGCGCAGGCCTCTCCTCTCTGGCGTGTCGGTCTGTCTGTCTGTCTGTGTGAGTGTTCGTTCAGGCGTGTGCAACTATCTGCATGCACCCACACCCTCAGTGATTCACACACGTCACACAGCCTGCCTACCGGTGACCCTGCCTGCCTGCCTCCCTGCCTCTCTGCCAGCCTGCGCCACTGTGCTCCATCGGGGTGGTCACTGTGTCCGCGGAACAAACGATGCAGCCAGTCGGTCATTCACTCGTCCAATCTTACACGCACGGAGTCACACGTACTGTCCCTCATTCGCCCCTCCGTCGCTCACTCATTCACTCACTCACACGCACTCTCATGCACCTACTCACACAGGAGCGGGTCCGTCAGAGTCGGGACACTTGAAAATGAGGAGCCCACCCCACCGCCCGATAGCTCAGATCAGATCAAGGAAGTCACGCCAGCCGCACCGACGAACGCTGCCGTGCTCACACGCAGCCACACGCATGCAATGCGCCCGCCTAGCTGATAGCCAATCTCCTGTCTGTCTGTCTGTCTGTCGGTCTGTCTGTCTGTGGCGCATTTGTGGCGGTAGACACACGCGCCAAAAACTTGGTGGTCTGGCTGCATAGACGTGTGTGTGTGTGTGGGGCACAGACAGAGGGAACACGCGTGCGGGCAACAAGAGAGAAATCGCGTCAGCGCACACACACACTGCATAATGACACAATCATGTGTGTGGTGTGTCGATGCGGCCAGCAGCTGGCAGGCGGGCTAGGTAGGGGAGAGTCAAAAGGTGGTGGTGTACCCATACCAGGCAGGCAGGCAGGCAGGAAGAGCGATAGCCACAGGCAGGCAGGCAGGTGTAGGTGTAGGTGAATGTGATGTGGTCCGTTACTCCTTCCTGGTCTGAAAAATGCTGTGTGTGGTGTCTGTCTGTCTGGCTGCTTGGCGTGCCGTGCATGCCACTCACTCACACACACACACACGCACATCCCACAGCCAATACAATCAGTAGCCAAAAGGCAGGCAACGAGGGACTCTCTCTCTCTCTCTCTCTCGCTCCCTCTCTCCCACTGCTCTGCTGCTGCAGCAACAAAATGCAAATGTATGTCCCACTCCCCCATAGGCAGCAGACATAGGCGCACGCGTGTGTGCGTGCGATGCCAGGCAGACACACAGGCAGGCAGGCAGGCAGGTCATCGCTGCTTCAAGAGCTCACTCCCTCCCTCCCTCCCTCCTTGCTCCCTCCCTCCCTCGCCCCCTCTCCTCGCCCCCCGAGCAACCCAGGCCCCGTCAGCATCATAACAAATGCACAGGCCAGACGAGAGGGCAAACGAGCGAGCAACCAGCCAAAAACCTCGTTTGTGGTCTTCCGCCACGCCATGGCATGCCATCGGTCGGTCGGTGCTGTGGTCTATCGAGCGTGGATGTGCCTGTTGTTGTGTCCGCATCTTGATGTGAAGAAGTCGAAGTCGGGGTGGGTGCGGCGCGCGTTGACGCTGCCCAACCACGACTCGACCTCGTCCTGGCACACAATGTCACACACACACACACACGCAGAGAGAGAAAGAGAGAGAGAGAGAAAGAAGGAGAAGGAATGAACGCAGAGGCAGAAACAGACAGACCGAGAGAGGGATCGAGAGTGGCCCACCTTCATCTTTGAGTACCACATGATGCTCGAGTCGACGTCGCCCTGGTAACCTGTCAGCCACCCACCCAGACGACACACAGACAGGGTTTGCCGAACCCTTATCTCTCTCTGGCCTGCAATGCACGTACTACCTGGGATCCACAGCTTCGGGTCAGCTCGATAGGCCAGCATGCCCACCCTCCTCAGGCGGTACGGCCCACTGTCCAGGGCACAGTCAGGGTGGTGGTGGTGGTGGCCCATTGTCGGTGCCCTCTCGAGCTCGAACGAGTAGTAGACCAAGAACGACGCCGCATGGTTGGTGCTCAGACTTACAGTGTCGCGCAATGACGGCTGCCACAGAATGCACATCCTGCACAGCACGCATTCATGTAATGACATGACAGCACAGCCAAGACAGAAAGAAAGAGTGTGTCCGTGTCGTGTCATGCGAGTCTCGCTCTCGCTACGCTCGTCGTGTACGTAGCCTACCATGACGTGGGTGCGAGTTCGTTAGAGTTGACTCGTAGCAGGTCGGTGCCCTTGACCTCCTGCTGCCCCAGGCCGCCGCTCTGCCCCTGCCCGGCCAGCAGATACCGAATCTGGCTGTAGAGCGGCCGACGCAGATGGGGCGGCTTGGCTTCAAAGTACTCGAGCGAATGCGGGTGGCTCTGGCCGGGGTTCTGCTGCCCGTGGTGGCCCCGCATCCCCATCCCCTCGCTGAACGACGAAGGCGACCCCGGCGGGACCATCATGTGATGGCGATGGCCATGGGTGTGGGTGTGGGTGCCGTGGCCGTTGAGCTGTCTGGGTGCGGAGATGGGGTCAAGCTGTATTGCCGAGAGGTAGGGGATGTAGACGGTGGATGTGAGCGACTGCGCCGAGTCGCCGTCGAGGAAGGGCACCACGCAGCCGTAGAATGACGGCTCCTTCAGGGCCTCCCACAAGGTGGTCAGGGAGTACAGAGGCGGGTGGTGCACAGAGACCGAGAAAGAATCCTGATCATGCATGCGAAAGGCAAAGGAAGGAACCAGAGTGTGTGTGTTGTGCTCATGAGGTGCTGTGCTGTGCTGTGCTGTGTGGCCATCCATGCCACCCATCCCACACACACGTACACACACGTAGACGTACCTGCAGTGGACTCGCATGCGGAGTCGTACAGTCCAGAAACGCCCCCAGATTAAAATCCCCAGGGCCTCCGACACCACCCACCCCACGCCCTAGCCCCACCGCCCCCACACCCACGCCCACACCCACGCCCAGCCCCAACCCCCTGCTGCTGGGCATGGGGATGGGCGGCCGCGGCAGGCTCACACTCTGCGTGTGGGGGCTGCTGGGCTGGCTCGGGTAGCCGTTCTTCAACACACTGGCTATGTTGACATCCATGAAAGACGTCGCCGTCCCGCGCGGCTTCATCCCCCGCGGGTAGAAGGGGGCCGACGCGCTGCTCAGATTCGACTGCACCACGCCACCCGTTTGCTTGGGCCTGTTGGTGCTGCTAGTGGCATCCTCAGCACGTGGGGCCACTGGCCGACGGTCTAGCGAAGATGGGACGTTTGCTGCACCTTGGTCGAATTGGGGGAATGGCGGCACCTTGGTCGGCGTGGCGAGGAGGGGCGCGTTCATCTGCCCGTTCATCCAGGTGTGCCCGCGATGCACGGGAGCGGCGGGGCGAGAGGGTGCGGCCCCCAGAACGCCCGACGTCATGGCCCTGGTGTGTGAATGGGCCGCCTTGGGGCTGGGGTAGCAGATGATGCCGTTTGTGGTGGTGCTGTTGCCGTTAGTGCTGCTCGTGCTGTTTGCGGGGTCGGTCTCGCTCCTGGCCAGCTCCGACAGACTGTTGCTCCGCAGCAGCGGCGATGAGTCGTGATGCGGAAAGGGCGGATGGCTTCCTGTGCCCCCTCCCTGGTCCACTGATGAGCGCGCCGACGGCATGGCGTCGCCAGTGGACGTCTGGCTCGCGGCATCCGACTGGTCGAGTGATGGGTTGCCCAGACGGGGCAGAGGGATGTGGTGCCTCTGTGCGTTGGAGGGCCGCTGGAGCAGCAGCAGTGGCCTCTGCTGCGTCGACTGGGGGTCCTGGGCCGAGGGGTACGATGGGAAAGGGATGGCCGTCATGGAGAGGGCGGGAGAGGGCTGACAAGTGTCAGGCCTGGGCAGCAGGCCGCCGCCCGCCGTCTTGTGGCTGTGGCTGTCGATGCTCGAGAGAGAGGACGAATGCGGGATGGGGATGGGGGAAGGAGGAAGATCATCGGGCAATGGCGATGGCGGCAGCAGCGACACCTCCCGGAACGGGGGATGCCCCTGCCCCCCCTCACTCGCGGCACACTGGTGGCCGTCCTGACAGCCCTCAGGCGCCTCAACACCACACGACAGGCCAGCTGCAGCAGCATGAGTAGATGCGTGCGCAGCTGACGGCGGCTCCGGCACTGACTCATGGTCGCCAAACGACTCCTCCTGCCGTTTGTCGTGGTCGCCCTTCCGATGCCCCTGACGGACGGCCGCAGAGCTCGGCTCACTGCGGCAGCTAAGCTGATCGTTGGACGCGGCTGTCTCCTCAGCTTGCTGCGCATGGTTTGTTGCCGGCTTCCCCTCTGAAGCATTTGGCGATGTAGCCGGGGTGGCCGTGCCCGCAGCCACGGGCTGCTGTTGGAGTGGTGTGGGTCGGCTGGCCGCCGTCTCGGCCTCCCTGTTCCTGCTGCCCTTGCCACGCTTGCCCCCCTCCCTGCCGCCCGGCTGACCCTCCATGGCAGAGCCCTGCTTGCCGGCCGGTCCCGCAGCGCCTGTGGTGCCGTTGATGCCGCTGCTGTAGCTGCCCATCATAAGTCGGCTGCCCCCGCTGCCGGCACTGTCGGTGCTGCATGCGCTCCGTGTGCTGCCCGTGCCTGTGCTGGGCACAGAACCCGAGTAGGTGTATGGGGCACGGTCGCGTGTCGACGATGACGACGGGTTAGACGAAGGCTGCCAGTAGAGGGACGGCTGCTGCGGCACGGGGGTCCCTGTGTCACTCGGGGTGGACGGTGGGTCTCGGCGGGTCTTGGGCGAGGGAGAATTCTCGCCGTCGGCGCGTGAGGGGAGGGTGGTGCACTCGGATGCGTTGTGAGTGGCGGCAGCTGTTGGCGAGGGGAGGTGGTCGCAGCTGCAGCTGGCCGTGGTGCTGCCGTGAAGCGTGGAGCCAGCCGTGCTCAGGACGCTGTCGCTCCTGCCCACGGCCATCCGCAGAGGCAGGTGAGATGGGTGAGTCGAAGACGCCTTCTCGTCACCCTTGTCCTCTCTTGCCGGCGGCTCGTCATGCTGTGACACCGACGTGGTGATGTGAGTGGGCGCCTCCTCCACTGGTGCCGCCTTGGCCACCTCAATCACGCCGTTTGCCTTGACCTCCTCCCCCTCCCCCTCTCCAATCATGGGGACAACGGTCTCCATCTTGCCGACATCCATGTCCTTCTGCTCCTTGTCCTTCTGGTGGTCCCGGTTCTTCTTCTTGCCGCCCTTGGGGTGGTCCTTGGCTCTCTGCTTGGGGGCGGGGACCTCACGCGGCGGGGTCGGCTCAGCCTCAGCCTGCACCCCGACAGCCGCCTGTTCAGGGACGTCAGTCACCTGCTCAGCCATGCCGCTCTCCTGCGGCCTCTCGATCTCAGACACCTCCTCAGCAGCCTTCTCACACTCATCCACTGACGCACCACCCGTCCCCGAGTCGTCTGGGACAGGGGCAGTGGCCTCAGTGCTCGGTGGTGGGACGCTCTCAGCAGCACGGGCGGTGGCATTGGCGTCGTCAACTCCCGTGTCGGTGTCGGTGGGCGTTGGCCGCTCCTCGGTGGTGGGCTCACTCTGGCCGGCGGCCGGCTCCGCCCTCTGCCGACCACTTCTCTTCTTCCGTGGCGTCTTGCCCTTGTCATTGGCAGCCTTGTCGTCGCCAACCACTGGCTGTGCGGCCGCCGGGTGGTCATCCTCATTCCCCTCCCTGCCGTTGCTCGCCGACGAGCTGGCAGGGGCAGCCGCAGATGCAGAGGCAGAGGCAGAGGCAGATCCGGATGCAGTCGACTGCGCGCGGTTCTTCTTCTGTCTGCGTTCCTTGTCTCGTTTGCTCTTGGCCAGCGATGCGCCGTCGGCAGCCGCGCTGGAGGCAGTGGTGCTGCCCTGTGAGGTGGAGGAGGGTGCGGATGGTGCGGGTGTGAGTCCCGTCTTGCGTGCGAGGAGCTGGTTTTGACGGCGGATGTGTCGGGGTGGCGGGGGCTGGGAGGGAGGGGGGTGGTCGCTGGAACGACGGATCAGATCTAGACACGCGTTCACTGTCAATATACACGCACCTGCATAACGACAAGAAAGAAAGAAAGGGACGCATCCACCCACCCACCCACCCACAGTCCCGTTGTGTGCTGTGTTGTGTGTGGTTCTCTGACTGACGCACCAGGGATGATCTCCATGGCATCGGTGAGATGTGACGAGTGTGCGGTGGAGGACGCTCTCGGCGTGTCGCTCCCCGTCAGACTCTCCTCCCCCTCCCCCGTCCCAACAGACGCCCCCTCAACCCTCTCCCTCTCTCCCGCCCCACTAGCAGCGCTGCTAGACGACCGCTCCTCATGCGGCTCGATAGCGATACCCCTCTTGCGCACAATGGCAAAGAAAAACGAAACCTCATCCGGGAAGGGCGTGTTGGGGCCGAAGGTGCCGTACGCCCCCGGCTCCTGGCTGATGCGCACAACTACAGCTGACTCAGGCATGGACTGGGCCGAGTTGTCGGCCGACGCGGTGCCCACTCCTCCGTTGACTAGCGTGGGAGGGGGGTGGCGACTGACGGTTGCTGTGGTGGGCGACGAAGGGCGAGACGACAGCGATGCTGCTGAGGGGTCGGGGTCCGACGGCTGAGAGGATGCGGGGAAGGGCATCGACAACGGCAGGTCAGCGTCGTCACTACTCGCATCCTTGTCTCCCTGGCCGCTCCCCGACGGCTTGTCGTCATGACCGTCGTCCGTGTTGCTGTCGCTCCACCTCCTCGCCAGCCTGGGGTGGTCCTCCCGCCCCTCCCCCTCCCCCTGCTGCTCCTGATCTTCTCTCCCCACCGAGGGGGGCAGGCGAAACGACAAGGACGGCGAGCTGGTCGACGCATGCTCGTGGTCCTCGCCCTCCTCAGTGGTGGAGGGCGATGGGCTGGGTGGCCTGGCCATCATCTGCCGCATATGGCGGGACTTCTTGGCCATATCCCGTCGGTACTCCTCCAGCTGGATGTCCGCCTGGGTCTGCCTGGCGTCCGACAGGAAGGATGCGACTGGCCTGAAGTCTCTGAAGTCATGCTGGTGGGAGTGAGGCAGCGACGGGGAGGGCGAAGACGACGACGTTGACAGAGAGGGCGATGTCGGGGTCGTCCGACGAGCCTGCAGAAGCCAAGGACAAAGGCACAGCCCAGCCCGTGCTGTCATCAATCTTTCCACGGTTTGCTGTCTGTGCTTTTGCTGGGCGCGTAGCGTACCTCGACTGTGACGATGCAGTTTCCTTTGGTGATAAGGTCAGCATCGATTCTGCTCTGCCGTGAGCTGCCGCCCTCGGATGCGGCGGCCGATGCTGATGCTGATGCTGAGGCCGATGTGCTGCTGTGAGTGGGTGTGACGCACGCTGCCCCAGACGATGGGCCTGCTGACGCAGACTCAACGGGCATCATCAAACACTGACACACACAACACGACACAAGACAAACAGACACACGGTTTTGTTGTCGGCTACACCAGTGAGTGATCGTGCTATGCATCTGTTGACACACCGACTGACCTTGTTGTCCTCCCGCCCTTGCGTGTTGGCCGACCGTCTGAACTTGAGCACTAGCAGGTCAAACGATGTGGCCGAAACTTGTTTGACGAAAAGGACTATCTCGCGAAGCTCCTGGAGGGCGTTGCACGAGTAGAACAGACTCTCCAGGTCAGGCGAGTGCACCTGACACACACAACACATACACCAACACCCACAACAACACCACACTGAGGCCTGCCCCGACACCGCAGATGCACACACACGAATGCAGCTAGCTGTCTGGCGTGGCCGCGCACGTCTGTCGAGACACCCGAGCTCAGAAACGGGCTCCATCTCACGCACGACAGCCTCTCTCGCCCCCTCGCCTGTTGCCGAGCCCTCTGGCTGACCCCGTTTCCTGTTGCTTACGTTCCTGACGATGACTTCTGGTTGCACGAGTAGGGTGTTAGCGGTGTTTGTGGCCCTTGTGGCCATTCGACCAGGTATTGACCGCACGGCAGCTCTCCACTCGAGTCCCTCCAGTTCCACTGCCTCCCTGTGGGACGAGAGTGGTGGCCCTTGGCGGACCTCACTAGCTGGAAGGGACGCCGACTGCTGGGGCGAAGGTGCGTCCTCCGATTTGGGCCTTGGGCCAGCCTGACTCACTGATAGGAACATGCAGAAGCAGGCATCTCCTCAATCTACACGCAGGCTCGCAAAAGTGGTTTTTTTCTGGTAGAGAGGGTCACGTCGCAAAACTATTTACCTGCCAGCCTCTTTCGGGATCTGATCTGATCTGATCACCACTGATCACTTAGCACCCAGCACCACTTCGAAGTCGCAGAGCTGCTCGACTCACGGGGCGTCGAGGGTACGTGTGTGGAACGGCTGAGAGAAGCTGCCGAAGATCAGCTCCTTGTGTGCCAGCCAGACCGCCCGCTGGCGGTCCAGTTCACCTTCAACGCGGTCCTGACTCAGGTCCCCATCTCCCGCACGGTTGGTTCCTGCCTTGTTCCTTCGGTGCCGTCAGCAGCATCTGCCCACGGCACAGACCGACCACACCACCGTCTGTCTGTCTGTCTGTCTGTGTGTGTGTTGCTTCCACTGTTACAATTCGCACTGACTGACGAGCATCTCATCTTCGGCATGATCATGGGGCTGCTAGAGTGCCTCTCGCCGTGGCTCGGGTGGGAGCAAGATGCCAGCTGCCGCATCTGCCTGGACAGCAAAGAGGACATCGACACAGGGCCGCTCATATCGCCATGCGAGTGCAAAGGAACAGGTGCAAGGGCGGGGAGCGGAGGGGTACTTGACGAGGGGGACAAGGAGATCGCACCAATGATTCATTGTTCTTTGATGTGTTCTCTTAGTCAAGTGGGTCCACCTTGCCTGCTGGGAGGAGGGGCTGCAATGGAGACGCAAGTGCTGCATCTGCAGGGCGCCGTATGTTCTTGGTGTGCGCTTGTCGCACGCAGTTGAGGCTCTACCCTCACTGTGCAGGATGGTTGCCGCTATTGTGGTGGACGACCTCTGCAAGGCACGGCCTTTTCTCACTTCAACCGTCAACCAGGTGTTCTCTGCCGTCCGCCACGGGCTCGCAGCTGTTCCACAAAAGGAGAGGGAGAGCTTCGCCAGCTACCTTGTCTTTCTTGCCGCCGGGATGCTCTGCGTGATGGTGTTGGAGCTTGTCAAGCACTTGCTGCTGGGCCTCCTCCATCGTCTCTATCATCACCCAGCCCGCCGCTCCCTACACCCCGTCGTCTGCGTGACGGCTTTGTCCACCGTGGTGCCCATAGCGCATCGCCTTTGCGGGATGGCAGCGGAGGGGGTGTGCGTTCGAGGTCTGAAGTTTCTTCTCTCGAGGTCGTGTGCACAGCATTCGTGCGGGCTGTGCGACGTTCGTGAGCTCATCGTGCTGATCTCTATACCATGGGTGGTGAGGGGTCTTCCACTGGAAGGTGCCATGTGTTTTCTTCGCCTTATGTGGACCGACTTGCGTCATGCACTAGGTCGTCCGTGCCGGAGCAACAACACGATCACGTCCCCTTCCACTGCACTGGGACTGTTGCAGATTGTGGGCGGCGGTGGGATGGTCGCGATATCTCTCTCGCTGGCCTTGTTTCCGCTACGTCGGTGCCTTTGTTGCAGTGCTCGCCCTGTCACTTGCCGTGTGGGACACAGGCTCCTGCTTCGTGTGCTTTGGGCCGGTGCGGGGCTGTGTTATGCTGGCGGCGATGCTTTGCCCATCCTGGCTGATCTTGTCTGCAGAGAGGCGAATGCGCGTCTTTCTGCGCACCAGCGGGTGGGGGGCGTGGCTGGATGCGTTGTGCTGCTAGCGTCTTTGTCCGACGGCCCTTTGACTGCCTCTGGTGTAGAAGAGTGTGTGGCGGTGGATGTTTAATGCATGCTCTGTCTTAGCCTGTCGTGTCTTAACTACACATAGGATGGGTGGCTCACTAGAAACGCCGAGACACAGGAAGTAGGTGAATGTTTGTCATCTGGGATTAACCAAAGGGTCACGTTTTACTTGCGTTGACACGGGATCTAGACACGTTCAGTTGTCTTGGTGAAAAACACCACCGTGAAGCTTGGTCAACTGACACGTACACACACCTGTCGTCACTACCAATCCCACCACACCTCCCCACTACTTGTGTTCGCCCGACACATCTCTCCCAGTCGCTTCATTTCGCCCGGCCGCGTCACTTCATTTCTTTCACCTCACGCAAACAGCGCAACTACCCAGCTACGCAGTCAGGATTCAAAAGGAGAAACTTTAGTGGCTTACACGGAAGCATAAACAGCTGCCCCCACTTGATCTACTAGGCCATTTCGGGAATGGGTGTGTCTGTGGGTATGTTGGTGGGGAAGGGCGTCTCGGTGGAGACGTCCAGGTGCTGGCGGCTGATGGTGCCGTTCTTGCACTCGCATGTGCAGCCGGACTCGCGCTCCATGCCCTGCCCGGCGTGGATCTGCGCCTCCAGCTGGCACTCCGGCTCGCTCTTGTTCAGACGCGCCAACACATTCTCGCGGAAACATCCTGCATCCACACACAAACAGCCAGTCGCTGTGCTGCCGTCGGTGTATGTATTTGTGTGTTGTTCGGGGTGCGGCTCACCCTGGACGTTGGGTGTCTCGCAGTTGATCTGGTCTCCACCCTTGAAGTGGCACACCCACAGGGGCATCTCCTTGCTGCTGACCTGCACGTAGCCGCACCCAACTTTCTGAAAAAGGGGCCGCCGACATGCACACATCCGACAGAGAAGGGGATAACTGTGCCTTTGTGTGTTTGCGTGCCTTTGTGTGTTTGCGTGTGGCTGGGCTGACCTGCGCGCCCTTCCACAGCAGGACGGTGACCCGTTTGGCCTCGGGAACGTAGCGGTCACGTGTGGTGTTGGCCCAGATGCTCCACTCGGAATACCTGCACACACACACACACACCCCCCAACACAATAGACGGATGGATGGATGGATGGACAGAATGAAATCTGTGTCTGTGCGCTGCTGTGTTGTCGGCCCCCACCACTTGTCGACGATTTGCTTTGGCACGTCCGTGGAGTTGCCGAATTCGAATATCTGTGCCGCTGGGCCCTGGCCGAGGACATGGAGGGACACATCAGGGGTAGTGGGAAGAACATGAGAAACAATGGCACCCACCTGGCACGGCAGCTCTAGGTACGGCGCAATGGGGTCCAACAGTTCCAGGTTGGCATATCGCTGGGCAGAATTGGCCACACACCCATCCCACTGCACGAAGGGAGCGCCGTGCCTGCACACACACGCGCACACCCACACACAACACACACACGGCACCGTGAGATGGAAGAAAAGACGTAGATCTGGTGGATCTGCTGGTAGATCTGCCTTCCCGCTGGCTGCCCACATCCCTCCTTACATGCATCGGTGCTTGTTGATCTGATCACCGTGTGAAGAGCAAGAAAACCGTAGATCTGGTGGATATGCTGGTAGATCTGCCTTTCCGCTGGCTGCCCGACATCCCTCCTTACGTGGATCTGCAGCTCAGTGGCGAGAGTGTCGCTGATCATTTTGGCCGCCCGACGGGCTCTTCGGTGCTCTGAACGCACCATCAGCAGGCCGCGCAAGGGTGAGGGGCGCTTGCCGGATGCCGATGAGCGGGGATGGAGGGTGATGACGTCCGAATCGCCGGTGGCGTTGACGTTTTGCTCGAGCTCCATGCCCAGACCCATGTACACACACAGAGGGAGGAGGAAGGCGGTGAGGACCATTGAGGGGAACATTGCTGAAAGCTGGACGGCGGGAGAAAGCGAGTAACACAGAGAGGGGATATTTGGGATATTTCGCGTCCTGGCCACCAACGGTAAGGGTAAAGGGTACATGGCATTCTCGGCTCGCATTTTCCCGTTCAAAGCAACCATTCTTTTCTCCGGGTGGAAGGGAAGGCATTGTTGTGTGGTGTTGTTTTCGGAAAGCCCCATCCGAATGAGCCAGGCCCCTCCGCGTCTGGACGGGCTGTCGTATGCCGGCGAACTTGATGAGCACAGGGCGGGAGATGAAACGAGAAGGCACGGGGGGAAGGGCCAAGTGACATGGCCGCAAGCTACGGATGCCACACCATTTTTTGGAGTAAGTCAATGGCAGACTGGGCGAGGTTCTGGCTTCAATGCTCATTTGGGGCTTGCTTTGGGGGTGTTGGGGGATGTATGCCTGTGCCTGCAGGATGGGGCGTCGTCGAAGTTTGAACGTGGCTATGCTGAGGAGGTCATGTCGCAGACGACCGATGGCAGCCAAAGAGGTATGAATGCCTCCACGTGATCCCATCCATATGGACCTGCTGATGTGATTCTCTTCAGGTTCGTACGTCCTGTCATCGTCCATTGTCTCGTCCGCCCGTCCCTCCCTCTCTGAGAGATACCCGCCAGTGGCTGCCATAGACGCCGGTGAGAGCCATGCAGCAGAGGAGAGCCCGAAGACAGCGAAATCGCCCAAGTCGTCCCAGCGCCACTCGCTGCCGACATTTCCGACGGACCTTGGTGGCTCGTGCAGCCCCTCCTCGTCACAGGTTCGTGCGAACATGTGGTTACATATGGCTACAGGGATGAAACCAAGCGTGTGGGCGATGTGTGAGTTACAGGAGGCTTCGGGGGATTCTGCGAGTGGCGGCGTCGGTCTGGGTCTGGGTCTGATTTTGCCCGGGATCACCAACCGGCGCCATACAGATGGCCCAGTGCCGTCTGTGCCCGCCTACAAGTGGCCGTACACAGACATGACCGAGGAAGACTTGTGAGCGCAGGCAGCCACACAGCCTCGCCTCCTTTTCTGCAGCCACAGACGTGAGGTGCAATCTGTCTGTGTTTGTTGCAGCTCCGGCCCGCCAAAGGAGCCGAAAATCAGATTTCAGGACCCAGTTGTTACTGCGGTGAGCTGACATAAAGCTTGGGTCAAGACAATCACGCAGCGTGCCTTTTTCGCATTGGTCGCTTGCTTCAGGTTCACGAGTATGATGCCGTGGAGGTGCACATAGAATGGCCTGAGCCTGACGAGTGCGCCAGCTGGAGCAGCTCGGCATCATCGAGCCCACTGGTGCAGTCGGAGACAGAAGGCGGTGGCGATGATGACGACTTCGCATTGGACGCGGGGTGGGCCAAGCGATTGGAGAAGAGCAGCGCTTCCCTCGACGGAACACTGAAGCTTGAACCAAAATCGCCAAAGAGGTATGTATGTGGAGGGACGGGGGTGCGCTCACTGGCGTGTTTAGTTCTCGCCAATCGACGTTTCTTCCTTCCGTGTGTTATCCATCCATCCATCCATTAGGCGTTCTGTCTCTGCGTCAGCCAAGGGCGACAGCAGCGGCTCCTCCACGCCTGTTGCCGTGACGTCGCTCTTCCCAGCATCGTCCAAAGAGTAACTAACAGGTGGGTGCATCCTGTGTCTGCCTGTCTAGTGGGTGGCTCTTCGGGAAGAGCTGCTGCTGTTGGGCTCTTGTGGGTGGGCGGCTTGGGTGGGTGGCTGCACGGGTAGGTAGAGTGCTGTGTTTTAGGCTTCTCCCTGCCTTCCTCCCTCCCTCCCTCCCCACATGCGTGTGTTTTTGAGGTTTTTTGGGTTTCCCGTTCCCCCTCCGTGGTGCAATGTGCGTGGCTGCATGGCTCCTCCTGCGTGCCCCAGTCGTCCCTCCCGCCCTCTCTGAAAAGCTTGTGTGTGGATTGAGTGCCCGAATGTGTGTGTGGTGCTGTTTTTGTTGGTGTTCGGTGGAGAGTCTTTTGCTACAGAAGGACTCGTGCGTCTGTCTCATTTTTCCGCCGCTTGCTTATCGATGGATTGACGTGATTCTGCCAGAGATGAGACGATATAAGGTGTCTGTCTGTCTTGAATTGGTTTGCATCCAAGCATCACACCCAAACAGCCAGATAGCCAGGAAGAGGCGGACAGACCCAGTGCACTTGACCACAACCACAATCACACACCACCCCCCGCTCAGACATACACCGCTCAGCCATCCATATCCATTCATTCAGTCATCCATCCATCCATGCATGAGAGCTACACATCATCCATGAGATCTTCTATGCGCCAGAGTCAGACGAGGCCTGCCTGCCTGGCTGTCTGTTTGCTTGGCTGGCATGCTGTGTTGTCTAGCTACGTGCCCGCCCCGCCCTTGTCTCCCCCCCCAGCACCACTGTCGTGTCTGTGTGTGGATGTGCGTGCGCCGGTGTGGAACTTGGGTGCCTGCGGGACGGTGAGTGGCTTGTCAGATCGCCTGACGGGCGGGGGCGGGTGGAACACCGGTGCCGGCTTGGCCTTGGGCACCGCCTCGGCACGCAACGCCGCCCTCTCCTCGCGAAGACGCTGCGCCTCCTCTGACTGCATACACACACACACATACACACACGTGTGGATGAGTGCGGGCGGGTGCCTGCCTGCCTGCCGCCAGCTGACTGACAGACATACCTGTTTCTTCTTGCGCTCAGCTTCGGCGGCGGCTTCCTTTGCCGCACGCCGGGCCTCCATCTCGCGCCACTTGGCGTTGCGACTGCACGGCAGCAGACACATGTGTGTATGAGAGGGAGGATTCACACACACAGGTGGATGCGATGCTGCGGTGTCTGTCACCTTCCTTCACCTGTCGACTGCGAGGTTGAATGGGAGTGTCTCGGTGAGGTGGATGGATCGGGACTTCGACAGCCCCTTATCGCCGCCGGCACCACCACCACCACCACCGCCAACGCCGTGACTGTTGGCAGCGGGGGGAGGCTGCGGCCACACACATACACAAGAAAGTCGACACACACACACACAGACACACGTGTTTATTGCCTTCGTCCTGACAGCTGGCTGACCTTGGGTATGTATGGTCTGGCTTTGAACGATGCCTGCTCGCGCTTCTTGCGCTCCTGAGCATCGACCTGACGACAGTCGAAAGTCCACACGCACGTAAGGAAACACGCGAACGAATGCGACCAGTGAGTGGTAAGGCAAGCAGCACGGACTGACCTGCTTCTGGAACTCTCGTCTGGCATACTCGTGTCGGTGCTCGCTGGACAGGTCGAAGGGCTTCGGGGCCGTCAGGGGGCGACGATCCACAGACGCCGACCGCAGGGAACTGCCGCCCTTCTTCTGCACATACACACACATCATCCGTCCATCCACACACGCGACCTTATGTGGGTGTGGGCGTGTGTGTGAGTGAGAGGTGGTAAGTGGTGGGTGGGGTGGTAGATACATACCAGTATGTTGGTGGGCACGGGGTTGGCCTTGACTTTGCGTCGCTCCGCGTGCTCCTGCTCCTCGTGGGCCACGCGAACCTCAAACTCATGACGGTAATGCTAAACACACACACCGCACACACATAAACACATTTCACACATGTGTGTGTAGTGGTGTGGGTGCGGGTGTGGGTGTGTTTGCCCTGCCTGTCCTCGCTGCTCTGTGGCGAGCTGGAAGGCTCTCGGGACGGTCGGCTTCCCCACACCAACACCCGCCCCCGATGCTACGCTCACATGCTCTCTATCAGATCCGTGGTCAACCTCACTCTGATGCACACACGACACACAAAGACAGAACTCAGTCAGCACAGCGGTGAATATGACGACAAAAGGCCTGTCTCTGTCTGTGTGTGTGTCATGTGGATGTACGTACCTGTGCGATAGGTTTGGCGCGTCCCTTGGTGGCGAGTGGGGGGGACTGGGGGTTCGTCAGATCACGGCTGCCCACCTTGGGCTCAAACAACTGCGCACATAGATAGCACAATGACACGTGTGTGTCCATGTGTGTGTGTGTGTGGTGAACTCTTGCCATTCACCGACTGACCGGTCGTTCGAGCATTTTCTTGTTGAGGGGTCTGGCCTTGAAGTGCGCCGCCAACTCCTCCCCCTCCTGACCCCCAGCCCCACCATCCCCACCACCGCCCCCAACACCCTCCTTGCTATCACCACCGACCCCCTCATCCATACGGCTACCCTGAACACACCACACACAACACAACACAATACAATACAACAATACCATATAACAAGCTCATCCACACACACACACACGAAAGAATCGCCTCGTGTGTGTGTGTGTGTGTTGTTGGTTGCCTCCTTTTTGTGTTTGAATGCTGCGAGTGGTGGTGTGACGGGGTCGGTCAGCTGTGGCGGGGGCACGTGGGGCACCCCCAGCGGCCGGTCTGCGCGCAGCACCTTGGGGTTGAGCGGGCGGGCGCGGAATGGCGGCATCTTGGCCATCTCATCGGCCTCCTGCTCCTCACGGGATACAAACCTGACCAACAAATGCATTGCATTCACACACAGAGAGAGAGGAAAGACTTATCCATCTATCGACCTATCTGTGTGTGCGTGTTTGTGTGTGGTGGGTGCGTGCGTAGGTACCTACCTGGGAGGTTTGGGCGGCAGCTGTTCTGTGTGCAGGTTGAATGGCTGAGGGCACGTCAGCTTGCCCCCGCCGGCTACGCCGCCGCCCTTCCCCCTCTCACCCCTGGCCCCCTCTCCCTTGGCCTCCTCCCCACGGAGCGACCTCTCAAACTCACGCAACGTGTCAGCCAACGGCGTGTGCCTCCCGTCAGCTCCTACACCGCCCCCCACCCCCTCTCCCCCGCCCCCCGCCCCCTCCATCTCCCTGACCCGCATCTCCGTGGCAAACCGGAAGGGCACGGCGGGCGTGGGCTTGCCCGTGTAGTGGGTGGCCGCCTTGCGGTGGCGGTCGGCGTGAGAGGGGCTGGGCTGGTAGGGCCCCAGACGCACGTCGGTCGACAGGGCGAACTCCTGGGGCATGGTCAGCGGCTTGACGGACCGCTTCATGGCCTGTCCCCCCACACCCGCCAGCACACGCGGGAGGGACTTCTCGTTGAGCTGCCGCAGTCGGGCGGCCTCGGTGCGCCCCTTGTGGATCTCGCGCTGCTCCTGCAACTCACGCGACTCCTCAGAGGTGCCGCGGAGCCGGGCCGATGTGGCGAATCGGGGGCTGTGGGGGTTGGTGAGCTTCCTGTGGTGGGGGAGGGCAGCCGGGAGGGACGCCGTGTCGTGTTTGTCATGGTCAGCATGGTCCGTCTTGGCATCCCCCGTCCCCCCCTCAGCATCGTGATCGTCCAGGTCTTGTGCGGCAGCTGCGCGGGTCTCCCAGGCCTCTGAGCCGACGAGGTAGAGGGGGAGGGGCTCCTCCTGCCGGAGGGCTTTGAGGACCGCCCCGTCCGCCGCCTCGACCGTGAGCCCGTCCTCCATCGACCGCTTGCTGCCAGACTGGTCCTGGTGGTAGTCCTTCTGCTCCTTCTTCTCCTCTCCTGTGGTGGTCACCTCCTCCTCCTCCTCCTCCTCCTCGGCCGTCGCTGGTGCTGATGCAGGTGAGGGTGCAGCCTCCCCAGCCTGGTGAGCCGCCTCCACGCCTTGGCCAGCCGATTGCGAGGCCTCTTCGCCGCTCTGGCGGGCCAGATCTGCCTCAGGTGCATCGCCGGGCGGGGCGGATGGCTGCTTGACGTCTGCTGCCGGTGGAGCGGGCTGCTCATGGTCTGCCGGTGGAGTGGCGTCCGCAGGGCTCTCCTGGACGGGGCATTTCGGCTCTACTGATGGCAGCGGTGCGTCGTCGTCACCGTTGGCATGGTCTTCCTCAGCTGTTGTGTTGCTGGGTCTGTCCTCGCCATCAGTGCGCACCTTCGCCGATGGCTGCGGTGCCTCCTCCTCGGTATTCTTCTCCATCGTCGTTCTCTCACGCTATGTCATCGGGGGGCGAGAGACAGATGGATTTACGGGGAATCGGAAGATCTGCCCGGAGCCTTGATGATGACGCTGGTTGCGTTTCGGGCCGTCAACTACGTGGATGAGCACAGCCGCTCTCTGGCCCTTCAGAACCGTGCGCTGACCATCTCGTCCAAACGGCCCTCCGCTTCCCTGGCCGAGTCGTCCGGTGTCAAGACCTACTACCGACAGTGCGACGCCCTCATCAAAACCACACAAGAGAAGCCTCTCGACGCCTGCACCCTCTTCAGCCTCGGCTCAGGTCGGCTAGCTGGCAAACAACGGCCGGCTACTGCAATGGGTGTGGCCACCGTGTGTGTGCGGTCCTTCCTTCCATTCTGAGCAGGCAAAACCACCACTACGGATGGTTTCCTCTTTGGCGGTGGTGTTCTGGCGTGTGCGAAGGCCACCCATGGCGATGCCCAGAAGCCGGCCCCTCCTGCGAGCACCTGCAGCTTCGACGAGGCGGGCGAACCCCTGCTGACCATCGACGAAGCTGGTACAGTAGGATCATCATGGTGGCACGCGCGAAGGTGCAGGGGATTGTATGTGTGCGTGTATGTGGTGTCCGTCTGCCTTTTGCAATGGATGTGGAAGTGCCGCTGTTGAGGTGGGATGATTCGCCTGCCATGGCGGCAGATGACCTCCGTGAAGGCATCTATGCCGCCAAGTGTGTGGACGACACCTATCACGGCAGAAGCAGCGGCCCGTCGGGCAGCTCAGAGATCGCACTCGCGCTCGAGGGGGTGGACATGTCCAAAGAATACACGATCCAGGTGTGTTTGCAGTGGGTGGAAGTGCCGCACTCACACCGGTGGGTGCATGGGCCGCGTCGTGTACCGCGTTGTGCCCTTCAGAGTCTGAAGGACGAGGCATCGACGGCTGATAAGACCATCTATGGCGACGAAAGCCTGCCTGAAGGTCATCAATCAATCACCCACACGAGCACCAAGACGCCCCACACTTCTAGCACGATTTTGCCGGTCCGTGCGTCAATCAGGTGAGTATGTGGATGCGGGGTGGATTGAGCTGCCCGAGCCCGTCTTCCCCTCCTTCACCACCCCCGACATGCCGGCCGCCACCCACCATGACCACGATCAGCTCCTGGGCGGCCCTACACACATGCTGCAGCTGGTGAGCGCGATGTACCAGTCGGTGAGTCGGGACATCGCATTGGGCGAGGGGCCGGCGGAGTGTACGGTGGACGACCTGAATCTCAAGGACCTGTGTGCCAAGGTGCGGAGGGGAGGGGGGCGCATGTGCGTGGATGAGAGAAGCAGAGCGTTGGTTGGTCTCCTTGTGGCTGTATTGTGTGGTATGCAGGCTGTGGGTGTGGGCAAGACGGTGGTTGACGTCCTGCTGCATGAGCAGCTCCGATGTGGGGCATCGTCGTCAGAGGACGTGTCTCGCTCAGATGACCTCAGCACTGCTGCAGAGGAATGGGGCGCCCTCTTTGACGCAGAAGGTCAGCTGTCATCATCGCGTGTGAGGGATGGATGGATGGATAGATAGATGTCTCATTCCTTCATATCATCAGATGACATCTCTGCGTTTGAGATGCCCTGTGAGGAGAAGGTGGCGGCCACATCATTCCTGTGCGAGACTGTCTTCACAGCCACTGAGGTGCGGTATCCTCCTCCCCTCCCTGGTGCGCTTATGCGTGGGTGTTCTCTCTTTTCTGTGTGTCCAGGAGCTGAATGAGCTATGGGCGCCGCGCGACATCGGTATCGCAGCCATGGGTTTCGACGATGGTGCGCCCCCACCACACTACACCACCCCCGAGCGTCAGAACCCTGTGCTGCTTGTGTGTGTACGCCATGCAGTATTTCGCCAGCAGATGGCTGTCGCCAGCTGTGTCGGTCCAGAGGAGCGCAAGCACCGCGGGGAGAACGAAAAGGAGCTCAACTTCATGTCGGCATTCAGGTCAGCCAGCACGTATGGCACCCGCACACACAAGCTTCATTCCTGGTTTGGTGCATTGCTGCAGGCCCCGCTTCCTCGAGTCCTTGACCGACTTGGCCAGTGTGGCATTCCTCGTCTCAGGTACACACACATGAGTACACAGCCACCAGCAACGAGCGAGCAGCCGGTAGATATGTATTGTGTGGCCGCCCTCCCTCCCTCCTTCCCTCCCTCCTTCATGTGTTCAGAGCGTCGTCGCTTGGATTTCGACCTGCCGGTGCCCGACAGCCTCAAGCCGATGCCCTCACGATTCGCTGACCCCATCGAACGCATGAAAAAGGGCGAGAGGGGGTGAACAGCTAAACAAGAGAGAGGCACACACCCAAACACGGACACGTATACTACATTGGGGGTGCTTCCTTGGTGCAGTTCGTTGCGTGAGAAGGCGCTTCCCCTGTGGTCGTTTGCCGATATCAAGGACTACGTCTACACCTCACTGCTCAAGACACACTCGTCAATACTCAAGGTGGGTGTGGGTGGGCCAGCCGACCCAGGCGTGCGTCTCTTCGTCTATGGCTGTCTGGTTTGTGTGCCATGCAGGTGCCATCTCTCAGCCGCCCGTTGCATCTCGAGTTTCTCCGCCTCACCGCGCCCCAAACACCCACTTCTGCGTATGCAGCCATACACACACATGACACGTGCACTGACTGACATGAGTCCACACAAGGTGTCCTTGCGTGTCAGTGCCGCTGCTGACCCTCCAGCTGACGTGTTGGACGAGGCTATTCCCTCGGTGGATGGTAAGACAATGCCCAAACACTCACTGTAGCGAGCCGTCTACGCGTATCTCCTGGCTGTCCATTTGTGTGCTTCAGGATGCGTGTGGGACGAGAGCATCGAGGTCGCCCGACCGCCCTGCGCATTCAGTGTCTTCCAGCCACAGGCGCCCAACCAGCCCTCTCGCAAGCGCAAGTCCGAGGAGCCCCCGCCGGACGTCACCGAGGCATCCGCCGAGGCAGCCCCGCCGCCCATCCAATTGCTACCGGAGACTCACATGCAGGTGCAGGCGCAGGAGAATCCTTCCACCTCGACCCTTCCTCCAAACGAGTTGGCGACCGACGTGGCCCCTGTTCGCATCCACAACGCCCCCTCACGTGCCGGCGGGCTGGATGAGGTATGACGTCGTCAGAAAGGCACACAAGAGCAAGGGAGGGAAGGGTAGCATCTTTTGCTGCTGCTGCTGTGTCGTTGGTCTGTGTGTTTGCCGGGGTGACAGTTCATGGAGTTGAGGGGTCGCAAGTCGGTGAGTGCGGTTCAGAGGCAGGACGGAGACGAGGAGTCGCCACACTCGGTGGCCGAGAGAATCGCACGCGGTGAGCAAATGGACAGACAGAACCACACAGACAGACCTACCGGACGGAGGGAATCACGGCACCCTTTCTTTGTGACGTGTCTATCTGTGCAGGTCTGCGTCGAGGTCAGGTTCACTGGTGTTCGGATGGTGACGACTTTTGGGCGTTGGAGGGCCTCGTCGACTCGTCCATCAAACAGCTGTGGCGACACACCATGGAGGCCACACAAGGTGGCCGGGCCCATCATCGATGCGCGAGACATCACATCATTCACACCACACCCACCACAACATGCGTCCGTCCACTGACATCTGTTGTGTGCAGAGGAGTACCTCGGCCTCCCGCCGCCCGATCTGTCGGGTGTTGACTCCCTCCTCAGCAAGTGCGAAAAGGCCATACGCGAACTGCACGAGGTAAGGTACCTGGGCGGCTGGCATCCAACCAGCGAGACACCCATCTCATGACGGTGTCTCCCTCCCACTCCCTGCCGGGATGGATTGCCTGCAGGTGTGTGTGGGCGACGGTGGATCTGCGTCAGAGGAGACCAAGAAGCAGCTGGTGTTGTGCAGCGAGGTCTATCGCACTCTCACGGCGCTGTGGACGCTCGTTGCCATTCACGACAAACTCACGGACGCGGGCGTGTCAGAGGTCAGCCAGCCAGCCAGCCAGCATATACCTCTTCTGCAGATGGATTCGTGTTTGTCCAGGCTGTGGCGTTTGCGTCAGTGGTGTACTTGGACGGTGCCTATCACGAGATCCTCTCTGCCAACGTGTTGGTGATGGACGCACTTCGCGCCCTCTTCAGCTACCGCGAGCTCTCCTTCCCACCCAAACCCGTCACAGAACCTGAACACCTCTCCGAACGCGTCAGTGTGCCCACCACACACACCAACGAAACGACAAATGGGATTCGGTGGTGGTGTTTTGTTGTCAGAATGATCGCGACAATGCGCTGGTGTGCAGTGGGCTGCCCTATGTGCCGTCGCCGACCGAGGCCTATCTCGCCAAGACCGACTCGCCCAAACTGCAGGGGGTGGCGAAGCTCTGCGAGAAATACCCACGGGTGCTCGTCGTATTCTCCTCTGAAAAGGTCGCCACACGTGGATTATTGGCAGCATAGCATGTCTGTCTCTGTCTGTGTGTGTGGTGGGTGCCACTGGGTGGTGTGCCGTTGCGTGCAGGTGATGGATGTGGTGGTGTCTGTGATGAAGCGTCGGTTCGACAGCAAGATGGACGTGATGCGGCCCACACTCCCCACACCCAGGAGAATCGCAATGCTCACGACCTCATCCAAAATCGCCATCCACGAGGCGTGTTTCTTCAAGACTCTCCCGGCGGCCTCGGGGAGCCGTGCAGCACTGGAACCTGCCTTCGAGATACCACCCTCCTTCGTAAGCCACCCAACTCACCCAATGCGACAGAGAGAGAGAGACAAGAACGTCTTTGTTTGTGTGTGTGTGTGCTGGCAGGTCGTGGTGAGCTACCAGTCGCTCAACATCATCTCACATGGTCGACCAGAGAGCACTCACTCGACGCACATGATATGCCGTCACTCACCCTCATAGACGGGTTTGCCGATGGATGAATGTAGGGGACCTTCTGACGGACGCCATTCACATCTTCCTGTCGGTGCCACCGCCCACAGAGACACAACAACAGCATGATGAGCCCAAACAGACGGCGGACGGCAAGGCCGCACAGCCGCCGTAAGCGACCAGACTACACAAACACAAAATTTAAAGGGGGCCTGCCTTGTCACCCGGTCCGTGTCGTCAGGCGTACGACCATCTTTGCCAGCATGCAGCTCATCCAGTGGCAAGGTCAGTCAGTCCACACACGCAGAGCCTCGTGCACGTAAGGAGTGCGTTAACGAAGGAATGCCTCTGTGTGTGTGTGTGTGTAGACTTCCTGCTGCGGTTGCGTGTGAAGCATGCGATAGAGTGTGAGGAGAGGGAGCAGCTCGCCTTCGCCGAGGCGGACCTCGTGCTCGGTAGGCCCACCCAGACACACACATAACACCTCCATCCATCCATCCACCCGCTGCTCATCCATCCATCAGATCACGAGACGTGTGTGTTGTTTGTGGACATCGAGCGGTCGACCGACGAGAGCATACAGTCGGCACTCAGACAACTCGTCGACCTGCAGCTGTCCTTCCAACAGGTATGTGGGGGACTTAGTGAGGGAGTGAGTGGGTTGGCCAGCGAGACACAAGGGACACACCCTCCCTCCCTCTGCCCCATGTCTTGTGTGCCTGTGTGTGCATGTCATGGATGCAGGTGGTGGTGGTCTTGTTCGGTAATTGGGAGCTGGCCAAATCCAGCCACCAGGACCACTTCCTCGCAACCATCTCACGACTACCACGGTCGGTGACCATCTCATACACACACACACTGTCTCTGTCTGGTGTTGCGGACATAAATGTGTTCATCTCTGCAGGCCGTGCGCGATTCGATTTGCGAAGACACTGGACCAGGCGGCCGACTGTGTCAGCTGGTAACCAAAGAAATGATCCGATGTGGCCACCCGCCCAACAACCAAAACATGGAGATGTCTGCAAATGGGTGGGTGGCTGCAGTGAGCTTCGTCGCGTGGAGAGTATCTGGTCTAAGCGTGGGGAGGGGGACATCTGGCGGCAGCTGCGCACATTTACACAGCGCAAAGAGACCAACCTCGAAAACGCCATGGCCATCTTACCAGGTACTTACACCGGCTGCGAGCCAACAAAGCTTCCCCTCAAACACCAAACCAACTCTTTGTGGTGTGGTGTGGTGTGCTGTAATGTGGTCTGCTGTGGTGTGGTGTGTATCATCAGGCCACAATTGTTTCAACGCGTTGTTGGCACTGAACGCCATGTCTGCCGAGCGCATGCCGCTGGGGGAGATCATGTCCTACGACCGTGACAGCCTCGCACGGCTCTTCCCGTGGCTCGATGAATTCGCTGTCGACGCATGCCTCGTACAGACATCACATCATCATAGCCCACGCCCCCACATACTCTCCCTAAGGCCTCTGTTCTCTGGTGGTGTGCTGCAGGCGACTTTCACGAAGAGCATGGGTCTGGAGGTGGTGCCCTCGACAGCTATCCAGGACGACCTGCCAGCAGCAGCTGCAGCTGCAGCAACGGCAGTGGCAACAGACGACATTGAGATCGAGGGTGTGGGAGGGTTTGCCGAGGGCCTCCCCATGCACGGTCGCCCCCTGACGTCGATGCCGCACGAGTACATGCCCGGACCTGTACCTGGCCAGCCTCACCCCGCCAACCACCCCCACGCCCCTGCTGCATCCGAGTCTGAGCCCTACAACGAGGCCTCCTACCTTTTCCCACCTCGACAGATGCCTCCCACACACACGCGAGAGCCCCCCACATCTGAACCAATGGGTGGGCGGCCGATGATACAATCTCGCCCACTTGCTGTGAGTGTCTCGTTCGTTCAGCGTTTTCCGGTCTGCTTGGGACGTCGGTCGACTTCCCATCCCCCAGGCCGATACCCCCGATGCAGCACGACGAGTACAGCCAACCAGCCGAACAGCGTGGCAACCCCTTCCACGCCACCAACCCATTCGACGGCGAATTGCCGCCCGGCTGGTATGAGATCCCGGAGGAGCCTGGGACCTACGTGAACTGGCCAGTTTCGTCTGCTCTCGTCGACCACTGGCCCCACAAGCAGCAGCAGCAGCGCAGCAGGGCTGCAAGTGTGGCCAGCCTGGGGGGGCCTGGCGCGTCCAGCATGACGATTGTTGACAAGCAGCAGCGGCAGGCGCCGTTCTGGGAGGCGCCGGGGCGGTCCTTCATGTCATCCATGCAGCCCGCTCGCCCTCAGCTGGATGCACACATGCCCTCCCTTTACCCGTCGGACTCATCGCAGTACTACCCCAATCACAATCTTCCCCCGCAGCCCCCGGCCACCGACCCTCTGCCACACACCTCACCCGCACACGCAAACCCACACATCAACCCACGGTGGGTGGATGGACCAGAGATAAATGCACCTCTCTCTCTCTCTGTCAACACACGTCTCTCTCTCTCTCTCTCTATGTGTGTGTGTGTGTGTGTGTGTGTGCGTGTGGTCGTCAGGTTCCAGCAGGCTGACGTGTACAGCCCCCCTTCCAGGCGTGTGAGGCCATCGTACCACTACCAGCCGTACCAGTCATACCAGTACCAGCAGCAGCGGCAGCAGCAGCCCCCTCACTCATCGCGCGAGTACAGTGTGATGCATAACATGGCTGCTGACGGCAGTGAGGACGGGCACGTGTGCGACAAGATGCAGCGGTATGCATCGACAGTGGTGGGGGGCGGCGGGGGACGGCACACATACGACACACAGCCACCCCAATACGGCAGCGGTGAGACAGACATGTCGATTGGCGTGGGTGACCCCTTCAGACGATTGCCCTTTTGTGTTGTCCTTGTTTCCTTGTTTTGTGTGTGTTTCAGGTGGGGGGGACTTCGTGTACGGTGGCCAATTTGCTGAGTATGAGAATCCCGTCGACCACTGGCCCCACCACCACCCCCACCATCAGCAGCAGCAGCAGTACCAGCAGCAGTACCAGCAGCGGCATGCCCACGAAGGTGCGGAGAAACCCACTGCAACCAATCATAAGTGCCTCGCTGCTGATGATGTATGTGTCCTCTGTGTCCTTGGCAGCCCGCACGCCGTTCAAGCGAGGCCGCACACCAGCCCGCAACATCCGCATCATGCAAGTCGACGGTAGACCAACCCCCCCCACCCCCACCCCCCAACACCAAAGGACCCATGGCGCTGCACCTTCAGCCCTTGTCTGTCCGTCCATTCACACACAGGTATGGATGCATATTTGCGTGAGCACAAGCCCGCCATGAGCAGCCACGGCCGCATGTCCACGTCTGATGCACACCCCCAGCCATCCCCCGGCCGCCCAGCTGACGTTGACTTCAGCGACTTCTCCTACCAGGGCAACTCGACCAAACCGGCCAGCAAGACGCCAGCCACGGCCGGGCGGCCACGGGCGTTCGTGCGCTTCTCCAAGACACCCGGAAAGTGAGAGAAGACGTGCAGGTCCCCGTATGCTCGATTCATTGATGGTGTGTGTGTGTGTGTGTGTGGTTAGGCGGCAGACGAAGTTGTACTTGCAGCCGGTGCGGTGAACCCTCTCGCATCACTCATGGCGTTTCAGGGCGTGGCGTGGCGTGGTGTGCTTCGATGAGGAACCCGATGTCCGTGTCCTTTCATGTCAGTGCACATCCAGGTGCACCCATCATGACCATCTGTGACCGACTCGCAAGTCATCGACCGACGAAACGATGAGTGAGTGAGTGGAATACGTGTGTCTGTGTGTATGTGTGTGCCTGTCTCTTGGTATTGCGCGTGTCCTTGCCCACTCGTCACTCTAGTACCACATGCCACAGACATCAGAAAAAGAACCACGCACATAGACACTGGGGGACGGCAAGAGCGAAGTGCAGTCAGTCAGTCAGTCGGCCGGCCGGCGCACACGCACAATACAACGGCACACCAGGCATGTGACCACGGCCGGCAGTGAGTCGATGCCTCGCCTCTCTGAGAATCAGCTTGCAACCAATACAGAGAGAAGCTCATGCACCAGCCACACCACGCAGCCACCACTCCACGGTCACCGAGCAGCATGAATCAAGAGGGAGCATAGAATTGAACACACATGTCAGAAGCGAGTACCAATGCAGAGATGCAGCCACCGATAGATAAACCGCCATAAGCCAGTCGACACGCACACACACACACACACACATGCACACGGAGGGGCCGGTCGGCCGCATACACGCAGGCAGACATGGGTAGGGTATCGATGCGATTAATAAAGGAGTGAGACATGCACTGCACGGCACAGGCAGTGGCTGGCTCAGTGGGCCGTCCGTTCGCTCGGCAGTCGGTAGCGAGCGGCGGCAAAAAGGCCGCCATCTGCCGGCGACACACACGGCACTCATGGCATGGCACGGCATTACACGGCACGGCACGGACGCACAGACGGATGAATGGACGAGAGAGACCACACGTACGCACGAGAGAAATGTGATATGACCGACCGACAAACCGACACGGCTCCCCCTCTCCCTCCCTCCCTCCCTCGGTCTACACTACACTGCACGCATCACTGCACAAGCTCAGGCAGGCCCAATAAAACACACACATAGCACAACGCAATGCATTCAATACAACACAACACAACACAACACAGCTTACACGTCCACATTACACGTCCTGCACTGTGGTGCTGGGGGTGACGAGGACCGGCACTGTGGTGCTGGGGGGGGTGATGGTGCTGGGGGTGACACTGCCGCAGTAGGCCATCGTGGTGGTGGCGGTGGTCTCAGTGGTCTCAGCTGTGGTCGTCACGGTGTGGTCCTCCCCATCCTTGAGCTGCTTGAAGGCCTGACCACGGCCGTAGTCCTTGCCGCCGGTGACCAGGTGGTCGGGGAGCGGCTTGCCCACTAGGAACCAGAAGGCCACCGTCGCCACCACATAGCCGATGAAGGTCAGACCGTACTCGGGCATCCCGAAGGGAACAGCTATGTAGCCCAGACACAAGGCCAACATCGCACCGAAGCACGCATAAGGCAGCTGAGATACACAGCACACATACAGAGAGGGGTCGTGTGGGCCATGATGTGTGTGGCTCGCGTCGCGAGTGCATACCTGCGTCTTGACATGGTCGATGAGGTTGCACCGAGTGGCCACCGACGACAGCACAGTCGTATCCGATATGGGGGAGCAGTGGTCACCGAAGATCGCGCCGTCCAACACTACCAACACGCACGACAGACAGACAACACCCACACTCCTGGTCTGAAATGAAGCAGGTGATGTGTCTGCGAACCGACCTGCCGATGCGGTGAGGAATATGAGTTTGACCCCCAGTGGCGACAGGCCGAACCGCCCGCCCTCCGCGCGCTCACTCAGACGGTACGCAATCGGCACCGTCACGGGCAGCAAGATGCCCATCGTGCCCCAACTCGTACCTACACAGCACACGCACACACACACACGTCAGGGACGGGATGAACGGCGTCTTCGCTCAGCTCACTCACCGGTGGCGAGGGCACAGACAGCGGCGAGGATGAAGGTAACGAGTGGAACGATGCGCGCGTCGACGTTGCCCATCAGCCCTGAGATCCAGTCGCCTGTGCCCATGCCGTCGCACACTTTTTTGATGCCCCACGCAGACATCAGCACGAAACAAGACGACAGCATAAACTGCAGACACACAGACAGACAGACATCCACCAACACAACACAAGAGACAACGTCATGGTGCTGACTGACTGACCTTGACGCCGTTGAAAAAGGCTATCACGCAATCCTCAACCTGAACCAACACACACACACCACACACACGGACAGACGCACTGATGTGCCCTTCCATCCTCTCTCTGTCCATCCATCCTTTGTGCTGACTGACCTTCAAGATGCCCTGGTAGATGGGCATGAGCGACGCAATCAGCGTGCCACACAGCGACACCACGAACAGCACATAGGAAGAATCGGCCGCGCCAAAGCTCAGTCGCCACGCGGCCTCATTAAAGATGTGAGGACCCCCAGGGATCTCGTCGCCCTCCTCCAGGATCATCGCTTGGCCGTTGAGGAACATGCCGAACAGGGTGCCCACGACCACGGCAACGAGCGGCACGACGCTGTTGTACCACCGCAACGGTGCGCCGAGAGGCGGCTTGTTGGTCCGCCGACGGAACTCCTCGTCAGGAAGCGTCTCGCGGAGCCTCTGTGGCAGGCAGGCAGGAAGGCATCACACCAACAACTGCATATTTGACGATCGGCTAATCCCTGCCTCTGTGCCCTCCCCACCGACTCACCTCGATCTCGTCTTCGTCAGCGTTGGCCTGCTGGTCCCACAGCCGGCCGGTGGTGAGGGCACGCCTCTCGGCCGCCAGCATTGGGCCCCAGTCGCGGCGCATCAGCGTGCCCAACACGATCACGAAGAGTGCGGCGTAGCAGTAGAAGCGGTAGGGCAGACAGTCGATGAACATGGCATAGCCATCCTCACCCAGATTCAACTGCAAGCAAAAGATACAGACAGACATAGGATAGGCAGATGGGAACGAAGGCACGGGAAAGCAACAAACAGAAAGTAAGTGCCTCTGGTCTAGAGAGGTCCGTGTGAGAGCATGTGGTTTCGATCCCCCTAACCTCCTTCGAGACGTCTTGCAGCAGGCCGACCTCGAAAGAAATCCACGTCGAAATGACCGCAACACCAGCAACTGCACCGCGCACGCACGCACCGACACGCACGCACGCACCATCACCGACCCCCAGGAGGCTTCTCCAGGTGTGTCAGGGCTTCTTACTGGGTGCAGCGGTAGAGTCCACGAGGTAGGCGAGCTTCTCGCGTGACACGACCATGCGGTCGCTGAGCGGCCGGATGGAGTTGCCGACCACGACTGAGTTGCCGTAGTCGTCGAAGAAGAAGACGATTCCCATGATGAATGTGGCGATGCGGGTGGTGTAGGGGGTGCGGGCGAACCGCATGATCTGCTGCACCAGGCCGTCCATCCCCCCAGACCTCTGCATGATGGCAATCATCCCACCGATGCACATCGAGAAACCCAGGATACGCGCATTGAACGTGTCCCACAGGACACTGACACACACACACACACCGCCTCAGGCTCCTGTGCGTGTCTGTGTCATTGATGGTGTGTACTTGAAGTAGTAGTGTTCAAACACGTCCCAGGGCGGGAAGGGCTGCGCCGACTGCACCCACAGGCCTCCGAAGACGACACCGAATGTCAGTCCCCAGATGACGTCCCGGAACACCGATGCGTAGGCAATGGCGATGACGGGCGGGAGAACAGACCACCAGCCGCCGTACCACCACGGCTTGTCGTTCCCCTCCCCCTTCTGCTGCTGCACGTCGCCGCAGCAGGGCTCTGAGATGATCGCCAGCACGGCGCAGAAAGCCGCAATAATGCCCAAGAAAATACACCACTTCTGCACACGTCAATACGCGACAGCCAAGGAATCGAGGGACGTCCGTGAGAGATCCGTGTGTGTGTGTGTGTGTGTCTGTGTGTTATGCGGTGTGGTCGGTGGCTGACCTTCCATTTGGCTCCGAAGAGGCTGTATAGGCCTGCTGTGGTTCCTGCTGGTATCCCCTTGAGGGAAGTGGCGAAGTCGGCGCAGTGGATAGGCTCCAGATCATCGGCCTCCATGGCTGCAGCACGTGATCACCTCCCTCTCTGTCGCTTCACCCACCTCCTCACGTCTGCGACATACACCGATTACAGACACAGAACACGCCACCATCTTGACACCATCGTCAGCTCCGCATCTCCACTTCTCTCCCAACGCGCATACCTGTCGTGATTCTTCGTGTTTGGCCCTCTCCTTGAGGATGGTGGTACAGATCTCTGTCAGGAGAGCGAGCCCTCCTTCGCCTCACACTTGCGAGCTTAGCCACGGAGAGAGCGGTTTCACGCAATGTCCTAACTCGCCCGAAGCGGTCCTCGATCAAACGAACGACATGCAACAGGAATCACCCACGCACGCTCCACATGCACAGAGGAACCCAAGGAGGAGCTTAGCCGGAAGATGCGAGCTCAGAATTTGTTGCACATAGACGTCCGTTTGTGGCGACTTCGATCTTTTCCTCTCCAGACTGCACGGTGGATCTGAAGAGCTCTGTGCCATCCCAGGTGGCGGCGAGATCATCGCGATGAGTCGGCAGAGAAGCTGCAAGACGGCGGGTGCCGACCCGCACCTGAGTCAGAGCGACGTCGATGCTCTCGCGACAGATCTGCTGTCAACGGATCCCACCATGGCAGCCGCAGCAGCCAGGGGGATCGTCAGCGCTGACGCGAAGGGGACTCTTACGAGTGAGCACATCCGTCGCATTGTGGCCACAGCTGCTATACAGCAAAGATGGTCTCCGTCGAGCGCTACTTCGGCTGGCGGACGACAGCGACAAAGAAGCGCGGAACGGCATCGCTTTAGTGCTCCCAATTTTTCTTACGACGATCCGGTCCACTCTTCCCACTCTGCAGCCATCTCAGCTCGTCGCTGTGGCCAACGTCGTCATTCAGACGGTCAGCACCACACGGAAGGAGCTGACGGCGGGTGGCGAAAGCGACCAGCTGCAAGACCAGCTGCAAAAGTGTGTGATGACTGTGCGGCTGGCGCTTCTGGCTTACGTGTTTCGGGCGGTGCGGCAGGCTGCACCACGGCAGTTCGCGGCTGTCCGCGATTCGTTTCTGGCTGACCACCTGGCGACTCTCAAGCAGTACCTGACACTCATGGCAAACAAGAATTTTCTGGGTCTTATGGTTGAGGCCTGTGATTCTCTGTTTTCGCCGGAGGGGAGCTACCCGGATCCCTCCCCGATCCCCCTGCGTCTGGCCCTTCCGCCGATGACACTCCTGACGGAGTATGTGGCGCAGCTGGCAGAAGGGGCGACTGACATGAGCGCAGAGGGGTGGCGGCGGGCAGTTGATTTATGTCACGTGGCTGCAAGTGCAGCCCTTGTAGCATCGAAGCAGCCTGACAGATGTAAGTCGGAACATAGTGAGTACTACACAGGTGCTGACTCAATGTTGTTGTCCGTTGTCTTTCTGTGTGCGCGCACCCATCCATCCAGCGGTCGGTGGGAAGGACGTCAAGCGACTGGTCGAGCAGCACCTTTTCGCACATGTGGATGAGCTCGTGCGCATCATCCTCACGGCAGAAGGGGTCACGGTGGGTGTTGCGGCTGTTACCCTGAGTAGCCTGTCCGGGTGTGCCTTTGCACTGAGCGCGCAGTGGCGCTCCCTTCTTTCCGCCTTTCCCCTGTCGTCGTGGCGGCCACTTCTGAACAACCCACAGCCACTCGCCAAGGCAGCCGCTGCCATCCCTACACATGACATAGAACGCTCGGTGATATGTGATCTGCTGGCGGTGCCCGCGAAGGTGGCCGTGGGTAAGGTGCACAGAGGACGAGGGGACATGTGTGCAAACGGTTGGTTGCCTGATGTGCTTCTATATGTTTGGTTGGGTGAGCAGCTTCGGATGACATTGACACACTTGGTGCCCTGGCAGAGGCTCTCTGTCGGCTGCTGCTGGAACCCCTGTCGTCAGCAGGCGTCAAGGCCATCGTCACCGATCTGAAGCGCATGCTCGAGTGAGTGAGTGAGTGGACGCATTCGGTGGTGGGGCCAAACGTAACGTCGTGCTACATGATTTTTTGTGTGTGTGTGTGTCTGTCGTTGGCTGCCGTACAGGTGTGGTGACGGTATGGTCGCTCGTGGCAAAGCGACAAGCAACTCTCTCATTGATCAGATCGCGCATGTAAGTAACCAAAACCCATATGTCGATCGCCACGTGTCCGTGTCTGTCTGTGTGTGCGCTTTATTGCCAGTGTGAGGCCGTCCAGCAGCTGAGACGCCGCCGTGACCTGTCAATAGAGGTAAGCGACGCAGCCAACGAAACCACACGACCAAACGAAACGAGTCGATGGGTGCCTCTCCGCTGATACCTCCGGCCTTTTGTACAGGTGACGTCATTCATCCAGTCGCTCCCAAAGACGGTCAAAGTGTGCAGCAGCTCAGCCGCGACGGACCGATCGCACCGCCCAGCCAAACACAAGACAGCCGCGCACACCCATCAGGCGTCAGGGCCTCCTCCGCCGCCCCGCTCCCCCTCGCCGCAGCCCTCATCACCCGTCGACGCCGATGCGCTGGTGGACGGCCTGCTGTCTGACGATATCGAGACGTTCACCTCGGCAGGCAAAGCCATCGCTGACCAGGTGACGACTGCATTGGCCAAGCGGCTGGCCGTGCGGGTCGGAAAAGAGAAGAAGCTTTTCCGTCGCCTCCTGATGCGCCTGGTGGATAGCGGAAACGAGAAATGTCAGCTGGCGGCCGCTGACCTGCTGGTTAGCCTCTTCTCTCATGGCCTCCTGGAGCACATGGCCCCGTCAGATGGCGTGCGGGCCGTCCAGGACATCTTCGATATCCTGACGTGGGGGGATCTTGAGGAGGGAGGAGTGGGAGGCGACCTGGGTGGGGAGGTCGACAGCATCATCTCGTCTGCTATCGTCGAGGCATCGTCAGGCGACGAGCCGCTGCCCCGTGCCGTCGACGTCGTGACGTATGCAAGACTCCGGCTCATCGAAGGAGCTCTGCAACAGGCCACCTCCCTTGAGGCGGCAGGACGGCTCCAGCTTCGCGAGAGCTTCTTCCAGACCCATCAAACAACCCTCCGGCAGGTGTTGGCGATCATCCGCGAATACAGACATCGACTAGTGGCTGGAGCGGCCGTCGCTTTGCTGAATGTGCTCTTCACGCCCAGCCCCCTCGGCCCCAGCCCTTCGGTCGTGCTCGAGTCCTTCTCATTTTCGTCGAGAGCCTGAAGCAGCTGCGAGATGAGCAACCAGCGAGGACGAGGCTCTTAGTATCGCCACTGATCCGGGCTGCAGACTACCTGTGGGACTCTCCTTGCGAAGGTCAGAAAAGTGCAGGTCGATGCGTTCTTTGCACAAGTCTGCTCTCTCTTGTTTTGACAGGCATTGTGGAGGAGTGGCCGGCCATCAAAGCGGCTCTCAACACACACGTCTACGCCCATCTGGACACGCTGGTGTCCCGCATCAAAGCGTCCGATCCTTCCTCTTTCCTGGGCTTTGCGACAATCACCATAGTTGGAGCTCTTTTCGAGACCGCTCTCATCCTCTGCGTCCGAAAGAATAAAGGTATGAGGTGAAGGAGACTGATACCTGTGGGGTATACATGTGTGTGCAGGTGGCCCTTTGCAACAAGGCGACTTCGGCAAGTACATCGAGCAAGCCGGGGTGGTGAGAACACTCGCTGCTGCCCCGCCCCCGATGCAGCCACTTCGTGCTCTCGTCCTGGATGCCACACTGGGAGATCGGGTGGCCAACGCGTTGGACATGGACTGCAGAGCGCACGAGGATCCAAGGAACTTCTTGGCAGATTACATCACGGCTGCTCTGGTCACGTCTCTGGTCATCCCAGCCATGGCCATGATAGGTGAGTCAGTCCGTCGGCTCACCTCCCGGGGTTCTTCAACCATGCGTGTGTGTGTGTGTGCAGATGATGGAGAGGCCGGCAGACTGATAGAGTCGAGGTTCGTGTCCACCCTCATCCCGCTGCTGGGCAGGGCGGAGAGGACGAGCGTGACTATGATCGCCCTCTGCATGCGCTGTGTCATGGGACTCAGTCAGAGAGATCGGAAGGTCAGCAGAGGAAGGTCACTGACCTCCCATCTCATTTGGACCTGTGGTGCGTTTCTTTGTGTAGGTGTTGGGGACCGATGGACTGGCAAAGGTCATATGTGACGTGCTGCTCAAGGACGCACAGGGACAGCTCCTTCTCGCAGACGTCCTCCGTGACACTGACCGCAAGACGGCTGTCGACATTCTCAAGAGCATCGTCAGGTCAGCCGTGTGCTGCAGACAGGGAAGTCCGACGCATCCTTGAGTGTGTCTGTTTGTCGCTGTGTCATGTGTGTCAGCTATTGCAAGTCACTGGTCGTCAAAGGAGCACCGAATCCCATCGTCGGACAGATACTGCAGGTGTGCACGCCGAGGGTCGTGTGTGCTGTGCCCACCCGACTGCCTGTCTGTGTGCCGCCATGTCAGTTCAAGTCCGTCAAGGCGTTGTGTGACCCCACCAGCGGCATCGAGGTCTCACGACATGTGAGCAACGCTCCTGCACAGCACGAAGCTCTCCTCTTCACCTCTCTCTGCCACATCAGGTGTCGGATTTCTTGGATGCCCTCGCCCAACAGCACCAGAAGGATACCAAGGCCCAACCCAAGACCGCCGCACAGCCAACCATTTCAGCCGCCCAGCTGGCGGCCCAGGACGCCAAAGCGAAGCGGATGGAGAAAGCCCTTCTCGAGCAAGAGCGCCGCGAGAAGGAGGCCAAGGCGAGAAAGGACCAGAAGGCCAACAAAGGAAAGGGCAAGACCAAGAGAGGCAAGGCCACAAAGGGCGGCAAGGGACAGCAGCTGGATGCTGCAGGTGGGGATGAGGCGAGCCCCTTTGATCCGATCATGGAGCCATCGGTGCCCTCCACCGCCGCATCCACCAGGTAGGGAAGCCATCCACCCACTATAGTGCATGGTGCATATGGTGCATGGCTGATGGAACTTGTGCCTCGTGTCTATCGGTGGATGTGCAGTCGGGCTTCTGCTGCCGATGAGGCGAGTCAGCTGGAGCCCTCTTCGTGGATCGCCGACACGTGAGCAATCCATCCGCTTGACGAGATCCCCTGACACGTTTGATTCCTGTGTGTGTCTGTCGATCCCTGTTTTTGCAGGTCTGGTGCGTCTGGTGTGTCATCCGTGTCAGTCGCTGGGGGCAGCGACCTGCCTGGTGATGGTGGCGATTCAGCAAATTCGGCGGCTGTCGTAAGTGATGATGATGAGGACGGCGACGCTATGCTGATCAACTCGGCGTTCGGACAACACGCGCGGCAACAGAGGAACCAGGGCAAGAAGAAAAAGACAGAAGGCAAACACAACACCAGGCCCACCCCGACGCCTACATCTCAGCCGAGCCAGCCGTCTCGCCCCTCACTCCCACCCGCACTCAGGACCAACCAGACTGGGCAGATTGGGCGCCCTCCACTTGCCGCCAATGAGGATCGTTATCGCGGCGGCACAGCACCCATTCGGATGCCCGCACCCATCCCCCTCTCAAGCGCCCACTTCCCCAAGGGTCGCTTCAAGATGTCACCTGGCAATGGGGGGCTGGCCCCTCCTGTGCCGAAGCGTCCCATGATTCCCCGTCCGCTGCTGTCTGACGATGACAGCCCGTCTGGCTGGGCGTCGCCTCCCCTCCGGCCAATGGGAGGTCGTGGGGCGGGGAGGGGCCGCATGACCATGTTTGCCCACCGCCCGCCCCCTCCTCCCTCCATCCCGTACTCCCCATTCCCGTCGGCTGAGGAGCTGCGCAACAGATCATTACTGCAGCACACTGGACAAGACGACCAACAGCAGCCGACACGTGCCGAGAGGCCGAGGTGGGATGGTCGCAGACAACGAATGTCGTGATGTGATCGCAATGATGGCTTCTCTCCTGCTGTGTCTGCAGTCTGTCTACTGCTGGTCCTTCGCTGAGTCGCTTCTTCGCCCATGCGCCTATCGGGCCCGGCCAACCGGCTGCTGCTGCCGCTGCTGGCGGACCTGGCGCTGGGGGGCTGTCAGCTGATCTGTTCTACGACAGTGAGGGTGACGACATGTACTGTGTGCCGCCCCCGCCGGCCTTTTCAGCACCACCTGCGCCACACTCACCGATCGACCCAAGGTGACACGGGCGCGACACCCACATCAACAACGCTTGTACCGATGAGTGCTTGCTCCATGCCTATCATGCTGTGTAGTGCTTTCCATCGGATGGGTCCCTCGATTCCTGTCAGCTACAATGACGGCCCCCAGCCGTCCGGCGCCCCGTCAGATCCGTTCGGTATTCCTTATCCCCTCCCGTCTGGCCCACCAGCACCGGCATCTGCTGCTGTTGCTGGTGGTGGCTTGTCGGCTGACCCGTTCTATGGCTACGACAGTGGTGATGACGATATGTATGTGCCGCCCCCGCCGCCCATATTTGAGTATGAGGAGGAAGGGTACCAGCCGCCCTCATCGAGCAGTCCAGCCGACCCCTTCGCTGCGGCCCAGACGGCCGGGACCATGCAGGGCGGCAATGTCGGGGCATCCACAGGGTATACAGATGCAGGCAGAGAGGAAACCGACAGCACGTATCACTCTGTTCCTCTGCTGCTGTGTGTTTGTGTATAGGTTTGGTGCGGGGATGGGTGCTGGTGCGTCTGGGAGTGAGGAGCTTGTCGATCAGCTCTGCCGCCAACTCGAGCAGAAGGACCAGGAGGCCAAGCGGAGAGCCCGTGAGGCCAAGCGAAGGGCTCAGGAGCTGCAGGAGGCCCGGGAGAAGGAACAAGAGGCCAAGCGGAATGAGGAGGCGCTAATACGCCAGCTGCAAGAGGCGCAATGGACGTAAGGAAAGCAATGGGGGGCCTCGCCTCTGTCTGCATCCATACGTATCTCTCGCTCTCATCAGGATTGCCAAAATGGCCGCGCAGCAGTCATCCCACCACCACCACCAGCACCAACCTTCGTCCAGCAGTTCATCGGCCCCCCCGCCCCCCTCCTCATCATTCGCCCACCCTCACCCATCCACACACGCCAACACAACAATGCACCAGCACCAGCAGCAGCATGACAGTGGGAATTATGACGACTGCGACGTGTGTTTTGGGGAGCACGGCCAGGCGACCATCATGTACGTCCCCTGCTGACACATGCGTGTGTGTCCCCACTGCTATGAGGACCGCAAGGCCGCCTGGCAGCGGGAGCTCAGCCGAGTGAAGGCGGAGAACGACCGCCGTCGCGAGGAGAACGAGGTCGCCAGGAGACTTAACGAGACCCGCAGCCAGGAGGAGCAGATCTCGCTGGTGAAGCTGCTGGATGAGCCCGAGTACACCTGCGAGCACTGCAAGGCCAAGGTGGAGTTCGCCGGCACCGTGGACGATTGCATCAAGTGGGTGGCCAGACCGTTCAAGTGACTCACTGACTGTTCGACGGACGTGTGGAGGAATGCTTTCGCGGCTGTGTGCTCCGTCGTGGGCGGATCGATATTGAGAAAGCATGGTCATGTGAGTGGGGAAGCGTGTGGGTGTTTGTTCTGTGTGGCGTATCAAGCAAAGGCGTACACACAGCGCAGGTATCTTGTCGTGTGAGTTTGTGGCCGTTTTTGTCTGTCATTCGCTCCATTGCATACACACACACATACGAACGTCTGTGTATGTCTGCCCCTTTATGTATGTGCCTACGTGTGTGTCTATGTGTGTACGTATTGGCGGCCTTCCATGCGTCCGACCCTGTGCATGTGCGTCCACACACTGCTCGCTGCATGTCCGTGTGCGTGTCCATGTGCATGCCGGCATGTCAATTTATGCAGACAGACAGACCAACACTTTGGTGCGTGAGGACCTCTGACGGAATGGACTCGACTACTCAATTCTCTCAATTCCTACTCGATCCTCTCGGGCCGCCCGTGCCTGCTCGTATGTTGCCGTCGTTCGCAGCGCGTTGCATATCCATCTGTTTGCCCATACACACTTATATTCGAGTCGACCATTCATTCCGTCAGATCCACGCACATAAATGTCGAGCAACAGGCAGGCACAGTGAGCACACACAAACAGGGAACTCATCCGAGAAAGCCACATCTGTATCTGTCTGTATGTCTTAGACACGAAATGCCGCCAAAGTCAGACGATTGGGAAGCCCGTCCTCTCTCCTCCTCTCTCTCGTTGTGTCGCCCCCCACCACCCCTCCGAGCCACGCTGAATGGGCAAGTCACGAAGTGTATGAACATAACACAAATACGGAAAACACAACAAATGCAGGCTGCGTGCTGCTTAGTTAAGTATACAATGACGTCACATCACACTCACACACACTCTACTGATGGAATGCCTCGTAGGCGCGCTGTTCCTCCAGCTTCGCCAAATCGTCCGGAAAGACACACGGCGCGAACAGCGGATGGCGTCGAGGGTCGCCCATCCTCCCTGTGAACACGCACACACATACACAGACACACATCGACAGACACGCACTTCCGCCTGTCCGTGTCTCTTGCTGTGCGTGCTGTGTGTCTCACTCACTCACCGTTTCCATCTGTCCTCTGTATGAAGTCGATCTTTATCTCATCGGTGAGGCACTGCCGCGTCACCGCGCGGAGGGTGCTCCTGGCTGTGGTGCTCCCCGGCACGTTCCAGAGCGCCTTCCTGCTGTAGAAGTCTTGAAGTCGCAGCCTCTCCCTCACCGCCGCAGGATCGTCGTAGACCTCTCGCAGTAAGGGAGTGAGGGATTCGCGAGGGGACCGAGCGAAGTCGGGGCCGTCGATCGCATAGGTGAAATTCCTACACAGATGCATTCATACGTAACATATATTGGCACACAATTAGTGTGTGCAAGACCCTGCTTCCTTCCTGTCCTCCTCCCTCACCCACTCGCCCACCCACTGACCTCCGCGGAATCTCACATTGGAACGGGACCCCAGTCTTGAACATCTCCTCTGTCTCTGTGATGAGCACGTTGAGAGTCCGCGTCCACAGCCCGTCGAACAACCGGTTGCTTGTCACATCGTCGCCCCGGAAGCAAAGATTGAGCTTTGAGTTGCCCAGCCGATGCAGAAACGTGGCCGCCGCATAGCGGCCACGATCTGTTCGCTTGTCACTCTGCCGACCAGCCCTTTTTTCTTTCTTCGGAGCCATCCGCCCACAGCACCGCTCGAACTTGCCCATCTTTCCGCCGAAGACCTCCTTATTGATGCCGTCTTTGCGCGGACAGTAAGGAATTGACTCCCTTCGCTCCTTGCCGTCTGCGTCCAGCACTTGATAGGTCATGGGCTTGGACGAGGAGACCAGGACGTTGGAGCTTGTATTGGGCCTGAATCGCCAGCCAGCGAGGTGCTGCAGCCCCAGACGGCGGTAGCGATATGCATGCCTTTTGTCCGCTTGACCTACATCGATGACGCAACACGAGACCACATGCATCCACATAAGAGAGGTCCATCCATCCCGCCCACTGCTCGCTCACCCTGAAAGAAAAGGTTGTAGTCTCTCGCGAACCAGTTTTGTCGCGACGGGGGGTCGAGTGCGGTGTCCAGCCGGTCGTCCTCGAAGACATCCTCAGGGGAAATGAAGCCGCGCTCCAGCAGGATCTCCTTCTCAAAGGGCTCGTAGGCCTTCTGCATGTAGGTCATGGCAGAACTATACAGACAGACACACACACACGCAAGTCACTCGATTCAATCACTCGTGCCACCCAGGCTGGCCTGTCTATCTGTCGACTCACGTGTGTGGCACGTTGACACCGCACTGCCATGACCTGTTCTCTGCAGACAAACAGACAAGGGCACTTGATGCATGGCACAAACCGAATCCATCCATTGGCTACTTACTGTCCAATGTGAGGGTGCGGCCCCACGTGATGTTCCCGACAAAGGCATGAAAGGTCGATCCAAAAACCTTCTTCATGGATCCTCTCATTCGCCAGTCTGTCGCCTATGTGGCAGCCATACGCAGCGTTGACACGATTTCATATGCGTGCTTGGCCTTCCTTACGATAACGATATGATCCAGCCCGCCATGTCGGTAATAGTAGGGCATTGCCGTGATCTGAATAAATCATGGGACAACCGAGTCGAGAGGAAACGATTCGCGTAATGTGTGCCCATCTGCTTACCTCATGAACGGCCCGAGTGGCCAGTGCGTGAGTTTGTTTTCGTTTGAGACCCGTGCAAACCTGATCCAACAGAAGCACTGCAACACAGAAGCATTCAAAAGGCCCCTCGATTGCTTCTCTGCCCCAACACCCATGCACCTGGATAGATGGGGAGGACATACACGAGCGCCTGGTCAGGATCGAATGTGCGCCACGTGTCGCTCCACAGCTGATCCAGCCAGAAGATCTCCCCTGCACCACCACCACATACGACAGGTTTATACGACGTCGGCAACCTTCCGTACCTATCTTCTTCTTGATCCCATGGTTGGCATATCGAGGCCATGAGCCTTCGAGGATTGCCCTTGCCGGCCCCTGACACCTGTTGTACATCTCCATCAGCGCGGGCGTGCCGTAGACGTAGAACGGGACCTCGATCTTGCTCTCCAGTGCCTCAAGGTCAGCAAAGTCTTCCCGTTCCTCCCCTTCTCTCGCTGCTTGTGCAATGCCCGAAATGGCTCCGCTCATCACTTCGCGGAAGAGTGAAAGAGGCGTTGGGAGCAAAAGAGCGTCGAGAGCGAAGATGACTGCGCCGAAGATGCCGAAGGCGGCGAGACAGATGAGGACGCAGGGCAGCGTCAGCACCGTCATCTTGGTCTGACAAGGGAAGGGAGCGGTTGGAGATCTGGCCAGATCAGAGCGAGGAAGCCGCTGCGAGCTTGGGGGCTGACGGAGGGGGCGTCTCTCAAGCGATTCATTGTGCTTTCCACAGGCACCGCGAAAGAGGCCTCTATCATCGACAGCGAGGCCCCAACAGTCGATATCGGTCACCAGGCTCCGGCCGGGGCACAGCTGAGGGAGTGACGGTCCCAGGCGATGGCGAAGCGGCGATGGGGGGAGGTCGATTGCTGGGCAGGGACGGTAGGGCACCATGGTCAAGCCACTGGAGAGCTGGGGAGGGGACTTGCCGCTGGGTAGGATGACTCGTTTAAGGCCAGCCCTGCGGAGACACGATGGATCACGGGATGAGCATTCTTTTGTGAATGTCTGTTTGTCTGTGTGTGTGTGTCCATAGGGAGCATTGCTTCCCAGGAGACCAGAAGCACAGTCATGAAAACTCACGCGTTGTCATCGCATGTTTGTGTTGCCAATTGCATTCATGTCTTGGTGCAGGGTTGGGCAAGACAAAGACGAGCAGCCGCTTCCATTGCTGGATCGAGGACGAAGTGAAGCCCCTAAGTCAGAAAGCCGCAACCACATACAAGCACGTTACCTCTATGCGCTTTCGGCTTACATTGATTCTGTCGCAACTGAATCCCTGCTGTATTGTCTGCTTCAGGTGGCAACCTCTATGGCTTAGACCACCGCAACGTGTTGTTAGGTAAAAGAAGAATCACAAGAACGCACCTCTGCGACGACCATGGTAGCATCCCAGAAAGTCTCACAAATGCTCTTAATCAAATCTCTCTCTCTTCTGGACTGCTGTTTTGGGTCGATTCAGAAGTCGAGGTTGTTGGCATCAAGGGAACTGACAAGACCCTGAAGCAGGAAGCCAAGCGAACGGTCACTCGGCCTCCCGCCACCCACAAGACCGTCAAGCACAACGTGATCAAAAAGGAGTCGTCAGGTGATCTCACGGTGTGCAGAAAGGATGGGAGTGATTTTGTGCATGAGGGCAAGAAGTCAAGCAAGCCTGCATCAATTGAAATGACAATTGCGCAAAGACGGATTTCTTTTGTGTATCTTTGCATGTGTGTGTTCGATTCAAGCCATCACCCGCCTCCGATTTCGGAGATGTCACAGTGGGCTGAAGACATTGATGTCTTCAGCCCGAGTAACTTCGTCTTCATCACAACGAACAAAGACATCACCCACGCGAAGAACTTTAAGAGCGGCCGCGTCTTCGACTTCCAGCGAGTGATTGGCGAGCAGCGGTATTGGCTCAATGCGATCTTCCTCGCGAAACACGGCTGCACGGCAGCGCTAGAAGAGCTGCACGGGAGACTGATGCGGCGACAGCATGATGACGGCCGGGACCTGTCCATTGCCAAGAAGACCACCACCAGCAAGAATGCCAAAGTGAATGTGAGCAGCAATGCAATGGGCGGCACCATCGGACCTCCGAGTTCATCATCCCCAGCACACGCACATGAAGCCGGCTGCAGCCTGTGGTCAAATGGGATGCACCAAATGGCGAGCGATATGCGCATCAGCCCTGCTCAAGGCGTCGACCAATATGCAGCCACCCAGTGCTTCAATGCACTTCTGACTGAGTCAGCCATCGATCTGCTGTGCGATGCAGAGACACTGTCAGGGGATTGGAGAGAGAGACATGACACGGGACGGGGCACGGGAAGCGGAGAGAAGGAAGACGTGTTTGCGATTGGTGAACGGGATGGTTGTATGATGTGCGAAGCGAGATGGGATACGCATATGGATGGCTAGCTGGTGTGTGCCATTCATGTCAGTGCTGCCGTATGTAATGTGATATCTGTTCGTTTCTGGACGACAGACAGACATAAAGGCACTCTCTGGTCGGCTGGGATGGGTGGGATGGGCGGGCCCGCCTACTGCTTTGGTGGTGTGATGTCTCTGTTGCTGGTTAGGTGAAGTGGGGGATGGAGCAGGCGATGGACAGACAGGCACTAGGACTGATGAATGAAGAGACTCATTGTGTGTGACCATGGATGGATAGATAGATGACTCGTCTGTCTGTGCTGTCGGTCGACGGCTGTAAAGTAGCGGCAGTTGCTTTCAATCCACTGCTAGCGGTCTACATGTCCATGTGTGTACCATGCATGGGGCGGTCGGTTGATGTATTGGATGGATCTGCAACAGGCAGGGTGCGCGTCTGTCAGATCCATTTCGACTCGCATTATGTGACACACACAGCCAGGTCCATGGTAATGTAATGCGCGGCGTACCGTATGCCCACTTGTCAGCGCCTTGCTTGCGAATAACGTCTTAGTCGAATCAGTCAGCGACCGTGGAGGCAGTGAGTGGGTGGCCGCACGAGACACAAGGGAAGGACATAAAGGCAGGCAGGGCTCGGTGAAAAAAGTTTATGGCCCTCTCACTACCCGCCTCCCCCCCCCACCAGCACAGACGCACGGACGGACGGACGCACCCGCACACCACGTACGAACGATGAGTGCGCTGCAGGTATCCATCCATCCATCCACACACACGTACATGCAACCAGCTCAGTCAGTCAGTCAGTGAGTCGATAAACGGGCCGGTACGGGAGGAGGTATGTATGTGCGCGTACGCATTCGTTCTCTCTCGCCATTCAGGGCGATGCCAAAGTCGAAACGACAAGCGTGCTCCCCTCCCGGCCCGACCCGGCCCCTCCCTGCCGGCACGGCGCCACGCCAACCATCACGGACGGCAACACCTCATCCAACAATGGACACACCTTCATCCATTATGTACAGCAGGGGTCAGGCAGGCAGGCAGGCAGGCAGGCAGGTAGGTATGTCAGATCTCGCCTATTTAGCGATGGAAATCACTCAACACCCTACCGTAGGCACCGCCCAGATGATCAGCACAACCACATGAATGCACACAAGCTTTGCAAGGCATTTGTGTATTGCACATGTGACGTGCCCGGTTTGCGACGCGTCCGTCGGGAGGACGTCTGAAAATCTCCGGACACGCCAGTGCAATGCCATGCAGTCAGTCAATGCATTCGACGCAATCACTACACAATCCACTACACATCGATCACATTCAATGTATATGTATGTCCTCAATCATCAGTCAATCAAGGGAGGGAGGCAGGGAGGGAGGTCCACAGGTCCCCCGGCCGCCGACATGACATGACCGCCCGAGTAGCCTCTGTATCCCAAGCAATCAAGAGAGACGGCGGGCAGTGGAGGTGAGGTGAGGTGAGGTGGGTACATTAGATACCGCCCCACACCCCACGCACCCCCAAGACTGGCATGGCAACCCATAGATAACAGACACACAACACAAGACAAGACACGCATGTGTGTGTATGTGTGTGTACGCCCAACAGACAGACAGACAGACAACGGTGCGCACACAAACGTCCAGTCACTCACTCACGGACGTTATCCTCTTGCCTTAACACGTCCGACCGCCGCCTGTGTGTGTGTGTGTGTGTGTGTCACAGACACATGTCACTCTCTCACACATACACACAACCACTACAGATCACTCACGGCCGATGGGATGGATCCACAGCGACCGACCGACTGACGATGGATGCCCAGCTCCCCCACACCACACACACGCAAACACATACACACGCAGGCACACACACACACACACAGAGAGAGAGAGAGAGAGAGATGCAGCACGGTCCGTCGGTCGATCCACGGGTCATCCATCCATCCATCCAGCGATCGATAAAGGTTTTAAAGCCGTACGCGCGCGGACACGCTATGTATGCGGCAGCTCTTCAAGCAATGAGGCAGGCAGGCAGGCAGCGTACGAGGGAACCCATGATAATCCAGGCATCAATCACTTAACACCATGCAATGCATCAGCCATGTCAGATAGTTAAGCGTGACTGACATGAATGAACCAATCGTCGAAAAAGACTCGCTCACGAAAAGACAGTGTGTGAGCGAGCGAGTGAATGTGTGTGTGTGTGTGTGTGTGTATGGTAGTGCGGTGCAGTGTGGTGTGGTGTGCCCCTCTCCTCAGCCAAAGAAGGCCAGGAGAACCAGACTGAGTGCCATCACAGCCATGCCCACCAACACAATGTCAGACGAAAGCACGTCCTGATACAGACAGACAGACAGACAGACGGCCACAACCACAACCACACCACACAACACACACATACACATAGACACACACCTTTGGTGTCCTTTTCTCTGTCCCTAGTGTGTCTGTGTCTGTGTGTGTGCTTACGCGTGGGTCATATCTGAGAGAGGTTGGGATGAGCTTCTTGAAGCAGATGTGAATCATGATGCCGCCAACGAGACCGAACAGAATGGCGAACGCACTGGGCGTCATGGCATTTGCCAGCACCACCCACGCAAGCAGACCTCCGACGGGCTCGGCAACGCCACACAGCACGCTCCACCCTAACCGCCACACACGCACACACAAACATGCGTCCGTCGTCTTGCTGTGCGTGTGGATGTGTTGTGTGTGCTTACAGAATGCCTTGCACTTGCTGCCGGTGGCGTAGTAGATGGGCACACTGACGGCGATCCCCTCGGGAACGTTGTGAATAGCGATTGCCACCGCCACGCCTGCACGCCGGGAGGGGAGGGGGGGCACATACGAAGACTTGTCTGTGCTGTTGTGTCGTGGTTCTGGGGGGCGTGCCTACCGATTCCGAAGATGGGGTCAGCGAGGGCGGAGGCGAACGTGGCGATGCCCTCAGGGAAGTTGTGCAGGGCCAGGGCGCACCCACTGCACGTAAGCAGACACACACAGAGACAGACAGACAGGCAAACGACAGACGAGATGACAGACGCATCCATGCCATGAGTGGCCAGCCCTCCCACGCCGGCCGATTACCCACAGAAGTAAGGAAGTGCATGCATATGACGTACGTACCTGAAGATGCCCAGGTTCTGCAGACGAAACCTGTCTGCATCCCACTGCTTCTCAACGGGCTGCTCCGAGGTCGCGTCGTCCTTGCTGACGTCGGTGACGGCCTTGTCGTCCAGATCCCTGCCCTCACCGTCTCCCTTGTCCTTGCTCGCCCCGTCGACGACGCCCATAGCCAAAGCGACGGTCATCGGCTTCGCCTCGCACGCGATGCCCTGGATGCTCGCCGGATCGGGTTTGCCGGCACCAGTTATGGCTTCCTGCCTGCTGGCGGGGTCGGCCTGGAGTGACACGACATCAATCAATCAGAGTCAAGTGATGGAGTGGTGTGTGTGGACGGTGTGGACGGGTGCACTGCACTGCAAGTGCGGGCGGACCTTTCCCTGGTCGGGCTGCTGCTCTCGGTTCAAGATGTAGGGCTCCACGGGGCCGTGCCACTTGAAGACTCGTTCTATCAGTCGGTCCAGCGCGGCTGCTATCAACATGCCTGACCAACAAATGGATCGACACGATGGACGGATGGACGGACGGACGGATGGCACACACAGAGACACAGATGTGGGTGGGAGAGAGAAAGGACCATAGACGGCGTCCAGTCCACACGACACGTACCTCCAAAGAAGCACAGCGTCGCGTAAGCGTATGCCGTTCCCTCCTCGTGCAGTGCCCCGAACTCGTCAGCTGACTTCTGGAAGATCTCCTGAGCACCACACCACACCACACCACACCAATATCAGAAAGAAAGACCAGGATCATCCGTCCATCGAGTGTAAGGACCC